AGGGCGTCTATTCAACTGTGTCCAAGTGTTGGAACTCAAGTGTTCTGCTTCAAGCTCGAGGGTCGCCAAGGCCCCATTCCGCAACGGCACCGAGTAGCGGTAAACAAAATCAAGGCGATGTGTAACCTGACAGCGGCCTCTAAGACCCGTTGGAGTGACATTCTTATTCTCATGTTCGCGGCGTCTCGACTTCCGTTAGGCGGAATGGCGCCATGTTGATCCATTGTGCTAACCCCAATTTCACCCCTCCCAACCTAACTGCTGCACGTCTGTGATGGTCTCTTCGGAGAAGGCGCAACGAGAAAGAAAATCTGCTTCGAGGAAGTGATTCCGACACAAGCTTTGCCTAGGCCATGGCTTCTAACGCACGAATACGTTCTTGCACATGCGTCCCTAATAGGCAAGTTGTGTCTTGGTCTCGGCGTCATCCATGTACGAAGCGCGGCATCGAATCTGGCCCACAAGAATCTGCAAAGGTGGGGGGCCGCAGACAGATCAACGTCAATCAAGAGACATTGTGTCGTTATTCATTCTTAGCGCGTGCGCGAAGCAGCTGTTGATGCCTCCAACGTCCATCGCGGGGAGCAGCCGCAACAGTGTGGTCCACCCAGAGAGCACAGGCGGGCACACGAAGCCATGAAGAGCGTCTGGAGCGTCCGCATCTGTGTTCGTTATTGGTCGTAACACTTGGATCTTCTTGTAAAACAAGGCTGCCTCCAGTTTCTAAGTTGATCAAAGTTGATTAGCATTGTCCGGACAATACGGAGTATATTCAGATGAGCATCACCAGCATGACTCGACATTCTGGGCTCCGTACATATAGAACAAGTCAGAGATATCAGTCGGAGACGGTCGGTCAGGGCAAGCTAGGGCAGGTGGGCTGACACCGACTTACACCGACTGTCACCGGATGCTGGGCGAGAGAGAGACTGCTGCGTGTGCGATTTCGACAACAGATCCCAGACACGCATATCGAAGGCGCCAGTGTGCGGGCTAGCAGACGGGAGGCCCTGCAAGTTGATCCATGCTCGCACTTACTAGCCAAGGCAAGCAGCCAGTAGAAAGAGACCACGATCCTTTGTTGTTTTCGTGGCCGAGTTGCTAATGCAGGCGCACGGTAGCAAGGAAGAAAATGCGGCGCAGAGACAATCAATGTGGTGGTTTTGAATCAAGGCCCCCCAAAATTTAGACTTTTTGGCAGCAGGCCGTCCTTACTGGCTGGGGGCAAGTGCAGGTCGCTGGCTCAGCGAGGCGTCCGAATGCCGGCCCCTTGGCCCGAGCACCGCTGCTATTCGCTGAATGCGACAAGAGGCCGTAATTGCCATCCTCTGGCCATGTGCTGCTATTGTGGCCTTTTGCGGAGGTGAAGAGGCGCTGGGGCTGGCTTCCACGTTTCTGGCGGCGTCGCAGCCTCTCTCCACTGCCCGTATTTTTGGCCCGTAAGAGAGCGTCTGTGGACATGGGAATAGAGAGGGCATTGGATACCTTAAGTCAACTGATAGGAGCTCGCGTACCGTAAGCAAAGCCCTAAAGCACAGGTATCAAGCAGGATGGAGAGCTGAAAAAATGCATACAGAAACAAGAAAGGAAGCAAGGAAGAGGCTGATGTTCTGGACCGGGCACTCAAGCCTTGGGGTGAGATCCGCAGGAAGCATCCTGACATCGGCTCACTAAACTTTGTTGAATACCTCAGCAGCACTCATTGCCATTGTACAGGATCCCGGCCTTCTCTGGTAGTCTCGGCGCGTGACAGGGCGCCTGCGGCGTCGAGAACGCGACGAGGTGCGATGGAATCCTGCAAAAAGTGTATCTGCGGTAACGAGGCCCAAAGCTCTGAGCGGACATTCCTCGGGCTGGGCTGGCCTGGAGGTTTCTCTCCAGATAATCGCGTGTTTCACCATGCAAGTCTGCATTGCTCGTATTCTTTAGGTACAGGAGCGGCGCGCGTGCATTACTCGACAAAAGCATGGAAGCATCCAAACGAAGTCATTCGTAAAGTACTAGTTTTGGCAATCGGCTCCAGCAGGACGTGGGAGAAACTTGGAAGGCGCATAGAAGCAGAAGCAGGCGCATGTAATTTGCACCCCGCCTAGCCGAACAGACCATAGCATGACGTGCGTCACTAGCGTAGCAGGGCGATGTTCTTTGACCACTCTGCAGACTGAGTGGACACTAAGCCCTGGGCAAGGGTTGTGCGGTGCGAAAGTTTATTTCAATGCGTCTGGGGAAGTGCTTTGACCAGCAGAGCAGACACAGGCCTTGCCAGCAGGAGGAAAGAGGTGCTTTGGGCAGTCAGTCTAAGCCATTAGCATACTACCTTACCTTAGGCACTGGCTGGCAGAGAATACATAGAATAATAGCGGAATTAGTAGAAAAGAAGCTTCAAAAAGATCCGAATGTACACGTAAGTGAGGCACACCGATGGCCGCCAGCGGCTCCCTTAGCGGCCCCTCTAAGGCAGTGTCGTGTGAGAAACAGAAAGCTTCTGGCGGCTGCCTGCCTGTTCTGAATCGAGATTTGCCAGCCTGTGAGCGAGTCGCTGGTCATTGATGGTGTAACAGCAGCAGAGTTCCAAACGCAACCAACACGTAAGTCACACACACGCGATGGTTTTACCTGCACAGGGCGGATCGCCTGGGTGCCACCCCAAATACCGAAGCAAGAGCGGTGTACGAAGTTTGTCCACAAGTGCTCCGGGCCTTCCTCCCTGTAGTGGACATATCAGTCGATTGGCGCAGTAATATTAGCCGATACTCGACCTCTTATGCAGTGCAAGCACCACCAGCGAGGCCATCCCTTGCCCAACCCGTAGGATTTCGGCCCGGACTGGACAACTCCTTCCTGGACGGAATATCGTTTAAGGCTGCCAAGGCACGCATCCTGGGGGAAGTAGCGAACAGGATTCCATGCAGGAGAGCGACACCAACAACGTGAAGTCGCTCCTCCCATCAGGGACTGAAGGGCAGCCACCGAGTCATTGGAGCCAAACGCTAACAAAAGAGGCAATCGCGCGTTGGTGGAGCACGGTTTACGCTCAATGAGGTGTCCATTGCTGTTCAAATAGCCTACCTTATGATTGTAAACAGTCCCAGAAATTGTCTAGTAGGCAGGACCCTGGGCAGGCAAAACTCACATTGAACCCAACAAGGCAGCGGCGAATCTGACTTTGGGCCTCAAACTATATAGTCGTGTCTCGAGTCACTCACCTCACTGCTGCGTAAAGTATGTGCGTGGGCGTCCGAATATAGTAATACTACTCCGTCCACGCATGCCAGCGAAAGGGCAAGGGCGTCAGTCTGGCTGGCTGGCCGGAGAGTCAAGTCCATGGATGCTCAGATCGCATCAACTTAAAAAAACTCAGATCTAAATTAGCCCCAACTATCGAGCTGTCCTCGCATATAGTACGGACGATGCTAGTACTAGTACTACAATATGCACTGACACTGTATTTGTGGGCTCTTATTGTGGGCTCGGTGTCGAGTCGAGTCGACGTCCATACCTTCGTAATACAGTATAGTTCTTGGTATAGCGACCCTGCCGCTGCATTTAGACTTTCTGCTCGTACCCATACCCTCTCCTCCGACGTGGCTAACAAACACTGCCAACTAGTGCCGGGGCTCGCTCGAGGCTTTCTGATTCTGATTCTGATTCCGATTCTCGCGGCTGCGACTCGACGCCTCGCTTGTCACCCACCAAGAGCCAATCACTGCACTTCCGCGTTGTACCCCATACTTCGTATCTTAGACTTTGTCGCCATTGGAGTCGTGTCCCGGAGCCTCGGGCCCAGCTTGATGACCAAGCGCTCGTCACTCTCTTGCGTTATTGTTCTGCCACGCGCATTTACCTGCTTCGCTCTTCTTGCTCCGGAGGCGTTTTAGTATCAAGGCTGGGGGCGGCAAACTGACACCGCGCGGGACGGGCATGCTGGGGGCTAATTAGCAGACATGCTCGATCGGGCAACAGCATCTCAGCTCCGGCTGTGGTTGCGACTCTAAAAACTTTTTTCTTGTTGTTCTTTTGCGCCATTTGCCTTTTGGTTCTTGCTCGACGCTAGTCGAAGCTTCGAGGTGACGCGCGAACGTTGTTTTGCTCTCCATGGTGACCGGTGACCGGTTCGTGTCTACTATACCTTATGTCTCAGCGGAGTATCTGTCATCAAGTATAAGTAGAGACCGTCAACACCTCGTCTGGATCCTTGGATATCGCATCTCGAGTTTCATTTCAACCACCAACCTCGAACCTCAACACGCATCCCCCGGAATGTTCTGATTTGACCACAGACAACTCTCCGGTTCTTTTCTGATACGTCCTAAACGTTGAAGCCCCCCTTTCCTCGACCTGCTTCGACTGCTTGCTCGACTCACGCCTGGCCTCGAGCTGCCCTCGCCAACGACAAGGGACCCCCCTGTCTCGATAAGTCCGATTGCCCAGAACAGCCGCTGCATCTCGCTGCGAACCCCCTCTTGGGACACGCCTGCAGCAGCGCACAGACCAGAGACACCAACGACGCACGACAACAACTCAAGCCCACACCCGCTCCTTGGCCCCCACACACGGTCCGTACGCCAAGCCGTCAACGCCAACTGGGAGTGTGTCCTCGCAAACAAGGATCCCCCTTCCTGGCCCAGAGCCTGATCGTCCATCGACACTCCCGCCCTAGACTTCATCGACAATCCCTCCACGACCACGACTCGCAAGACACCCGTCCCGTCTGTGTCCCCGTCCTGCTAGTGGAACACCCGCTATTTACACGCTGCAGCTGCGTTATATAGCCTGGCCAGACCCCGGTCACTGACGTGAAGTACGGCTCCTCCAAGTTGCTCGTACTCCCACGCCTTCGACTATATATGCCCACAGCCCCTACCGCCGCTGCTCATCCTTCCAGTACGATGCTGTCAGTCCATCCCTCCACAACCCAATACCAGCAACATCTCAAGCATTCGCCAACCATCCGCCCCATGCCGCATCGCCAGCCTGACCCTTCGCTCGGCTATGCCAGCATGAGTAGCCGCCACTATCACGCCTCCAGGGCGGCGGCTGCTCAGCAACACCAGGCCCAGCAGGATGCCGCCGTTGCCCAGGCTCTGGAGATCGCCCGGGAGAGCCCAGATGGTGCTTCGGACCCAACTGTCAGCAAGATCCTGGACTTGGCTCTGTCCCAGATCTGGGGAAAGGTTGAAGCACAGCCCGACGCATACGTTATGACCCGTGATGAGTTTGCCGTCTTCAACTTTTTCCAGCACCGCTTCCAAGGCAACAACACGGCTGTCAAGGCTCGCAAGCGGTACTGGGACCACGCTCGGGCATGATTCTGATATCTCTACCACACGCGCCATAACCCTGGCGCCTTCATCATTACAACAAGCTCACGGAAACCCAATGGCCGTTTCCCACCAAAAACACCATCACGGATTCTTTCACACTCACGACATCCTTAATGGGCAATGACCTTTTTTTTCTTTCGGCCCTTATGCCTATTGACGTCTCTTTTTTCACTATGGTGTGAAGGAGGTTCCTTCATGCTATATGTGGCTCTATCGTGGTGCAAAGAGCGTCACTTACATCTTTCTGTCCTCGCTTCTCCCTCACCATTTTTTCTTTCAAAAACTACACCAATTCTTCCCTTTGTTGTTTGTGTGCGGTCGCTCAACAGCGGGGCGATCTAATTGTTCTGCCCCTGACGCTGCTTCCGCCAAGCGATTAGGGTCATTAGGGTCGCAACGGCTTTCATCTCGATGAAGCGTCAGCAACAAGAAAACTCGACTTTTTCCGGCGCCGCCTAATCGGGGACCTGAATCTCGCTAGCAAGACCTTTGCATATGAGGTTTGGAACGGTGGATGGAGATTATGCTCTACTTGCGCCTCTCGGAAATAAGGGCATCTCAACTACCGTTCGCGCTGATGCATTGGGGGACTTCGGATGATGGCCGATTGGCAGCTTCACTAGCACTGAAGCGAAGCTATTGTGCAAACGAAGCTTGCCAGCATGGCGTGTTGTTGAAGTCGAGACCTTTCTTGGATGCAGCAATGATGGGCTGACTCTCATGACCCTATTTCGCGGCTGGCGTGTCTTGGGCATGCATACAAACAGACAAACGGGGAGATGGTTGGGGAACCCATTGATGGATCCCTTTTTTTTTTTTTTTTTTTTTCTTTGATGATGCTGTCACGAATTTTCTTTCTTCATAGATACCAGCGCAGAAGGTTATAGACTAAGATGGTTTTTCTTTGTTTTCTCTTCTATGGGACTCTTTTGCGGAGTCTCCCCCTTGAAGTTACTATTTAACTTCAAGACTATTTTTACGACAGATTTAGGAATCAGATATGTAGCATGATTGATATCCATGGCGCTATGCGCAAGGTTGGCGTTTGGTGCAGCTCCTTGGGTAGAAATCTTGTCTACCAGATGAATCAAAAAGCAAAATCTCTACTTCCAGTAAAGCCTGTATCTTACTTTATCAGTGGTTTTGTGACTAAAGTCTCTGCTCCTTTTTGATCTATGGTCTGAAGAATCTTTATTGAGTATTATATGATTGTCACTTTGACTGGCGTAGATATAAGCGCAATGTATACGGCAGCAATGTTCAGCCATATTCCCCAACACTTACAAGCGGCTCTACCATACCCAACTTCAGGGCTCAGATGAGAGCTTCTTGCAATCAAGACAGAACACATCAACTGTTGTGTTGAAGTTTGATAACATATTACCACAAAAGGCAGTCATTAAGCCACTGCTGGATTGAGTCGAACCAAGAAAACTACCGAGAGATAGTGAAGAGCTGCGGATTGTTAGCGTCAGCGCCACTTGACGCTTGAGTTCAAATAGCAACGCCTGCTATCGCACTGATGGAATTCCACAAGAGTCCTCTAGAATGTTCCTCCTGCCTTATCATTTTGATCGCCCCGCGGAGAAGCAGGAACGGCGTCACAAAAACCTGGAAATTCCTCGATCGCGCAACGCAAATCGAGATACCAGAGCTCGGAGCGCAGTCCGTTGGCCAACTTTTTTTGCTCGATTCCAGAGGGCGGAAGGAAATGTCCGCTGCGATGAGCGCGTAAGTTAAGAGAGTTTACACCAACTGCCAGCCTTTCTTACTGTTTTTGTTTTTGTTCGTTAATGTTTGTTTCTCTCCGGGGCGGCTCTTCAGAGAGAATGGAGGCGGGAACGACGTAAAGTTTCTTGTTATGACAGTTTTGAAGACGGAGCGTTCGGAAGGGAGAAAAGGCCCATTAGGCTTTTCGCTTTCAGTTTCTACAACAGGATAATGCTCTTGAAGCCTTATTAACAGTGAGATTGCATGCCTACATGACTTTCTTGTACATAGACTTTTCAAAGAGAACGTCTTTCTGTGCTGCAGGAATGAGGAGTTGCTGTGTTCAGAGATGGACAGGACTTTATCGTCTTGTTGATCTTGATCTCGAATTTTTCACATAATTTCCGACGGAATTTTTTCTATAACCGACAGGATAGCCAAGCGAGGACCCAGAACGCTGGAACTCATTCACCACCAGTCTCCATTGGGCTTGCGGAGTTCCGACGTCTCACATCGAAAGACCTGGGACCCGGCAGCCTGGTTCCTACCCACTCACCGGGAGCCTGGGAAGCCCTCATTCCCCATATTATCATGTCTCGACATACAGTGGTCAGAAAGCGGGATCGGATCTTCGGTAATCTTGTTCAGACATCATCACATCTGGGAAACAAGCAAACGGGATGTCGTGTGTCCACCACGTGTAGCTGCTTTTTCATCTCCATGACGTATGGCCTCCTTTACGCACAGCTTGGAAGAGCGGTGATGGGTGGTAAACTTTTCTTTTTTTTTTCGCTCCGGCTACGAACCTATTGGAGGGCTGTCAGGCAAAATAGAGTCGAAGGGTTATGGGTGGGAGGGAAGCACGCGACCACCATCTCTTCGTCCTGACCCCCAAACTCTCCCCAGTTCTATTCCCCCTCCTTCTTTTTACTCGGCTAGTTGTGGTAAAGTACCTCAGCAGAAGGGAAGAAAGCTCCTGCGAGCTGAGGCGGCCGACCTAACATCCATTGGCAGAAAGGTTGGCTCGTGGAATGCACGCAAAAGCCACGCGCGAGCAGCCACCACGTGTAGTCCGGCATCCAGTATCCGGTGCCAAGCACTCAACCTGGAAAGGTGAAAGATGGGGGAGAGAAAAGCTTCTTTTGGTCTCATCAGGTTACTACTTGTAAACGGGCTCTTTGTGTGTTGGAGTTGGGAGGAATCTTTGCAGAAAGACGAGAAGCAGAGACCTCGGAGAGAGAGACCATACCCACAGAGAGAGAGAGAGAGAGAGCGTTCAGTGAAGCTGTCAGGACACAGTAGCCACGGGAACATGTCACGCTTATTCTTTTACGAGCTGCGGAGCCGAGCTGACCTTGGCTGAAGAACTTTAGTTAACACCCGCGCGGCAAATAGTATTTTGGGTTTTCTTGGGCTTTCCCTATTCTTTTTTTGCGTAGGCATGACGCTCGGGGAGCAGGAGGGATGACAACGTCGTGAGTAAACTTTTTCAGCTTTTCGTGAACATTCTTTGGGTAGGTAAGGTATGCTGTCTAGATATACTTTGAAGTCGTCGGTAAGTGAAATCGGAAAGTGGTGGCGAAAGTGCGGGCTGCTGCTGTCAAACGGAGATGTTGCTCGTTCTGGTAGGAAGGCTGAAAGACACATTATGGGATAAATACATTTCCAGTTAGTATTGAGTTTCCCATTATACGAGACGACCAGTCAAGTTGTCCCTGCCACGAAGCTCCCCCCCGATGAGGCTATTCACAAACTCCCCGGGCTGGGCCCCGCCCCAATGCCCGGAAGTTGGCCGGCAAAAAGGCTCCGCAAATCTTTCCCGACCCGCTCCGGAGCCGAAGCCGGGGGTCATAGCAGCACGAGGTTGATCGTAATGAAGTTAGCCGGAGACTTTTGCATTGTCTTTGTCGTGGAAAGGGGTCCTTGACTTGGCCGAAAAGAAAAGATAACCTTCCGAGAAAGGAACCAGGCTTTAAGGGCGGGTTGGGTAACAACCTTCCACTTCTTGACGGCGGGTACATATGCGCGCGTAAACCTACCTTACGTTCCAATTCGGGGTCCATTCGTTGTTGCTGATTTGGGTGCGCGTTTTCGGAATGCCCTTGAGGCGAACCGTTTTTTGACGCCTTCAGGCAAACAGAAGATTCAGTGAGCAAGAGACCCAACAGCCAAGGGTTGTCAGAAGCAGTAGAGCCGAAAACGTTCAGACTTGTGTATCTGCAGATTTTCCAGTACAGGGTCCGCTCTCGGAGGCAAACAAAGCCGCTACACTTGATTGAGACTCGTTACTCTTTCGGATGGATTACATTCAGCTGATAGAATAGATACGTCTAACTCGGTAGATAGGTCCACTACTTTCGCTCAACATTATCCTTTGAGTGTATAGGGGGCAGATGGAAGATCAGGGCCATGCAGTTCAGTTGAAGCCGTCCCATAGGATGAGAAGTGCCCGTTTAACAATGCTCACCCTCTTTTAGCCGATGTCAACTGGATTTGAAGAATCCTCCGATGTTTATATGGTTCTCATGATCTGTTATAAGTCAGCAATCTACTGACCTTCTCTGCCTCTTACGAATGTAAACCCGTAAGCTTCGCATCTCTGGGGTTGACTGCTTCACAGCTTCGCTTCATCAACAACGCTGTAATTGCAAGCCACTATCACGTGTCGCGTATTCGGTTAGCCATCCTCATGAACCGCTCGGATAGCCTAAAGATTCAACAAAGAAACCGCATTCATTAAGTTACCGTCAACTGTCGTGATGGCCGTGTCATGTATGGTCATGTATGCACGGTTATCGGATGAGGTTTGAACTCTGGAAGCTTCCTGGCCAATGAATGTGATGACGACATGCATCGGTCTACCGGCCAACGAAAACCGACAAGCTATTCCCTACAAGGAAGTCGGCGTCAAGCAGCAGCCGATTATCAGCCAATGGCGAGCATCCACTCACGCAACCGGCAGAAACACTTCAAACAATGCCGTCAAAGACAACACAAGCTGAGTATTATCGAGAGAGCGAGTTGCTGCGAAAAGCCGTGGCTTTATCTCATTTGAGTTCTATCTTTCCCCATCCGAGAGAGGGGGATTTGGCTTTCAGATTTGCCCTTGTCCCGAGTCCGCGTGACGTCAGTTGCGCATTCACTCCAACTTCCAAGCATACCGAGAGCGAAAACACCAGCAAAAACAAGCTTCCCAGTGACACCGTAGATCAGCGCCATCATGCACAACGTCATGCAACAAGCCTCTTCTTGTGCCGAGCTCTCCGGGCAGCAGCACAACTCTTCTCAATTCCCCATTAACTATCTATCTTCTGCTCAAAGAGCTGAAAGCACCCACTAGACTATACTGTAAGAGAAGCTGCAATAACTTTTTGGCGCCGTGTTTCACATGCAGAAAGCTTGCTCACCTTGATTGATTGACCCTTTGCGTCTTCTGTTTTGGCCTTAGTTCGCTTTTGGGAGCTGCCTCCTCCCCCACACGTCACAACTTACCCGCATCTTGGCCTTGCCTTATAAGCTGGTCGCCGTTGGTTGCTCGGTCGACACTCTTGCATCAACGCTTTTCCCGCTCCATCTCCTTGCATCTTCTGCTCTTGAGCTACTGTTGCGACGGCTTATCTTACATTTTTCTCCTGGCTTGATTACATCTTGAGCATCTTGCTAAATCGCCACATCTTATCGCGAGCAGAGAATTACCTGCGCGCCAGCTGCTTGCTCTGCTTGTTTCGCTATTTGCATTCGTGGCCGATCGAGAAGCTTCTCGGCGCACGGGCAACGCTCCGTCGATCCAACGATCAGAGCACAGAACAACACATATCACGGCATAGAGTCCGCTTAGTCTAGGGATCTCAATTCCGCGTCTCAAAGCCGATCCCCGGAGCACAGATCAGATTCAATTGAAACAAACCAGCATCTCGAGCCGACGAATCTCACCGCCGCAATGTCCAACCTCTTCAAGATCGCCCTGCGCGGCATCGCGCTCGTCTGGACGCTGCTCATCACGGCCCTCATCGGAAATGTCATCGCCTCCAATGTCAACGGCCACATGGTCACTGTTAACTTCACGATGTTCGTCGCCGCTCTGTCATGGGTTGCGCTCCTCTACGGCTTGTTCGCAGTCTTCGTCGAGAGCATCGCCATCCCCTCGGCTCTCCTCATTCTCGACGGCCTGGCCACCTTGTTCACCTTCATCTGCGCCATCGTGCTGGCCGCTGAGCTGCGCGCGCCCAACTGCGGCAACATTTCTGGCCAGCACTTGCCCAACGACTGGATCGGCTTCGGTTCTCACCACAACGAGAGGAGGTGCCGTGAGATTCAGGCCAGCACTGCCTTCATGTGGTTCCTCTGGGCTTGTTTCTCTTTGATCCTCTTCATTACCTGGAGAGATGCTAGGAGCAGCGGCTTCACCGGGTCCTCGCGATTTTCCCGATCTACGCGCTCTTCTCGACCTGCCATGTCCCAGGTTGGGTCTGCTGTTTAAGCTCGCTCACCAGGAGACTTTGACTTTGTTTCCTGCTTAGCTCTCGCTGTCTCGCCATGAGAGCATTTACTGTTGTCAATTGACAGTAACCCGTCCCTGGTGGATTACCTCTGGCTCATGAATGGGCTAGGTTTAATGTGAAGACGATTTTGGGTACATACAAAGCAGGGATAGCTTTGTTTCGCGAGAGTCCATGGTGTCAGTCTATGGATGACAACGCAATGGTTCGTCCACGGTATATGAAGTTACGAGATAGGGTACTGGATTGACTTGAGGAACTCGATAGTCTCGCCATAGTTTGGCTGGAAGGGACCAAATGATAGGAATGATGATTGATGTGGTAATAGGCCGACGAACATCAAAGTCATGTTTATAATATATATCTTGTTGCTATTACCCTCTTCCTCTCAGATGTGGAGTTGAATTTGCTGCTTTGTGCGTGGTATTGATATATGATTTCCATCGAGGGGACCTTGGTATTTCGATCGTAAAGTCCTCAACATAGAGACGCCCGAAGAGTTGGCAAGCAGCCGGAATTGACATATGTCTCGCGTTCATGTTTTTGTAGGCTGGACCGGGACGAAGCTATGCATCGCCAGCGCGTGCAGACAGCACTCTGTCCAAAAACGCTCAACGAGTGTCGAGCCGAATGATGGCTATAAAGTCGCCGCGACGGCGCCAGCAGCGTTGAACGATTTTTTGTTCGTGACCTGCACGTCCACGTTGTGCACCCAGTTCATGTACTTACCCCAGCCTACAAACAACCTGTCAGTAACCTGAGCACGCAGAGGGGGTATGACCAAGGTGCTTTGGGGAGATCGGGGAGAACCTACTCCAGTACGCGAACTTGCGGCCAAAGAGCTTCCCCATCCACGGCACGAGAATCATGGTGAGGAGGAGCTGGAGCTGCTCCAGACTGCGGTCCCATTCGGCCTGCGCCTCGGAGTCGGCCTCGGAATAGATGTCGCTGGTGGAATCTGAGGGGAGAGAGTCGATGTCATCTTTGTCGTCGTTGAAGGAGGAGGCGTGGAGGTCGACGAGCGACTCGTCCGAAGCCATTGCGACGATTGTTTCGATGGAGACGAGTGCTGGGGATTGATGACGACTTGGCTGGATGGGTGGACTTGGCCCGAGACGATGAGACGGCGAGGCGATGCGATGCGCGTGGTCGGCGTTGCCGGAGGCTTCAGGCCATGAAGGAGACGAAGTCTTCTCTCCGCGGCTGGGCGACGTGACTGAAGGGCCTTGCCGTGGTCTCACAATCGCAAGGCGTCACACAGGTGGAGCTTGATGATGGGATCGTGTGAATGAATGCAATGCCGACCGGCGGCCTTGGAACCTGTCCCACCTCGGGATACCGCAGCTGTTATCGCTATCGCCGCCAATCTTATCGCTGTTCGACAGCATTCTACATTCTACTCTACCTGTCAACGGCACTGTGGCTGGCATCACGTGACGCCCCTCCTCCGCCCAGCTCAAGGGCAATCAGTGCCCAGCAGCTTCAATATCGGCCCAAACCCAGGCCCATGGCATGACGTGCAGCTGACTCAAACTCTTCGACCTCATTCTTCATTTTCCTGCTCGAAACACTCCCTCTGCAGCACCAAGAGCGAACCAGTGAGCCTCTGCAGGATAGCAACCATCTTGTGCAGGTGCGCGCATACAGTAGTCGGGCCGCAAAGCATCAGCCATCGCATCGCTCAACGCAGCAACCGCCACAGCGAAGCACGAAAGACGCTGTCCGAGTGAGGGACAAGAAGCAGGACACGCAACGCACGCAGAGAGTGACTCTTCTCTGAGATCACCAGGAAACAGCCGCAAGGCACCACGCAGTTGATCTGTCAGTCAAATCCACCGCAACCATGGACAACGAAGTACAGGTGAGTCACCTTTCGCTGCAACTCTGCACTGCAGGGCGCCTGCGCGTACAAGGAAACGGAGCGCCGTCTCCGTCCGTTACTGCAGACAAGCGTCCTGTCATGTCTCTCCCTTCCTGCACCAACCGGCACCGCTTAGCCCTGGCGTCGCCACTTGAGCTGCTGTGCCGTCGATTCCCCTCCGTTTCTTCACTTTTTGCCCCTCTCCCAGCTTCGCCCACCGCCCACAAACGGCCTGCATTGGCCACGCAAAAAAATAGCCCCGATCACAGCAAATTTACCCCACCAACCTCTTTTGGGGACAATTTGTTCATCCACCCATTCCCTTCTCCCTTGTCATACTTCTGAGTCACAGCTTTTTCCCTGTTAGACGGGCTTCACAATCGAGAAGCATCTGATCTGTACTGTTGCCGCCCCCCAGCCTATTCCCTTTCGAGCCTTTCCTTCTTTCTCCTCGCCCTTTCCTTTCTCTTTCATCCATTGCAATTCCGTTGAGACATCAGCAAAAGAGCAGTCGTTACTAACTTTTCTTCCTCTTTCTTTCCCCACCACGCAGGACCAGCCCGAACGCAAGCCTTCTCGAAAATCCGTTGCCTTTACCGACGAACAGCTGGTAGTCGAAACCGACGGCTCAATAACCATCATGAGCGCCGCCGAGGAACCCAAGGAGACGGCCCAGTCACACACGCCTCGTACGCCGCCTCTGTCTGCCGCCCTCGAGGCCTTTACTGATCCTTCATCTCAAGCCGCCGCCGACGAGCCTGCCCCTCCTGAAGATGGCGGTCTTGACCTGTCTCTGCTGAAGAAGAAGAAGAAGAAGAAGAAGGTGGAGGGTGTTGATGGCGAGGCTGAGGCTGATGAGGGGGCCGCCCCCGCCGAGGATGGCGGTCTTGACCTGACGATGAAGAAGAAGAAGAAGAAGGCGAAGAAGGCCGAGGGTGCTGAGGAGGACGAGTTCACTGCCAAGCTGAAGCAGCTCGAGGTTAAGGACACCGAGGGTGCCGAGGAGGCAACTCAACAGGAGGAGGGCGACATGGAGGCGGGCACCGGTGTCTGGGGCCACTCAGAGTCCAAGACCATCCCCTACACCCTCCTCCTCTCCCGCTTCTTCACCGTCCTTTCACAAAAGAATCCCGACCACTCGCTCAGCGGCACCAAGAGCTACAAGATTCCTCCGCCTCAGTGCATGCGTGAAGGCAACAGGAAAACTGTCTTTGCCAACATTGCCGATATCTGCAAGCGCATGAAGCGAACCGAGGAGCACGTCACCGCCTACTTGTTTGCCGAATTGGGCACAAACGGCTCCGTTGACGGAAGCAGGAGATTGGTCATCAAGGGTCGATTCCAGCAGAAGCAGATTGAGAATGTCGTCAGAAAATACATCAGTACGTCTACCCGTCAAGCATATGGAAGGTGGAGTGGGAAGGCATCAAACTGGCTTTTCTGGGGGTCCCAGCGATGAGGGTATCTCAAAGATGACCCACGCAAGCCATAGCATCCTCTTCACTCCTACCACCACCTCTTGCTTTCCACCACCCCCTTCCACATCTCCTTCGCTTACTATTCATGAACGTCTACTAACTCACTATTTGCAGTCGAATACGTTACTTGCAAGACCTGCAAGTCGCCCGATACCGAGCTGAACAAGGGTGAGAACCGTCTGTACTTCATCACCTGCAACAACTGCGGTTCACGACGAAGTGTCACCGCCATCAAGACGGGTTTCTCTGCCCAGATCGGCAAGAGAAAGAAGATGCAGGGTTAAACATAACCTGCTTGTACGTATTCAAAGATCTAATGAGATGCTTGGCTTGCAAAGCGATGTTTCTGCAACGGTAATGCTGTCTTGTTGGGTCATATTCAGACCACGTCCCATTCACATCACACGTCCTCGGCATGGTGTCAAGCACACGATGCGAAATGGGCATCAAGTCACGGAAGGAATGAAGGAGCGGTATGCCCAAGATGCAAGGGCGCAGCGGCTGTTTTCTATATCAGGGAAAGAGGGCATAATCAGATGCTCTTGGGACTATGGAGAAGGAAGACAGGGTTTATATATGGGTAGCCATCACGATATGCCTAGTGCTGAAATGAATTGACGTCTGACACAATTTTCTCTATGAATGAAGCGTGTCTTTGTCTACGCTTCGTGCAAAGAACATGCAAACCCGCCATGTCGTATTCTCCGACTCAAGGGAGCTACCTATAACAAACACACAGACCAGAAAAGATCCAAAGCATTCTGTGCTGTTGAAAAAAAGAAAGCATGATAGCAGTAGCAGTGACACTCTCTTCCTCTTTTCTCGCTCTCAGACTTAGGGTACCTCTGTATAGTATGATAGGCCCCCCCTCGCTTTCTGTGTGTGTCGATCTTCCCTTTCCCTCGTCCTGCTCGAGGATTTTTATAATACAGCATTGATGATGGAACAGATAAGAACCATGAATGGATTTAGCCAAACGCCGCCCAATGACAAAAGACAATTGCCAAGATCATTTCGTTTCTCTTTAACTCTTTTTTTTGTTTTCCCTTCTTTCATTTGATCATCATCTCCCCACCTCTGTTCCCTTCCCTTCCCCCCTTATTCAAACCTTCCCCCAAGTGGCCTTTTGATTCTCTTCACAGAGCCTTGCCATTGGTGTTAGTGGTGGTGTTGCCGCCAACAAGGGGCGCGCCCAAGGTCATGGGGGCAATGGCATTCTGCGTCTCCCGCTTCTCCTTGTCGTGCTCGGCTTGCACGGCTTCCAGAGCGGTGCGCAGCCATTCTGTGAGACGGTTCTTTTCAATGTGCTGCGTAAGGAGCTTGTCCTCGTGATGCATACAGTCGATGAGCTTGGTCCTCATGCTCGCGTCAAAGTCGCGGAAACGACGATCGAGCTGCTCAGTAAAAGCACCAAGAGCCTCTCTAGGCGTCATAGGCCTAAACTCGCTTTGGGCATCCTCTGTTCGAGTGTGTTAGCTTTTGTTCTTCCTTTCGTACCATGCCTCTGGGGTCAACTTACGGTTTCGAACGCAGTCTGAGAGCATGGCATACAGCTCGGTGCTTGCCAGTCTCTCCACAACTTCCCGGTCATCTTTCAGCTGCGTGTCGTTAATCTTGGCCCAGTCGTCTCGGATGAAGAGCCTCCTCCAGATGAGCCGTTTCGCTTCCCGGAGCTCATCGCTGCTGCAACTAGACTCGGCCACCTGAAGAGCCAACCAAAACGGATGTGCTTGCATCTCTCGGGATTCTGGGCTAATATCCGCCAGGGTCAACAGATCAATGAGTGTCATGGGATCGAGGACCTCGTGCTTCAGCAGCCTTTCCATGCCATCTTCGAAGAGCTGGCGTAGGACCTTTTGGCGCTTGGGTACGTTGGTAGCATGGACCTCCATGGCAAGATTCAGAGCCGCGGCTTCGTCAACGGCGTCGTAAGTGCTGGGGAGAATTTGAGCGTAGAGCTGATCCTGGATCCTAATCGTGACGAGCTCCTTGTCAACGTGCTTGATTTGCTGGTCAATGCGGAGTTCGTCTGCAGTCGCCTTGGAGCCTGATGACTGCGACTTTTGCTCTTCCTCAGCCAACAGGGCCAGTTTCCCAAGACTGAGCTCAATCTTTTTGTTCCACACTTGCTGCTCCTTTTCAAGAGCAAGGTGGATAAGCGTTTCCGCAGCATGGCCGACTTGCTTCTCTTGCTGAACGTCGTTGATCCACGATATCCGCGCCAGCTCAGGCCTGCTGCGAAGGAACCGTGTCTTGTAGCCAGATGTTTCAAGCTCAAACGCCAACACCGCCTCAACCCCGTGTTTCTTGAGCAGGTACTCGTAAACGGGGAAGGCAAACTCTTGGCCATACCGGGTGAATTTGGACTTGAGCCGCTCCGCTTGCTCCCTCTTAACGATGGCCAGGCTCTCCAGCTCCAGAGCGGTGAGTGCGGGCTCGCGGCCCACCATCTCGACCTCCTCCATGTGGTCGAGCAGGATGACTGCCAGGCCTTCCAGACAGCCGTGCTTTTCGGCGATGGCAGCTCCTTCATCATATTTCCCTGCCCGCGCAAGGCTGATGGGTCTCTCGTACCTTTCCTTATGGTATTCCTTGGCGAATGTCTGGCCCATGGACTTTTGGTCTGGTGTCGTCTCGGCCCATCGAGAATATTCCAGGATGGAGGTGAGCATGGCGTCAATAGCCGCCGGAAGGTCTTTGTAAATCTTTTCAATGAAAGCTGGATCCGGTCTGTGGGCTGGCTTGGTGGTTTCCTCTGCATCCGTTTGAGTCCACTTCAAATACCACTGATCCGAGAGCTCAACTAGGCGCGCGATGTTGTTGGCAACATAATGGCAACCTGTCCAGGGCTCGGGCAGGCCTTCGTATCCGTCGCGCAGGATGCCTAACCTCAACTTCTCGTCACCCAGCCCGTAGAAGACAAGGTTCGTTCTGCGGAAGTCCAGAGCCCCCAGCAGGGCGCAGATGTTGATTTGAATGGCTTCGTAAATCATGTATGTCACCTTGGCGTCATCCAAGAGTTTGTCCTTGTACAAGATCTTGATGACTTCGTATGCCCAAGCCACAAAGAGCTCAAGGCGGAATATGTCGTTCAGGAACCAATGGCGGATGCGGTCGACTTCGCCAACCTCGGGGCTGGGCTTATGCTTCTGGTCCTCGTGGATGAACTCAACAATGTATCCGATCAAAGTCTTCTTAAGGTCTGCTGGGCGTGCTGCAACGAAGGCCTCTTGTCGTTTCCAGAGAAGCGTCGCGACGTGCATCTTTTCTGCATTGTGCATCAAAGCCCAGCGAGTTGTACGGTCCAGATGGGCCCCCGTGGCCTTGAGGTGCAGGATGAGTTTCTCCAAGGCATTAGAGCGCGCGATAAGGTTCTCCTCTAACGAGGCGGGCAGGGTCGCAATATAGGCGGTGGTCGAACTCAGAATCTCGTTGCTGACTTCCAGTGCGGCCTGAGCGATCTCATCCTTTGAGAACTGGATCTCCTGGCGGGCATTAAACACCAGAGGGTTGTTCTTCTTGGTACCAAAGAAGACAGCCTGCTCCAGCTTGTTCTTGGCAGACACTTGTGGAGGTTGATCGCTGGCGAATTTATCGACATCCGTGGTTGCAATGCGAATGACGCCGGCTCCGCGGACCAACAGTACCACGGCTGGGTTTTTGCTCTTTGCTCGAGCTGCTCGGCTTTCCTCGCTGGAAGTCGACGCGGGCGGCATTTCTTCAAACCCAGATCCAAGAACCTCGTGGACATTATCCTCGCGAAAGTCGATGACATCTTCATAGGAAGGAGATAGGGTGTGTGTGTCGGATTGAAGCTGAGAATCAGGAGACTCGGGCGACACTGCGATGGACGCTATTACCGCGGCACGATCGAATACCGCAAAGGCCACGAGCGCGGGACGTGGCAGATAGAGTCGCGGCCTTACCGCCTGAATAGAGTCCGCCTGCGAGACAGGTGTGCTGTATGAAGTAATTGGTCGGATCATGCCTACTTGGAACTTCCTCTGAGTTACAATGACTTCTACAAGGGCGTAACGGGAGACGGTCCGACTGGTCAAGCTGACAAGCAGCAAGAGTTGCTGAACAGACGGGTCATCCGTAGCAGTAGCGGCGCTAAGCTTGCTGAGGTCGAGATATTTGTGCTCCAAGCCCCTCGGGACGAAGGAGAAGTCGAGAGCTTCAAAGGAGTCGGCCGAAAAGTCGCGGCAGAAGGGGTCGGCTTCCCAGAGCGCAGAAATGATGGATTCTCGGGCGTCGAATTCGCCAAACGGTTCGTGATGGCCTCCTCGGTGAACTTTCCACGACTGCAGCTTACCCTTGTTCGTCAGAGCCACAATGTTCTTCTCGCCAACTCTCGCAGACCTATCAGCCCGGACAGCCGCAATGTCCCCCTTGAGGCCCAGGTGCGAAAAGGCGGAGCGAATGGTGCCGAATAGGCCACCGGTAGTGCTTGACAGGTTGCTTCGTAGAAACTGAACAGAGATGGCCGGTCGTCCGTGGCTATCGCGTACGTTCATATAGGCGAGACGTCCGCTGTTGAAAGTCAAAAGAAACCCTGCGGTCTCTGCATTGGTGATGGCCACCACTTTTTCGCCCGATGACATTCCAGAGATCATATGCTCAACGCCCGATCTGTCCTTCTTGATAAAGGCGAATGTGGCGGCGCTGGAGATGGACTCCCAAAAGACAACCTTGCCGGTGCTGGCCATCACAACGACCAGGCCGGGCTCGGTGGTAGAGGCAGAGGGAGAGACGAGACATCCTACGGGGAGGGCGTCGTTTGGCTTCGAAGAGGACGGTAGAGTGAAGGTGAAGGTCTCGGGGGATTGCGAGGTCGAGTTGTAGGGCCAAACAATAGCATGGGTAGGTGTCAGCGTTAAAGCGTAGCCGAAGGAAGAGAAGATGTCGGCGTGTTGGCTCCCTGCTCGAGTTAGTACGCGAGGCCGCATGTGCGGAAAAAAACTTCAAGAAAAGCGTACCAGACCAGTCACTCCGGATTCTGTCGGGCAGCGCTGGTAATTTGCTAACAGTGTATGCGTTGGTACTTGTCTAGAGCATAAAAGAGACGAATCAGCATTGGACAATTGGAAAAGTCGATGAAAGATTCTTCGATGCGACGAGGCCAAGCTCTGAAGCTTGATGGAGCTATGCAGCTTACCAGGAGAAGGCTTCCATCGCCCTTTTGAGCAGCACGATCGCCGTGCTTGGGCTTCTTCGTCCGGACAATCAGCTCCTTGCGTAGCACGGTCTGCACGGGAGCCACATTCTCGACGTCCTTCTTGGGCTCGGCGGGCGTTGCAGCCTTTTCGGGTCTGACCTCAGCCATCTCAGGCTGGGAGTCTGTGTTGGTCGACGTCTGCTCGCTCAAGGGCACGCGCTGCCTCTTTGGCTTCGGAGCCGCGACAAGCTGTTCCTGGCTCTTGGGGCGCAACCGCCGTCGGGAGCGAGTCGCCGTGGCCGGGCCGCCTTCGTTCTGGGATGGAGAGAACATGGTGGCTCGACGCAAAAGCTGTGAGGAGGGCTAAGATTTTGAGATCGCAGGGATCGCGCCGGGCGCGCGAGTCGCGATGGCAGCTGCTGGCGAACTCGAGCGGCGGCGGGAGATGGATCCGATGATGGAAAGGAGCTCAGAAGGGCATGTCGAAATGCCGGAGCTGAGGCAATGAAGATGCAAGATGGATCTCCGGCCCCCAGGCAAACAGATGTGGTATGGTATGGGTTTGGTGCAGTGCGTGAGAGAAGCAAAACAGCGGCTTCATTCATTGGCGCTGCTGGCGGTGGGCGAAAAACAACTGGAAATGGGCAGAATTCCCCGGCGCACGGAGGTTGTGCCCCAGATGGTACTTGGGCGCCCGCGCGATGGGCGTGGTGGCTGAAGTACTCTACAAGTACCGCTGATCTGACTCGCCGGAGCATCTGACGCACCCACGCAGTACCTGGGCAAAAAGTACCAGAGCGCCGCGTGAAACAAGGAGCGATACCTGAGAACGATGTGTCGAGGATCTCCAAAAGGAAAAGTCACATTGTCGTCAGTCTTCAGCGACCAAGAGCAGAATCCGCTCGTGGTTGGGGAAACTGTGCGCCTATACAAGGGGCAGCATACAATATTCATACGAACAAGAGGTACTCCGTAACGGCCATTCGCACTGCGTGATGCTTCTCGAATGCTGGATATTGGGAGTCCAAGCCTGAACATATGTGAATAACATGCACCTGGATGTGATTCTCTTTGATATTGATTCACCGGCCGCTTGAGGCAGGTGAGAATTGGGCATTTCCGTTGGAGAATCACAACGCTGTAAAGTTGCGAGAATATTGCTTCCACTTGCTGATGCTTGCAAGATCTGCAATAGACGGCGCACTTTATAGTGGCACCAGCTCAGCTACATTTTGGAGGTTTTGGCGGCCAGTCTGAAAACTTGATCAAACTTGGCCTCATCTTGTAATGCTTCATACAAACATATACTCAGTCTTCTTTGGTCGTCTATATCAAGCTTATTATGATCTTCTCTGCCCTCTTGTTTCCAGGAGGCGAATCCTAAAACCGTGCATCCTCCGTATCCATTGCTCTCATCAACCGCGGTTATGATTCAACCGCACAGCCGCTCAATCTCTTAGAGTGACCAAGCAACCAAGTATCACAGCCCATGAACATGAGAAAGTAAACAGCTCAGCCATACAGACAGCATGAGGAGATTCTCCACAGCAGTCACCATCACCGACCCTCTGGTCAAATACCAGTCCCTGGTAGCCGCAGGCATCTACTCCCCCGATCCCGCTCAGCACCGCCTGGCACGGCATCTACACAAGGTCTACGCCCGCATAAAGGACTACTCCCCCCAAGCCGACTATCGCCAGCGACTAGACCAAGTCGCCCGCCTCATCGAGCCCAAGAAGAAACCGTCACAGGAAGAAGAGACAGGCGAGGGCCTCTTGGCACTGCGGCACCACGCGATATGGCGGAATCCCCTGTTCAAGCACCTGCTCAGCACGCCCGAGGGCAGGGAGAGCCTCGCTCTGACCCGGGTGCTGACGAACCACCAGACGGCCATTGACATTGACTCTCCCAAGGGACTGTTCCTTTCGGGGGAGGTGGGCACGGGAAAGTCGATGCTTCTAGACTTGCTGGCCGAGGGCCTGCCCACGCAGAAGAAGAAGCGATGGCACTTCAACACGTTCATGCTCTACACGCTATCGCAGCTTGAGCAACATCGAAGATCCAGTCCTCCCCAGTCTTCTTCTTCTTCTTCCGATTCGCCAGCCGCAGAGTACTCTCTCCTCTGGATGGCCAAGAAGCTGGTCGACGAGTCCCCCATTCTCTTCCTGGACGAGTTCCAGCTGCCGGACCGAGCGGCCAGCAAGATCCTCAGCAACCTGTTCGTCGCCTTCTTCCAGCTCGGCGGCGTTCTCGTCGCCTCGTCAAACCGGATGCCCGAGGAGCTGCAGAAAGCGACGGGCATCGATTACGCGCCGACGTCGAGGGGCCTCATGGGCAAGATCTTCGGGGGCGCGTCGCGCAATCGCGGAGAGCTCTTTGGCCAGACGAGCGACTTTGCCGCTTTCCTCGAGGTGCTCAAGGCTCGGTGCGACTTCTGGCAGATGGAGGGAGCGCAGGATTGGCGGAGGCGAGAAGAAGACTCCAGTCCTACTGCTGCTCCTGTGAAGCAAGCAGCAGACGGAGACGTCAATGGCGCCTTGCCAGTCGCTGCGCCAGTGGAGCGAAAGGAAGAAGACGAGAGCGGCAAGGCCAGGAAGAGGAGGCCGCCTTACTATTATCTCTTTGACGAAGACGACCAGTCCTTTACACAAACAGTGCAACAGATCGTTTTAGCATCCGATAACCAGCCCGTTCCATGGGAACCATCCAACCTCATCGTCTACGGCCGCCGGGTCGTCGCACCGCGCCACTACAACGGCTTCGTCTTCTGGACCTTTGACAAGCTCGTCGAGTCCTTCGGACCAGCAGACTATCTCACAATGGCGTCGACATACCACACCTTCATCATCGACCGCGTCCCCATACTGACGATCCTGGCCAAGAACGAAGCAAGGCGCTTCATCACCCTCCTCGACGCCATGTACGAAGCGCGCTGCAAGCTCGTCATCCGCGCCGAAAGTCCTCCCGACGACCTCTTCTTCCCAGAGACATCATCATCGTCAAGACCCCTGGGGAAATCCGACAAGCTCAGCAGCAGCACTGTAGCAAAAGACGACGACGCAACGTATTCCGAAACAGTGGCCGAGGTCTACCAAGACCAAATCGCCCCCTTCCGCCCCAACGTGTCCTACTACGACACCGCATCCGCCACGTCCAAATACGACCCGGATCAAGATTCGGACTTTGGCTTGCTGCGGAAACGAGGGCCGCTCGATTTCGGCAACACGAGCGCCTTTACGGGCGAGGACGAGCGCTTCGCTTACAAGAGAGCCGCGTCGCGGCTGTGGGAGCTGTGCAGCGCGAGGTGGCACGCCAGGACGGGGGATTGGTGGCAGCCGCTGGCGATGGAGGCGCGGCACTGGGAGGGCGGAGAGGCGTCGAGGCCGTACCGGGTCAAGGAGGCTCTGGAGAGGGAGAAGAAGAAGAAGAAGCTGGGCAGTGGCGAGGGGATGGGGGAGAGCGTGGAGGTGGATGAGGTGGCAGGGCTGTCGCGATGGAGAATCGAGCAGCTGAAGAAGCGGAGCGAAGAGAGGACGGTTTGAGCAAAGCGAAGAGTCGAAGGACGTTGTATATCAGAGGAACAATAAGAAAGTTTTGCATAGAATATTACAAGCCCGCTAGACAGCAAATCAATGCCAGGGCAGCACCACCATATCAATCACGGATATCAAAATAGGAAAAGAAGCCAGCCCTCCTCCCCTCCTCTCCCAAAACGCCGATGCAAATGCCCAAGTCGCCCATGTCCCTCTCCCTCTCTCTCTCTCTCTCCCCTCTCCAACTCAGCTCAAATCACTTCCCTCACAAAGCCATGACACCAGGCGTCCACGCCTCCCCTATCCTCTTCATCGCGTCCCCAAACTTCTTGCTCGTGATCCTCTTTCCCCCCTTGCCCCCCAGCGGCGCATGCTCGTCCGGGTCGTAAAACGGATTCTGCAGGAGCCTCACATACGCGCTCTGCATCGCCCTGAACACGGGCTTGAGCTCCGCGTCCCGCAGCCCCGCGCCCACGCTCCCCACGGCCGACCTCGCCGTCGCCGCCGCCGCAGAGGAACTCGCCAAGGTCGAGGGACCGCCGCCAGCGCCCGAGGGAGACGAAGAAGAAGCCGACATGGCGGCGCCGCCGCCAGTTCCCAGGGCAGCAGCAGCGCTCGGGCCGACGCCGCTGCCGCCCGCCTCGACGCGCCGCCCGCGCATGTCCACGATGCAGACCATGCGCACGCCCGTGTTGGTCTCGAAGCCGTACGCCGCGAGGCGGTCGTCGATGGCGTGCAGCAGGCCAAAGTCGCCCGAGGCGGTGCTGTTCTTGGATCGGAGGTCGAAGACGTCGATGGTGGAGGAGAGGAGGAGCGAGAACTGGAGGGGGTTCCGGATCGGCGTGAAGGCGTTTGCTAGGGGGTCGTAGGACGGGAAGATGGAGATGTGTAGGGGGTTGTTCTGCGAGTTTCCAACAGTCAGCTTGCTTTGCTGTTTTGCTTTGAGTTCTCGATTGGGGGGAAGATGGTGGAGTGAGGTTGAGGCTTACGTTGCGCCCGATGACGCCGAGGCAGGCGACTGAAGGTATTGCGGCGGACATTGTGCCGTTTTTGTGTTTGCTGTGGTTTTGGGGGGATTTGGAGGTTGAGGTTGAGTTGCAGGAGCTTGAGCTGCAGAGTGGGCTGGGATGCACGTATGTAAAGTACAGTTGAGGTGCCTCGTCCGTCATTGTGGGGTGGCCGCGACTAAACATAGAGGCTTCACATGTAAATGCCTACGCTCTCCTTGAACGAAACTAGAACACTGAAGTCATGAATTCAGTATCGAGGGATATCAGTACAAAATAATAATAATGTTGGCAATAATTGACATCTCACTTGAATATACTCGACAGCCAATGTACCATCACAGCTTCCGCCTATCTTACATGTTATCTTATACACTATTGCTGCACCTCTCCCATCATCCGACTCGTCTATAAACCGACATCTTCTTCAACGAGACTTTCCCCCTTCACTCATCTTCGTCATCTACTATGTTCGCCGTCTCTTCCAACCCGCGCAACACCTCCTCCACCTCGGACGGATCTGTAATCGCCCAAACGCCGCCTCCCTTGACCAAATCCTTCCCCCTCATGCCCACCTCTTTTCCCACCAAATTTCTTCCTACTTTACCAGGCCCAATGCCTACCCATCGCCTGACTTTCTCTTCCTGATCGAGGTACTTGATGGAGGCCCACCATCGAACCGTCTCGAGGCACCCTCTGGCCAGCAGATCCTTCAGCTGCTCCTTACTTTCAAACGGCCTAGCCGAGACGTTGCTTATGCACGGCATCAACCCGGGAAACGTCACCATGTCTTCGTCCTCCCGACCAGGAATGCGACTCTTCTTCGCCAGCAGATTCTTCATGACCGTCACTGCGGGCTTCATAATGGGGCTGTGGAAGGGACTGTCGCTGTGCAGCCGCACGGCGCGCGGATCGTGGCCCAGGAACTGGCGGACATGGGCTATCAGCATCTTGATCCTCTCCATGTTGCCGCTCAGGACAATCTGGTTCTTGCTGTTGATGTTGGCAATCAACACCTGCTCAATCGGCGGCACATCCTGGCTGCTCTCCGACTTGCTCCCGTCGCTCGAGTGCCCAACAAAGTCGCGTATCGCCTTGATCAAGGGCTGCATGTATTCCGGCTCCGTGATCACCGCCACCATGCCATATTCGCCTCCATACTCTTGAATCGCCTTCTTCGTCGCCTCCGACATGGCAGCTGCGCGCCGCTGCACGAGATAGTAGCTGTCCTCAAACGCAATGTATCCACCGGCGACCAGTGCCGTGAACTCGCCCAGAGAATGCCCCAGCGTAAAGTCGAAATGGTCGGCGACCCGAAAGTTGAACTCGCGCTCGAGGATGCGCAGGATGAAGATGGACGTGGCCATGATGGCGGGCTGGGCCATGGTCGTCTGCGTCAGGACCTTGGACGGGCCATCCTGGATGACGTCGGAGATCTTGAAGCCGGCGACATGGTCAATCTCCTGTATGATTTGCGAGGCCGTCGCGGGAAACGCCTCCAGCCACGGCGACAGCATGCCGACCTTTTGCACTCCCTGGCCTGCCCCAGCGCACAGCGCAATCACACGCATCAGTCACAAAGAGTTCCCTTGCGCCAACCTCGGGCATTTCGCAACAGGCAGAAACAAGCTCACCCGGGAAGAAAATCGCCGTCCGCGGCCTCCCAGGCCGGCTCGAGCTCCATCGCACCGGACACGCAGCAGATGCTCCAAAGGAGGCGGCCGGCGCGCAGCATCGCAGAGCCCGTGTCAGCTCTGACGCATCCCGGCCGACCCTCGCGCCACGCCGGCGCCGCAGAACAGGGCCTGCGAAGCGCTTCATGGCCTTGCGACGGCCAATGGTGGGAGCCACAGAGATTCCGCCTGATCTCAGCTCAATGTCGCGCTTTGCAGAGCCAGAATCGGCATGGGGGATGTTGAGGATGGAATGCGAAAGCGGTGTAAGTGAAGACGAAGGAGAGCTGATCCGAGGATGCAGAAGCAGTGACGCACTTGGACAGGAAGCACGTGGGGTACAAGCTACTACTGCTAACGACCTTCTGAGCCGTTGCCGAGCTTCACCGAACCTTGGCTGTTTGGTGTAAAAGTAAGGTATCAGCAATCAGACTCGGCATCAATGGATTGATTGACTTGACAGACACTGCATATCATTGTTGGCACAATCAAGTCTGTTGGCTCCACAGCATCAGCTTCCTGGAGCAATGGTATTGTTTGGGGGTTATGATTGCTAGGGTAGCCTTGAAGCTGCCTCGGACTTGACTCGGGCATTTGGCTGGACGCTGTCATCTATTCCACACGACAACAAAAGATTCAACGGTGAGAAGGGCAGTTCAATCCTGTGTCTAGCAGTCTATTAGCAACGAATCTCTACTCCTCCCTTGCTGACCGTCAGGTACTTGACGCCCTTGTAAGGCTTCACGCCTTCGCTGAGCCCCCGGCTTTTCCTCGCGTCTAATACAATGCTCTCAATCTTCAGCCCGCTCGCCAGCCACCCCTTGACAGAGAAGCTCACGGCGGCCGAACTGGGCATCAGAATCTTGTTCTGCGCTACCTTCTTAGGGTCCTGCTCCTCATCCACGCCCACCTTCTCCTTGCCTGAAGTGGCGGCCGCCGTGTTTTGGTACGGCTCGTTGTATGAATAGTCGGTGCCAAACCCGAATCCCGTAGGATCAAACTCTTCCTCTTCGTCGTCGGCCAGAGATCCCACCACCGTACACCTCAGTCCAAAATGAGACGTCGGGCCAGACATCTCCTTGGCCGGGATGTGCCACTCGAGTCGCCCCTCGGCTCTGTTGAAGCTCGCATCCCCCCTGGACGGCCTGATATCAGACAGGTTCCTCACATCTTCGGGCAGAGGAATGGTGACAATCAGGTCGTCTAGTAGCGGCGAGCTTGGGCTCCCGGGATGCGGTGACCCCAGCCGGCCAGGAACTCCTGCGCGGCCCAATTGGCTCACTGCTGATGATGAATTGGGCGTGCCGAAGATCTTGTTTGTTTGCAGCCTGACCTCGAACTCAGATCCCACAGGCCCAAGCCCGGTCTTGACCTCGAGGCTGACGGGAAGCTTGAGATTGTTGGAGCTGACACTCCCACTCTTCCCACTGGTATATGGTAGCAGATCGACCTCGTAGCCAGCCAGAATGAATCGTCCATCGGGCGGTATAAAGCTTAGTTCTCCGGGTCGCTCATTCCACCTTGCCAGTCGAACGCATGGGTGGAAGACGGGCAGTTCCATGATGCCGCCTATGTTGTGCTTGCCCGACGGACTGCCGAGCGTCACCAGGACATCGGGAACCCCGGACACCTTTGACGTAAACGCAATCGTTCCATTCGCGAATGCAGCCAGCGGCCTCCCTGAAGGGGCCAGCGTTACGGATAAGGTCTCGACGACGTCGGCGTAGAGCTCGTTTGAGGTGTGCCGTACGTTGGCTCGTCTCCAGGGCAGGGCTGGCGTGTTGGAGGCTATCAGTGACGGTGCAGCTGGGCTTGTGTTGAGCGGAGATTTCCTGCTCCCGCGTTAGTTGACATGAGGCTATGATCTCCATCCCACCAGAATATCTGCTTTGCACATACCCAGGCAGGTTGATGCTACCGAGCAGCTTGTCGACCCAGCCCTCCATCTCCACGACCTCTCGGAGAGCATTAGGCTCCGTAGTGCTGACCGTGCCCGCATCGCACATCTCCGTCAGAAGCTGCGCAATGACATCGTAGTTGCTCTCGAGCTTGACGGCCAGCAAGGGCGCCCCCACGAAGTCTTCAAAGGCATCGACGATGCGGTGCAGGAACTCGAGCACGAGGAGGGGCTCGATCTCGGTGGACGAAGTGGCCAGGAACAGCAGGTTGGAGTGCGTCAGGCTGAAGACGAGCGTCGGCGGGTTTGCGTTGGGGAGGTAGATGAGGCTCGGCCGCGGAAACGGATGCTCGAGGTAGAGGGCCAGAAGGTGGGAGGCCGAGAGAGGCCGTCCCGTGTAGGTGTGCGACAGGATGGGATTCCTTGGACAAGGTCAGTCAGCAGAGCTTCCAGAGACGCTCCAGAGGGCGAGCGGCTCACCTGTTGTCATCGTAGATGTGCAGCGCTTCAATAACGCCGTTCATGATGACGGCCCAGCGCCTTTGCCCAGCAACACGGTTTGCCAGAAGCTCCAGCAATTGAGTCGCGCGACTACCGAGTACGAGTACTTGCTTTGGTACCGCATGACGAAACTCAGTCCAAGTACCGGAGCGCTGACTAACTCCGACGAACCAATCACTGCTTGTCGTTGCATGACAGCCCGTCTTGAAGCTCAAAATCCTCCCACCAGCCAGACAGACCCTGTTATCAACCTGTTCTCGACAGTCAAACAGCGGGCTTCTTCAACATGGCCGGCGACAAGATCCCGACTCTCCACTCGCTCGAGAAGCCAGAGCGGCTGCAGGACGTCTTGCGCCAGGACCGCGGCGACGACTGCTTGCCCTGCAAAGTCATCGGTTGGTAACCATCTAATAATGCATTAGCTTCGAGCTCTCCATGCGATGGGAAAAGAAGCTGTATGGCTGACTGATTCGCAGGAAGCGGTGCCTTCTTCGGCCTTGCAGCGTACAGCTACTTTTCGGGCATGTCGCAGCTGGAGAAGCAGAGGGCCGTCATTTTGCAGAGCAAGTCCATGTTCGGCATGAGGAGTCGCAAGTTTGGCATCGTCACCATCTCGGCCAGTCTCGCATGGATGGGCCTCTGGAGGGCCTTTAAATGAGCCATCACTGAAGGATCGATGAATCTCCTCGCAATTGTGTAGCCTGCGACTCCCTCGCCTCTGCGCAGCACGAGCTAAAGGGCTCTACGACTGGATGGACTCCATGCATGACCGGCGAGGGGCATGATGAATGTGGCTGGATGAAGCAGTGGACGTGTATATCAGTGTATCATCTCTCTTGTATATGACTAGGCAACAGCATGGGATATGGCGTCTGGACACAGGGAAAAGCTAAATGCATCATCTACATTCTCTCCTCTTGTAACCAAGATTCCCTATTTTGGTAGGCATCTCGAAGTATATGTACATACGTTTCGCAACGGACTTGCAGAGATCAGTCAGGGATTTGTCGAGTCTTGCTGTTACAAAGCAAGTGCCGTGTACAATACTGGTGAAAGAAAATCGTATATATTTCAATCAAGATCAAGTGTCTCAGGAGCATCTCGTGGTCCCTCTGCTTATCGTCATCAAGCTGCCGTGTCGTCGCCCTCCAGCAGCTCATCAGCCAAAAGTGTGATGCAGGTCCGGCAGCGCCAAACATCGGCCCCACTTTGAACCTTCTATCACCACTGAACTTTTTCATACAAGCAAAAGCAGCAGCACTCACTCATTCAATACATGAAAATCAAACCGTCTCCAGAAAGAACACCATTCAGCACCACAAGGTCGATATAGCAGCATAGCCCTAACAGATAAGCGGACCAGTTTGGATCTCATTCAGGCTACCAGCCCCAATTTCCCGGCGCTCCTCTGCCATCTCTTTCATTCTCACCAAATCTCACAGCCATGCCCATCACAATCCTCAACCCTCAGCCCAACACGCCGGCCCCTCGGCGACCGCGCGCAATGGACATCGACATGGACGTTCCCTCAGACTCAGACTCGGACTCGGAAATGGGCGGAGCGGCCGTCCAGGGCGACGTACAGATGCAGGACGGCGAAAGCGTCGACGAGGACCAGGACTTGGATGAGGAGGAGGCCGACGCCAGAGATCAGATTCTCACTCCGGGGACAGTAATCACGTCGAATCCCCAATGGATGCGGTACTTGATCCCCTGAACATCTCCCTCCTGTCTCATTGTGCTATCACATATCATCCGTCTTCGGCATCACCATCATCACTCTCCTCCCTTCTCTCTTCCTCCCCTCCCTACCATATCAACCGACCTCATCATATCACATCAAAGCTACACATAGAACGCCTTCCCGTCTCAAAGGCTCTCAACCGCCATACTAATTCTGCCTCCCAGCGGCCACGGAACATACGTCCCCCCAAACACAACAAACATCACCTCCTCCCTCGCAGGCACCCTCACCCGCACCAACAAGCTCCTCTCCGTGCGGCCCCTGCGCGCGCGCTACACCCCCGAGATCGGCGACCTCGTCGTCGGCCGCATCGTCGAGGTCCAGGCCAAGCGCTGGCGCGTCGACGTCGCCGCCGCGCAGCTCGCCATCCTGCAGATCTCGGCCATCAACCTCCCCGGCGGCATCCTGCGCAAGCGCACCGAGACGGACGAGCTCCAGATCAGGAGCTTCTTCGCCGAGGGCGACCTGCTCGTCGCCGAGGTCCAGCAGCTGCACCAGGACGGCGCCGCCAGCCTGCACACGCGCAGCCTGAAATACGGCAAGCTGCGCAACGGCGTCTTCGTCGCCGTCGGGGGCACGGGCGGCGGCGGCGGCGTCGTCCGCTCCAAGCGCCAGCTGTGGACCATGGAGACGGCCAACGGCGGCGGCAAGATTGACGTCCTGCTCGGCGTCAACGGCTACATCTGGATCAGCAAGCACGTCGAGAGCGACGTCGCCGCCGAGGCCGCCACCATCAACCGCATGGAGGAGAGCGTCAGCTCGCAGATCTACTCGAGCCAGAACAACCACATCGACGTGCCCACGATGCGCGAGATTGCGCGCTGCCGGAGCGTCATCCTCGCGCTGGTGGAGAACGGCGTCAGGGTGGACGAGGACACCGTCACCAGGGGCTATCTCGAGGCTGTCGAGTTTGGGAGGGAGTCTGCCGAGGACGACATCTACCTTGGGGGTGAGAGGGGACAGAGGCTTGCTGCGGCACTATCTGGGCGGTAGAGAGCGGGAGTGGGAGAGAGACGAGGCAAAAGCTGTACTGGTCATTTAAGGATTGGGTTTTAGAAATCTGTTAGGGACGATTTTCTCATCAACTAAAGAATAATTCAGCTAGCTAAACACGGAAGAGAAGATTCGCAAGGCAAACCCGGGGCAATACTATTTGATCGCTACATGAAACGTGGCTTTACAGAAGCCACTATATCTCAAGCTTCTGAAGCTCTGTTACAGAAGTGAAATGTACCGATATACAATTTCTTTTTCAAGCTCATCCTTCTTGCTCACTGGATGTCCTCCAACAAAGGGAGCTACTGTAAATGAACAGGCTACATGTGCCTGACAAGTGAGAAGAAGCCTCATTACTACGCTTTGCTGGTCCTCCCCTGATTCACATCCCTAGAGACTTCCGTTTCAGACCCAGTGTCACAGCCAAGGCAACGAGGACCCCCCACCTAAAGACGAGGCCGGCCGCGCTCTTGGAGCCCAGGCTCAGCAGCACGGAGACCCAGTACCGGAGGCCCTTGACGAGGCGGCCGTCGCGGTCAAAGTCGGGCTTGAGCGCGTTCATGCGGCGGTGGCGCTTGTACTCGCTGGCCGAGTAGGGCATGTACCGCACGCGCAGCAGCTTGTCGGCCCAGCCGGGCACCTTTGCGACGGGCCGCTGGTGGCTGAAGGCCTTGAAGGAGTAGTAGCCGTGGTAGCTGCCCGTGCCGGACGTGCCGACGCCGCCGATGGGCTGCTGGTTGAGCATGGAGTGGAAGAAGCCGTCGTTGATGGTGGCTCCGCCTGATGACACGCTGTTGAGTACTGCAAAAGCAATGTTAGGTTAGCTCTCACGTATGTCTCATGACAACCGGGCTAAGGGGAGAGTGCATGTTGCTCTCTCTTGCGGCAAATGACACACACCTTTCTCATTCTCTGCATCCGAGCCAAAGGTGAAGAGAGCCAACGGCGTCGGGTCGACCTCGTGGGCCATGTTGATGGCTTCATCCAAGGTATCAAAGGGCAGAATGGACCATATGGGCCCGAAGCTCTCCTCCACGATCATGCTGTCATTGACGTCGTTGACCAAGACGACGGTCGGCTCGATGAAGAGGTCGGACTCGTCCATTGACCCGCCCATGACGATGGTGCCCTTGGAGCTGTCCAGCATCTTCTTCAACCGGTTGAAGTGGGTGAGGTTGACGATGCGGGAGAAGTCGGTGCTCGCCTTTGCGCCCTGGGGCATGAAGACGGCGTACTGCTTCTTGAGCTCGTCGACGAACTTGTTGAGGACGCAGCGCTCGACGAGGACGTAGTTGTGGGAGAGGCAGACCTGGCCGGCATTCAGGCACTTTTGCCACAGCAGGCGCCGGGCCGCGAGCTTGACGTCGCCCTTGCGCGTGACAAAGGCCGGGTTCTGGCCGCCCAGCTCGAGCAGCACGGGCGTCAGCGTCTCGGCCGCCTTCTGCGCGATGATGGTGCCCGTGCGGCGGCCGCCGGTGAAGACGATCTTGTCAAACTTGTGCTCCAGGATGTGCTTGGTCTCGTCGACGCCGCCGTTGACGCAGGCGTAGCTCTCGGGGTCCAGCGCCTCGTCCACGATCTTCCGGATGACCATGGCCGAGTGCGGCGCCAGCTCCGACGGCTTGAGCAGCACCGTGTTGCCGGCGGCGATGGCGCCGACGAGCGGCGTGATGTTGAGCTGGAAGGGGAAGTTGTAGGCGCCAATGTTGAGGATGACGCCCAGCGGCTCGTGGCGGATGCGCGGCTTCATGGGCAGGAACTGCAGCGGCATGCCGCGGACGGGCTCGTCGCGCACCCAGTCGTCCAGGCCGGCGACGGCGTCGAGGCACTCCTGCTTGCACCAGTCGATCTCGGAGATGTTGGCCTCGAACTTGGACTTGCGCATGTCCTGGTGCAGGGCCCGCTCCATCAGCTCGGCGTTGTCGACAATGGCCCAGTACAGCCGGCGGATCTGCTGCTTGCGGTACTCGACGTCCCTGGTGCGGCCGGAGCGGAACGTCGCCCGGAGCGTCTTGTGCTTGGCCGTGATGTCGTCGAGCGGCGTGAGCTCGAGCGGCGGGATGCTGCCGCTGCCGCTCGTCGTCGTCGTCGTCGCGAGCGCCATGGTGTTGCAGTCACAGCACTGGCTGGAGAGGTTGCTTTCAATCTGTTAAGTACTAAGTAGGGCAACAGCGCAGCAGCTGTTCTGAAGCGACAATCGGCGATTGTTGATGCTTGGTGACGAAGATGGTGGTGATGCTTCCGGAGTGCAGAGTTGCAAGAAAACAAATCAAGTTCAAGCAACAACCAGCATTCCCGGCTTCTCAGCGTCGCAATGGCCGGCTCCTCTCTGGCATCTCAGTCACAGCCCGCACAATCCCAACGCAGACCGCGGCAACAAGCAGCAGCTCAAATGGCATGTGGAAATAACTAATAAACAGCCGTTGAAGGCAAAGGCAACCAACTGCAACCCCGTTTTGGCTCCAGTTCATCTGCTATGAATCCCGGTTCGTTTTCTCCAAAGAAATTGAATCCATGCCGGTCCCCGCGGCTTGCCGCTAGCAGTAATGCCTAGTTCGTCACCAAAGTCAAGTCACACTCGCCTCGCATCGGTTTCTATGGCTGTACTTTGTAAAATGCCCGGCTTCTTACCCCCACAGCTTTCGTTCCGTGGTGCAATTGATTTTGCTTGTATACCAGCAGACCACAGGCGGAATCCCGGCTCAAGTGTGCAGTCCGTGTTGAGGTGGCTGCATCCGGGCACGACGAAGCTTCAGCTCAGGAGCCGAGGCATCTGGTCAGTTGTTAGCTAATAACAAGCCCCGCTGCAGATAGATTGGATGGTTACCTATTGAACAGCAATTCCGACCGAGCTGCGGAATAGCGGTGATTTGCGCTGAAAAGGTAGTGTATCCTCTGGTATCAACGCGGAGCTCGAGGTCAAGATGTCGACTTTGAAATCTGACGTGAGAACTTGAGGCGATCACTACTTACGTATTGAACGTCTCTCCTGAAGCCTCTCACAAAGACCTTCATCTCTGCCACTCCCAAGAACTGACACCCAAAGTATGATGGGAAACATCTTCGTCTTTTATTCTAAATAAATAGATATTCAAACACCCAATCGTTCATCTACCTAAGATAAAGGCTTTCTTCTTCTTCCGAGTGTAGCTTGTTGCCTAATTCAGAGTCCGAACCAGGGCTTCTGTCCAAGGCAAATTCTTCGAAGTGATTCTGAATGTATCGACCTGTTTTATGAAGAGTTGCTCTGAACTGCTCAATGCCTGTCGATATTATTCTCAGTAGGATAGGCAAGGGAGAAACCATCGCCTCCGACGAATCCAACGGTTAATGTATCGCCCCCCAAGGCTGGTTCAGGCACCGATGTTCTACAAAGATTTTGAGATCCGCCTAGAACTAATAAGCAGGGGCCTGTCTTTTCAAAAAGTCGACCAAGTGAACATTGCGAGAGAGCTTCGCACCGTAGAGGAACATATACTACACCCTACCTTACACAACAAGTCTAGCCGAGATCATAACCACATCCCTAAGCTTCATTAGTCCATGTTCAGCGGACGGAACCATTTCTTGTCGTACACCTCATATACATCAGTTGACGTCAAAAAATTCCATATTGTACATCCAACCGCCCTCCCAAGCAAAGCGGTGCCCACGGTCTTCTATTATACATGTCTTTTTTTCTTTTCGGCATCTTTCAAAACATGGCATGTCCCCCCAAAAACGAACACCAAGTACCGGGTAGGCATCACACATATACATCGCCCATCCGTCACCGACATGCTTTTCCTGTCCGGATATGATTCGCCTTGCCCTTTCTTTTTCATCCCTTATCCTTTTTTTTTCCCCTTCAGGGCTCCCCTCACCTCCTCGCCCTTGTGGCTCCTCCCGTCGACTTTGCCGCCCTCGGCACCGCCTCTAGCAGCGCAACCTTCTCCTTCTCTTGATCCTCCGCCAGCTTCTGTATCAAAAAGTCGTCAATCAACTTCTGCCCGTCCACCAGCAATCCCTGCTCCGCCCTCTTCGCGTCGGCAATCGCCGCCTTCTGCCGGTACTCGGCCAGCTCCCTCTTCCTCTCCTCCGTAAGCCGCCACTCCTTCGGGAACTGGGGCTTCGGCTCAACCTTGTGGTGCCGCAGATCAAGAGGCACGTCCTGGAAGGTGTCCTTGGGATCCTTGGCCGCGGCGATCAAGTCGTTGACCAGGTTGATCAGGTACTGCTTGTTCTGCGCCTGGTGCTCAAAGCTCTCGCAGCTCATCTTGACGAGTTCCGTCTCGGGGTTGTATCGCGGGCCAGCGAGCTTCTTCAGCTTCTCGGTCTGTACATCGGAAAGCTCCAAGTCGTCGGGGGCAAACTGCACAACCACCTTCTTCTCGGCGGGGTGGGACTCTCCCATGTATGTCGTGTACCTCCACCTCAACACCTGCTTCTCTGTAGGGGGGACGAATGGCTTGGCGAATTCTGCATTGTCAAAACTTGTCAGCCGAACATTCATAACATAACGTAACGTAACGTCCAACGCCCCGGGATGGGCACCCACTGGCAAGAAGAGGCATCTCCCAGACCGCCAACCGATCATAGTGCCTCATATCCCGTATCTCGTCCAGCTTGCCGTGCGCCATGGACGTGATGTCGTCCTCGTCAAACTCATCGTGCTCCTCCGTGTTCGTCTCGGGGTCATCCTCGTCGAACCAGAACGACGACTTGTTCGGCTTCTCGCCAACGTCGTCTCTGTACAGATCCTCCTCCAGCGCCCTGTCCTCCGAAGCCCACCCGGGCGTCTCCCGCATCGTCGCCTCGAGATACTCCTCCACCGTCGTGTATCCGTTGTTCTTCGCCAGCTCATCCAGCTGCTTCAAGCTCTCGGGTGTGACGCCATCCAGAAAGGCCTTGTTCAACTGCTTCAGGTCCAGCGTCTTGTACGCATCGCCTTCGCCGTCGTCGTCCTGCCCGGCCTTTTCGTCCGCCAGCCGCCGCGGCGAGGTAGCGAACGCCCGGCCCGCTGTTGTCGGCGCGTGCCAGGCAATTGGCTGTGTTCGAGGCATCCGAGGCACGCGGAGTGCCCGCCGGCAGGCCAGCATGCACAGCCTTCCGGCGCTCGATGCTGAAGCCATGCCGAAAAAGAGGGTGAATGTCGAGTTGCGGCCGCACACCCAGGGAATTTCGTTTGCGCGGGATGCGGGACGGGCAATGTAGATGCACCCTCAAATTTTTGGTGGGATGACAACTCGCGGCTGCCGAGATTGTTCCGTGCTAGGTGCAATTGGCGGCTCACCGCGGGTGTTCCTCGGTGAATCAACTTCACCTTACAGAAGCGGCGCCTCGATAGCAGTGACATGTCTCCGGGTACCGAACTTACACCTTGGTTGATAGGTACCTAGTAGCTCAGTTCATACAAGTCTCCCCCCCCGTCATCCAAATCACACAACTTCTCATCTCAACCTCGAGTCGATGGCTTTTGCCGCTCCATTTTCCAAATGGCACATCTCCAGCGGCACTGCCTAGTAACAGTAGGCGCCACCGTCGGCTTCCAGCAACTGACGGAACAAGTCCTTGAGCCCGCGTTCTGGGACTTCCTCCGCGCCGAGGGCTTCACGTCCCTTCGCATCCAGTGCGGGCCCGACATCGGCTGGGCGAGCGCCCGCCTGGCTTCGCTGCGGGATCGCGTGCCAGAGGGGCTGGCTGTGGACGTCTTCGAGACGACGAAGAATCTCATGATGGACGAGATGGTGCTGTGCAAGGCTTGGAGCGGGTCGCGCCGGATGGGGGTGGTTGTTTCTCATGCAGGTGAATATTTCCGGGTCTTGCTATATGCGATTTCATGCCAAGGCTCGAAGGGGTTATAAAGGCAGACTGACGATGATGACCTAGGAACCGGGACAATTCTTGATGCGTGGAAAGTTGGCCTTCCAGTCATCGTCGTACCAAACGAGACGCTGCTGGATAACCACCAAGCCGAAATGGCCAAGCACCTCGCAAAAGAAGGCTACGCAATCACAAGCACAGCAAGGTAAATCTTACCCCTCTCGCTCGCTCATTCCCTTACCCCGCCTTTTGGCCTCTTCTCTTTTACCTCAGGACCTCGCCGTGATAAGTTCACAGTCTCTGACTCCATGTCTTACTCACAGCTACCTGGACCTTGAAGGAGCAATCCATAAGGCAGATCTCCTCTGGGAAGACAACAAGTCTCGCTGGCCCCCTCACACAATCAAGCCGCAGAAGGACACTGGCGCCCTTCGCCTGTGGGAAATGCATCCGCAAGAGGTGGAGAAAGAAGAGGACGCCCAGATGACCAACGACTAGGCGTTTGGCTTCTGTGGTCGTCTGGCCCTGTGGATCGGTTGACTTTGACACTCGGTCTGCTTGAAAGCAACAGCAGCAGCATATCACTTTTCATCTTGTAATTTCAGGCATGGCGTTTGGGAAGGGCTCGTCAGATGGGAGCATGCTTATCTACTTGGAGCTATAATGACTGGGAATCATGGCAAAATTTCGCAACGGAAAAGGACAGATGGAAAGGGCCTCTTTCTATATACATTTGAATCAAGGAAGATCATTGACTTCCCAGATCTTGACCGTCGCATCCTTTCCAGAGCTCGCCAGCCGGGTGCCTGCGATCCAAGTGATGCCCGTCACGCCGTCCAGATGGGCATTCGGCGCCTTGATGCGCTGGCCTTGAAGCCTCTTCTCCAGGCACCAGACGAAGATGTTGGAGTCCAAGCTCCCACTTGCGGCATACGCGCCCGTGTCCTCCCAGGAGATGCAGGTGACTCGTGCGGTGTGTGCCGACCAGCGGTCCGTCACGAGCTCCCAAGTTCCGACCTTGAAGACCAGGATCTTCCCCACGCTTGTTCCCACCGCCAGGTGGCTGCCGTCCTTGGAGAAAGCCAGAGCAGTAACGGTGCCGAGAGGGGTGGACACAGACTCCTTGTATTCCAGGTTACCATTGGAGTCGCTGGTGTAGATCCTTGCGGTGTTGCCCTGTCCTCCGATGGCCACATAGGACCCGTAGGCGGCAATGGCGTCGGGCGTAAAGTCGAGAGGCGTCTCTTTGAGCAGCTTTCCGTTGGAGTAAGCTGCCACGCCACTTATGCCGGCTACATAGACGATGTCACCGACTGAAGCCGCTCCCTTGGGCTGGCTGGGAAGCTTCGCCGACTCGCCGACAAAGGTCTTTGCAGAGTCGTCAATCGTCCTAAGAGTATCATCCCAACCTACACTGTATATCTTGCCAGAGCTGGTGGCAAACTGGGGGATCTGGTTCGTATGAGACTGGCCATCCAGAACGTTGGCGGCGCCAGTCTCAAGGTCCCAGGAGCAGACACGGCCGTCGAAGCTGCCCGTCACGACGGTATGCCCGCTGCCGTCCGAGCCTGCCGTCAGAGCCGTGATTCCTTTGTCGTGGCCCTGGATAACCCTGATGGGCTCATCTTTGCCCTCTTGCAGGTACGTCAGCTCACCCGCCAGGTTGATGCTGATGATGAGGCCGTCTGTCCGACCGTGGGGGATGACAACTCCAACCTGGTGGTCCCGCACGCTCACTCCATCGCCAAACTTCCACGTCTGAATAACGCTGCCTGACTCGACGTCCCACAGCTTGATTGTCTGATCCGCACTAGCAGTCGCAAACTTCTTGCCGTCTTGGGTCCACGAAACACCAAAGATGCTGCCAGTGTGCTCGCCCTCGCCAATCTGTCTGAGCGGCTCGCCCGTGACGCCATCGTACAGCTGTATCCGCTTATCTTGGCCAACCGTCACAAATGTAGAGCCGTCGGGCGAGTAGACGGCGCTCAAGACGAAGCCGCCGTGCAGGGTCGAGGCGCTCTTGAACTCAAAGGGAACACCGTGGTAGAAGTTGACGTTGCGGTCATCGCCGACGGTGACGGCACGCAGAGGGCGCTTCGGCGTGATGCTCACGGCGTTGACGGACTTGGTGTGGCCGATGATCTCGCCCACCGAGTTGCCGCTGTCGGCCATGATGGCCTTGCCAAACTTCTGGCGGCCATTGCCCACGGCGATGATGCGCTGGGAGTCGCCGTCCCAGGCAATGTCCAGCAGCGGGCCGGAGATGATGGGGTATTCGCCTCGCGTGGTTTCGATGGACTCGGGCTCCCATATCCTCAGGATACCGGCAGCGTCACCGCTGGCAATCTTGAAGCCGCTGGGCGCAAAGCGGGCGATGGTGGTGGGGTGGGTGTGGCCGGTGTATTGTTTGCAGTCTGAGGGGTCGTCGATGGACCGGACGAAGATGGACTTGCCAGACTATAATACCACACCGAGCCAAGTCAGCTTGAGGTACTGCAGGTCTCGGCTCGCGGAGATGCGGTCAGTGATGGGCAACTCACTGCGTATGCGATCCTCTTGCCCTTGGAGTCTGCCGACAGCTGGGTTCCCTGGCCTCGGCTTGAGACGGGGGCCGCCGCCAGGATGCGTTCATTGACGATGGAAGCCATTGTCGCGACTGATGCCGACAGATGAGCTGGTTGATCGGAAGTAGCTTTGGTTGGCGGATGATTGGGGGTCGAGCAACCAGAGCTTCGTGATCCAGGAGGGGTTGAAACGAACAAGTTGTAAGTCGATGGTGGGGCACTGGGGAGAGGTCGGCCCAAGCTAAAGTGTCACTAACTAAGACTTGGTGCTGTTGAAGGCTTCAGGTTGGGAGCAGCACAAGCGAGCTTCGGGTGATGTTGTGCTTCTGCGGATCAGTTTGGTGGTTTTAATACTATGCCTTTTGTCATTGACTCGAGCTGATCAGTATTGTCATGATTTAATATGTTGGGAGAGATGTGCTCGACAGGCTGCGGCATCTTTGTATGGCGCGACTCTATTCATCTGCCTGGCTGTGTCGTCAGCGAGCACTTGCTAATATAACAAGGCATTTGATGTACTTGATAACTCTGTCTGGCATCAGGCATCAGCATCACGTTCTAGCAGCAATTGGGTATGAGCTGCGGAGTAATCCGATATCAAACTTGATGCCTGGTGAATAGCTCTCAGATATATGCATACTGGGTATTTCGTGTGCAGAGTTGATGCCTGCTCGTTGCCCAAATGGCGTCACGTCCTCTTATCGAGCCGAACCGGCGTACAAGCTGATCGGATACGGAGGCCCAAAATGAACGAGCTTCTCGCCGGGACAGATGAATGTCACCACGAGAATAACAGACATCAAGATGCTCACCACCAATTCATCGTTCTGCATCGGAACATTTGCAGCGTGGCCAGCCCGGAGCTGCAGCTGCCCTCAACAGGCAGGTAAGGTAAGCCCAAGCACCACTGCAAGGCTCCATTGCCAGCACTCCGAGTCCATCACAAGTGCAACCTCGTCCATCGCCGTGGTGGAACCCCCCTGTCGGCAGAGACGAGAGACGAGAGACACAACCTCACTCTCATCCCCGCCCAGCCTTCAGCCGCAAGGGCGAGTTGACGCTGCTAACCAGCGACCGGGTGCCGTGGCGTTGCGCCTCCCGCACAGGGGTAGACACACTACATGTACTAACACGCCGCCATCAGTGTCCCAATATTCGTACGAGTACTATCCTACCTCTGCTGCACCATCGTCAGTATCATCTCTCCGTTGCAGGCGGGACTCAAGAAGAAAAGAGAAGCTCCATGGAACCATCGACCAGAGAGAGACTGGGTAATACAGGAAGAGATCCTCCGGTGAAAAGAACGCTCGGACCGCCCGAACCCCAGCAAAGACTTGTTCTACACCGATTCTTGTCTGGTCTGGACGAACACCCCCATCGGAAGCGAAGAGCTCGGGCTCCCGAGCTTGTGAACCAGGTTTCCTCCCGTATTCTGTATCCTCGTCTCTTGTTTCTGGGGGATCGCCAGAATGAAAGAAAGGAAGAAAGATCAACGGTATGATTGAGCGAGGCAGAGGGAGACTACATAAGGTAATGAATGAGAACCGGGAAGAAAGAGAGTTTTGTCTCAAGCCTGGCGCCATCCAGGGGCATCCGCAGCTATTGAACTCTATCCCTTGCTCCCCTGGCCAATCCGAGCAGCCAATTGACCCCAATTGATTGAATTCATCGTTGGCCCAGCAGAGCGGTCAATATTCTCCATCACCGCAACCCCCTTCCAGCGCCCACAAACGCTGCCCTGCCATGTACCATTACTTGTCACCACCATCATCACCACGGTTACTCCAACAAGGGAGCTTCATCTTGGACCTCTGCTGTATCTTCCGTTTTCACGTTAGTCCACCGGCGGCCGCGCCTCCACAGACAGCCGCACTCCCATTTCTCGCCGTTGTCGACCTGCCTCTGCGATTGGCCAGCGGCGTCAGATATGGATTCCAATGCGACTCCCTGACTTTGCACCATCCCTTTTCATTGATCCAGATCCAGTCGCTCGCTCACTCACTCACCACTTGCAAAACAATGACATCTGAATGCTTGTAACACATCACATTGGCGATAGCCCACCGGTGGCCGTTTTGCATCACGCCCCGGCAGATACGAGGTTTCCATCACTTTTGCTGTCGAGTGCCAACTGACCGTGTGAGTTCCATCTGGGTATCACCGCCAGTCGCACAGAGAGAGCCGATATGCTACGAGTACATGCCTCTCGGTTTCTGGGCTGGCGGCGTAAACTCTGTTCAAGGCCACGCCGCGCTTAGAAGCACTAACATGAGTCCGAGGTAGCATCGTCAGTTTTGGGCGGTGATTGTTGCTCCGGAATACGATACCGTGCTCCGTAGCATCGTCGGTGCGCCCCCTTCCACGAGGCTTGGGTGATACTTGTACCATCTCCCCATCATCCTCCTGCTCAAGGGAGGCGGCATGCGATGCTGATGATTTCTCCCTTCAATGCCCTTCCTCTGTCCCCGTATGTACAAGAAACACCGAACAAACACAAACACAGGCCACGGCACAAAAGCACAATCCCGCCCCATCCCGTCAGTTATCACCTTGTCTTTCCCTTCCGTCCTTTCCTCGGCCGTTCGCCCCTTGCAACCTCACGATGGGAAATCCGGGGGTCCCCCCTTGAGCCTGAGCAAAAAGCCTGAGCCTGAGCCCGAGAGAGGAGAAACCCCAACATGCCACTTACTATTATCACGCCCCCTACCCCCGGCTCGTCGCTTCCGTACACAGGAACTTCACCTGCAAAGTCATACCTTCTCCTCCCCCTAGCAACGAAAGGACCTACTTATTTAGTTTTCTCCCTTCCTCCTTCTAGGAACTCGTCTTCTCTCTCCCTCTCTTTTTTTCTTCTCTTTCTTCTCCTCGTCTGGCTCTCCATAACTTGTTGTAATAATAAAACACATCCCGTCTTACCACAACATCGCATTACAGAAGCATCTTGGGTCTCTTTTGGACTTGAATCTCGTTATCCAACAGCCTCACAAACTCTCATATTATTCCCCATCCATCCCGTATCTTCCATAATCATCCACCAGACAAACAAGATGAAGTTCTTCGCGACTCTCCTGTTTGCTGCCGCTGGCGTCTCCGCCGCTGGCTCTGCTACCGCGCCAAGCTCCCCAGGCTCGACCTGTCTGGCCGACTACATCCTCGAGGACTGCCTCGGCTCAACAACAAAGACTGTACGTGGAGAACGCCAATCTGCTTTCATCCTTCGTATAAGAGAAAGCATCTCGACTGACAATTGCAACCAGGCCAACTCATGCCAGCCCACTGACTACGACTGTCTCTGCGCCGCTTACCAGGCCGTCTTGACGTGAGTCTCTTCGCTTTTGTACTACTGGGGACAATTTACTCACACTCCGCCAAAACCAGCTGCTACAACAACTGCCCCAACGACATCCGCGCCCCCTCGGTCCAGCAGCAGGTCGACTCCTACTGCCGCACCGCCTCCCTCCTCAACCCCAAGACCACCACCACCAAGGCCAAGCCGTCCCAGTCCCAGGAGTCGTCCAGCTCCGAGGAGACGTCCGCCTCCAGCCCCGGCAGCAACGACGAGGCCTCTGCCACCGGCTCTGGTCCTTCCCAGACGTCTGGCTCTTCTCGCACGAGCTCCACCAGCCCTACTGCTGCCAGCACGAGCACCAACGCCGCCGCTACCATGATGGGAGGCGTTGCCGGCATCGTCATGGCTGTCGCCGGTGCCGCTGTTGCCATGGTGTAAATGGAAGGGGGGAGCCAGATTGATGTCAATTAATGCAATGCGAAAAGACTGAATGAAATGGAATGTTGGACTGGGAGATGGCGTATCGTATGAATGGGTACTGTTTCGGCGCATTGTGTCCATGTAATTCTAGTTTTACCTCTTAATATCACGTCGGGATCCGCGCCATATCATGTCTACCAATGTGTGACCTTGTACACATGCGATTCTTGCCATGCTAGTGTAATTGAAGGCATTGAGCCTTCCATCATTCTTATTTCCATCAAGGCAAACATATCCTCGCGGGCATTGATGTATCATACAAAAAGCCTCAAGACGCAGGGAGACAAAAAACAAGAACAATCTTTCATGGCCACCCCGGTGTTGTTTCTGTTTGGCCAAGCAATCCTCAAGCGACCTCCTGTAAAAACTGAATCCCTTTTGCGCCGGCACCCCTTCTTGAACACAAAGTACCAAACAAAGCCGAATCTCTAATACAAAAAGAAAAGGAAAAACGAAGAAAGCAATTCGTTCCGCAATAAAACCCTCAGTGACCTGGTAGCGCCAAAAAAGTAGAAAAGATAAAAAAGAAGTGTTCACACTTTCCTGATAAGCAAACCGAACCGATCCACCAACTATTGCCAGACTTCCAACTGAGAGGATAAAGAAAAAAAAAAGGGCATCAAAAGTTCGTTAAGGCACCAAAAACGGAGTTATAGTTCTTAAGTAAAAGGCGCAGGGAAAACATTGAGAAGAGATAAGAAGAATCCAAACGGAGGTCTATTAGGTTGCCACGGAGTCCATGTTTGAGTACAGAGGGTCCTAGTCGGGTTGGCGGAGATCGACGTGGTCGTATGACAGCCATTCGCGTTGTTTAGGCTTTCCGGTGCCGTCTCTCTTGGGCACTGCTCTTGACCGGGCCAATGAAGGTGACCTGCTTGGCCGACTCCTTGCGAAGGCGCACAGGCCCTGCCATGCCCGACGATTCTCGGCGAAGTGCTCGCGGATCTGTCTCATAATCCAGCGTGATTTCGGCAACATCCGAAACTGATTCCGCCTCTAGCTGGTCACTTGCCCCAGAGACGGAAGAGCCTTCATCAGAGTCGTCATACTCCCCGTCGTCACTAACAAGCGAAGGCGCATTATTGCTGACAAGCGTATTGGGGCTTAGTTGCGCATCCTCCATGTCCACGTCCTCGTCCGACAAGGCCGCGTCTGACCGGTGCCTGTTGGCCATCATGGCCATGTCAGAATCCGACGGCGAAGCCAGTACCATGTGGGCGGCACGGCCCTTGCTGCTTGTCGGCCGGGCTGAGGAGCCAGCGGAAACAGGGGTCTTTGCGGTTCTGGCGGGCATACGCATGACAACGGAGGCCCGGGCTGGTGATGCATCTTGGATGGGCGACACTGAGCCATCGACTTCTGACTCTTCTCCAGCAACATCTTCAAAGGACATCTTTGCCTTTGCGTCGGCGACGACATCATGGAGGTTGCCCCGGAAGTTACGAGCCTTCAGGAGACGCGACAGATGCGGCGCATCGGCGGACGGGCCAAAGTCCGGTGCTGATGCCGATGCCGATACCGTTGCCTTGCCGGGGTAGGCGACAGCATTGATGTTGCGGGGAAACTGGACAACCGACAGCTTGCCCTGGCTGTACAGCTTCAGCGAGTCGGAAATTCTCATCCGGAGCGACTTGAAGATTTCTTGCTCCGTTATGTCGGGACGCGCAAAGGCATGCACGAAAGAGGACGTGGTGGTTGCGCTGGTCGGAGCCGAAGACGCAGAGGGAGCCGCTGCCTTGTTGTCCTTGGGGATGTTACCCCCCTCGGGAGCCTCGTAAGGCTGGCCACAATGAACGGCAGCCTCCTCATGGCTCTTGAAGTCACGCTTGTGCGCTATGCGGCAGTGGTTGATGAATCCCTGGGTGCTCGAGAAGTTGTCTCGGTGGCAGTCCAAGCAGACCAGCTTGACCGTCTGGCCGTCCGCCCGGGTCAGGACACACGGGCCTGCCTTGTCTTTGGGCGGGGGGTAGCCGCTGGACAGAGACTCAAACTTGTGGCTGCCGTTACCACGCCGGCCCTTGACTATGCCGATTCCGACTTCACCGTTACTGTTCCTGGTCGTCCTTCCCTCTGAGATGGAGCCACGTGCAGAGACTTGCGGCAGCTCTGGCTGAATGCCATCAAAGGCTGGATCGGGTATGAGCCACTTGGCATAATGCCGAGAGTAAGGTCCGTCGACGACGCCAAACGGAGGCGCCCAGCGAGGGACAGCATCGCCCGCCTTGGCCACTACTGCAGGACCCTTTCCGTCGCTGACGTCTAGCATTTGTTGTGGAGTGGGACAATTCACGGGATACGGGATGAGATGGCATCGGCGCAGTTGCTCAAGCGCAATCTGGCACTTGGCCAGCTCTTGGTTGATCAGTCTTAGCTCCTGGTGCTTGAGCAGGATTTCCTGGCAGAACTCGGCCTGGATCAGGTCTCTGGCCCTCTCGGAGGCACTGGACTCGGCCGCCGTCGAACGGGTAGGATTCTGTGGCTTGGAGGAGGACGGCTCCGCAGCCGACGCCTCGAAGCCGGTCCTGGGGCGCTTGGCCGGTGCAGCAAAGTTCATGGCGTCGCCGTCGTCGTCGGTATCGACGTCACGATGCAGCCGCTTGCGAGGCCAGTCGTCCATAGGCACTGCCTGCGACGCCGGACCGCATGCGACTGACGACTTGCCGTTGGGCGGACTGAGCGGCCCATGGATGGTCTTGTCGCTTCCCCGTGAATCGGAACTCCAGAACCGAAACATGGACATGCCCGCGGCTGCTGCGGTGCGACTGCGCCAAAGCGAGCAATGCGACGCGACAGGATGCGACGCGAAACGGCGCACGACGAGATGCGCCTGTGAGCAACACGGACGAGGTTTGACGATGAGGTAATGCGCCTTGCAGCGACAGCGATGGCGCAAACAAGGCCAAGGCACTGCCAGTGATTGGGGCGAGGGAGGCGCTGGGTGGGGCGCTGGAATGCGCGTGCTGACGTAATCTGCCCGGGGCCGTTTGGGAGTGGCGCTGGGCGAGGGAGGCTGGTGAATGGCGGCTCGTGTCCTTGGCTTCTTGCGGCCGGCGGAGAGGTCGGGAGACGCTGAACCTGACCTGACCTGCAGTGAAGGCAGCGCGCAGAAAGAGGGAAGACAAGGGGGTGAGATGACGGCTGGTGCGCGAGCCTGCAAAAAGGGGGAGGAGACGGGAGATCGAGTGCTAGCGAAAGCCTCGAGCGATGCCTCTGGCGAGAGAGCGACAGAGGAAGAAAGAATGGAAAAAGAAAGGACGATTAGGGACGGGGGAATAGAGAGTGAGTTTGGTGGTATGAGATGAAAGGGGGAGAATCAGAAGTTGCAGAAGGCGGCGGGAAGGTGACAAGTGGAAGAGCAGAGGCAAAGGGGGGGGAGGCGAGTCGCTGCGTGAAAGAGGCGGTTTGTTTTGCACGAGTTTCTGGGCTGGCTGACACCTGGACCTGCCCGGCTCTTTGCGAGGGAGGGAGGCAGCAGGGGCACAGGCGGAGGCGAGTGCCCAAGGCGATTGGCAGGCAGGGCGAGGGCCGGTGACTCGTCCAGTGGCGGGCGATGGGAGGGAGTGGGCCGGGTGCTGGCGCTGGGCTAGCACTAAGCGTCCAGTACTGATACAGTGCAGCGCAGTGCAGTGCAGTGCAGTGAGGGCTGGGGGCAGAGCGAGTACGACGCTCATCAGCGCTGGCCGTTAGTGGGCTGGGCGCTGGCAGGCAAGCAGGCAGAGGCAGAGGCATGGAGAGGCAGAGCCGCTAGCGCTGGAGTGTTCGCTCTGGGTTCCGGGCCAGGGGGGTGCGTGTTCTGGGAGTGGACCCGCGGGTGGGGAGCTTTGGCCGCCCGCTTGCGCAAGTACCGGTACACGGCCCGGTACTGCCTCCGCACGCTTGACGATGACAGACAAAGACCGGACGGGAGCGCTGAGGCCGATCAAGGGCAAACAAGCAAGTACGGGTACTTCGGTACGGCTGCCGTCCTTGCCCAGTTTCCATTGTGCAGGCCAGCGCACCTACTGGCCTGCTAGCGCCGTTTCCAGTCTCTCCAAGTTCAAGGTCTTATCGCCTCACCTCCACCGCGCTGCTCTCGGTGATGGTGTCTTGATCTACCTACAGAGCATCGTCTGATGCCTTCTCCGGCTGATAAGGCTTCCATGATGCTGAGGGTACGAGTACTGTCACTCCATGCCCGTAGGAGCATCCTGTCGTCTCCAAGTACGATACATACCCTGAATCCTCTTGAAGTGCGGGGTCCGGGCTGACTTCTGCCTCCATCCCCAAGGCATCTAGATACCTTGCTTGCCTTGCCTTGCCTGCGCTGCATTAATACCATCTCTGCCGTCTGCTGATGCTCAGACTTCTGCCTGCTACCACTCGATTCTCAACGCCAGCGCGCTAGCAGACAATGGCGAGCGTCTATCCTGCCCGCCGCCTGCAGCCACCCAAAGTCCCCTTGTTGAGGGAAGCGGGCGTAAAGCTCCAGGTTTCGGAGTCTCACATATTGAAGGTATGTACACTCCAAGTCCAAGTTACAGGCTAAGAACGGGGCACACTGGACGGAGCACAACGACCAGGGATGGAGCTTCGACGACGAAGAGCCATCGGGGAGTGTCCCGGAGGAGGGGGCCCGTAAGCCACGCTGCCACGCTACCGCACGAAGCACCAACCAGCTCTTGTTTGCCCCGTGGGACAAGGGAGAGAAGGGACTTTGGGCGGCTGGCAGGTTTGTCATTGACGGCTTGCTGCGCTCATGTTCCATTCTGTTCCTTTCTTTTTTTTTTGCGTAGTTCTACCTGGACAAGGCAGCCGCCCGCCCTAAACTTGTAGTTGCAGGAGACGGTTGTGATACAAGCAGTAATTATGCCGCCACTTTCGACTTGAGGCTGGTTCGTGTGATGTGATGTGAGGCTTTGTGTGCCCGTCTGTGCCATCCAGGTTTAGCACCGGGAAGTGTGGGTAGTTGACTCACGTATCTGTACGATTATTTCGCATGTCTTGGAGCATCCGGTAATACCTGCATCTCCAAGTACTTGAGAACGTGAAGAAGGGTGCATTCTGCTCCATCAGGGCCTACTACTACGAGTACATACCAATTGCATAGGTGGCACTGGGGATTCCTGCACGGGTGCCTATCAACCTGCAGCCTGTAGCCCAACGCCCTCGCTGCTTTCCTCCGGTGCATATACGGAAGTACAGCTACAGTGCGTCTCATCAAGTGGTTTGTAACGAGTAATGTCTCATCGTCTCGGCGGCACGTCTTGGTGGTGGCCTGGTCTTATTGATGGGTCGAGCTAATGTCGTTGGTGCATGGTTCCAATGCAGCCCAATCGATGGGCCAATCGAAGGCATCAAAGGGCTTCGATTTTCGGAATTCGAGATCGATAATCATCTATCGAGATCCCCCGGCTTCTCAGATACCATTGCGTTGAGCAGTGAGTGCTGAATACAGTCTTGTATATTCAGCGACCTGTGTGGTTTTCGCTATCCTTCACGACAGCAGACGACTGTCTTCCGTGGTGGTATCCGGCGTTCAATGTGCTCAGCTGTCTACCCGTACCGTATTTCGTACACGCAATGCGATATGCGCCCAGCTTTTGACGGGCTGGTGGGCCGATCAACGCTGGTAGTGCGTTTGTCCAGGAAACAAGCACGAAGTACGGAGTAGTGCCTCGACGACAGCACGCCCACTTTTGCGGTGCTCCAGACCACGAAGAAAGAGTCAGTCCCTGGTCTCCACCCCAACTGCTGGCACCGTCGTCATCACTGTCCGGTGCCCTTCGCAGCAGGTTTCGTGATTACTCGTACGAGCGAATACGGAGTCTGGATGGCGAGTCTTCCAATGGAGAGCGCAGGCAGGATGCATATGTTTCCTTGATTCCATATTTAACCTGTCCCCCGTGCTTTTACGGGTGACATGACAGGTACGAAGTACGAAGTACAGCAAGCGCTTCAATGCACACTCCTCTCCCGCGGCGGCTTCTATTTGGAGAGACCGTTGCCCTGCCATTGATTGCTTCCAGTCTCCCACTGATGGCGGCTCGCAGCCCCGTTTGACTGGCCGGAGCGGGCCACACCAATCTGCCGATTTAAGAAACAAGGTTTCTTAGGACCGTTGGGCCGCGGTTCGGCTTACCTTCGGAAGACACAATCAAGCTCAACCCATGCAAGCAAGATCAGGGCGGCATCGGATCTACGTTCTACCGGATGTTTATGTGTTGCCATGGAGCATCCATATCGCGGAACTTCAAGGCTGTGTGTCCCTGGCAGTATATTGAGCTTCAGTGGACGCAATTGGTCTTCCAATACTGCCAATCACATGTATGACTAGACTTGGCATGAATCAAACATGTGCCTCTAACAGTAGTACTGCCGCAATTGTTGATTCGGACAGAGAAACATGAATATGTTTCTGATAAGCCAGCGTATCAGCTGGACTAGGTAGCTGGTGCCTTACCTTATCGTAGTGCCGCTGGAGCTTCAACTAGCACCAAACCCACAATTTCCCACCAAAAAGTTGCATCTCTTCCTACTTCGAAACCGCAACAACATCGATTTCAACCCCCCCAAAAACCCAACCCTGCGATGTCGGCAACTAATGCGCCCCAGAAGCGCAAGCAGCCATCCCCAGAGCCGTCCTCCTCAAAGAAGCCGCGCACCCAAGAAAACAACAACACCCTGATAGGCCCCCACGAGGCCACCCTCGAGGAACTCGCTCCCGCGCACAACGTCCTCGCCCTCTCCGTCCTCTCGTCCACGCAGATCCGCAAGCGAGTCTCCAGCGCGACTTCACACCTCCTTCAAAAGGCCTCGGGCTCACGGATAGTCCTGCTTCATGCGCGGCCGGCAGATGTTTGCAAGATGATTACCGTGGCGGAGCAGTGCAAGAGAGTGCTTGGAGAACAAGGCCAGGCGTGGCATCAGTACAACGAACTGTACGATCTACCTCCGGAGAGCGCGAAGAAAAAGCAGAAGAAAACCACGTCCGAGAGAGTAGAGGTAGACGAGGAAGCTGAAGAGGAGTCCGACAGCGACAAGGGTGCTTTTGAGGCCATGGAAAGTCGATTCGAGAAAGCCGTGCTGCCGCCGCCGCGGGTCCGGACGTACAAGTCCCTGAGAATATTCCTTTCACATGAGGCGATTCCGGAACTCAAGTCGAGAGAAAACGTAACGGTACAGACGAGCGAAGACACTTCATGATGGAAAGGGTTGCGGGCGCGGGCGGACATTGGGCTTGATTTTCAACTGCCCGGATCTAGAGACGGTATTTTCTTAATACTTTTGCAGCAAATGATACCCTAGCTTTGAACACAGACTTTATTCAGCTATTACTATCGCCAGATTCGATACACAAGACATATGATACAATATTTCCAAACAACGCTCAATTCCGATGCGCAATCCCTCCTCTTACTCCCACCCTCCTCGGACGCCTGAACGGACAGGCTCGGCAAAATTTATATTCCAACAGAGACAGTCTCGTCATTCTTGTTTTTGTGTTGTCACCATGGGCACCGATGGGCCAAATTTGGCCCTCCCTTCGCTCTTCTCGAGAAACGTCGGCATATTTAGTAGACGGGGTGGCCCTTCTGCTTCTTCGATTGATCCATAATCCTCAGGACGAAGTTGACAATGACGGCCAACAGGAGGATGATGGCCAAGAAAGTTGGGCCGAATCGGTCGTCGAATCCGGCCTGTCCTCTCACTCGTATAGACTTGGCTCTCCAGTGGTATGTGACGAGGGCGTAAATCATGGTCAACATGGCCACGCCGGTGAAGAGAAAGGCGGAGATGAAGGACACTCGGTCGCCAAAGTTGAGCATGCCAATGGCCAGGGCGCCGAGGATGACGGTGAAGTTAAGCCATGACAGGAATGTGCGCTCGTTGGCGAAGAAGACCTTGGGCTCGACGCGGGTAGGGAGGGCGATGCGCTTGCCTGGACAATGGTGAGCAATTGGCACGGCTGCGACAGGTACAGCGCGGGAGGCAGGATGGCAGATGCTACGGCGACTTACCAGGAGCGGTTTGGAGGAGAGGCTGGGAAGACATGATGCTCTAGGTAATGAGGGTCGAAGGAGGGAAAAGGGCTGTTGCTGAGGCTGCTGGAGCTACCGCTACTACTCTCGGTTTGAGCAAAAGGATGACGTCTTGGAGCGGTGAGCTAATGCAGCTGCTGCGCTTGATTGACCGTAGAAACTGTAGGTTGTGGCGATGTAATTGCACGTAGGAGACGCTGTTGGAGCTGCTGGAGCTTCGCGAAGCCGAGAGACTGCTGCGACAGAGGCGAGAGATGCACAATCGAGAGAGAGAAAAGCAGAGAGATGCGACCAGTGAAGGTTCCGGCAAGTGTCTGCAGGCGCAAAGCTGCTCGGCTGCTCTCCCCACTTGGCTGCTTCTGCAGGCCGGATTGGGCGAGCACGTGGGCTTCGTCGTTGGCTGGAGGTCACGTGCCGCGCCCCGCACGGACGGCGCCGCGCTGCTGCTGGTGCTGCGGTGCCAAAAGGGGAAAAGCATGCAGGGCGAGAAGCAACTTGTCGCGGCTCGAAGCTTGGAGGCACAGCACAAGACTCTACTGTACTAGTAAGTGCCCTGCCTTTGGAAGCATCGCAAGATCGTGTGTCACAGGTGAGCTCGTCGCTGCGGCTGCGGCAATCGGGGCCGTCGTCGGCTAACCTAGGGCTGCGTCGAGGCCACACGCAGGATTTGGTTCGTTGACAGCTCCTACGCACCCAGCAGCTCGCTTTCGATTTCCCCGTCGCAATCGCCGTCGCCCCTAAACGCTCAGCCGGACCATCACCAACCAGCAGCCCGTCAGAATGTCGACCCCGGTACGCAAGCCCAGAGGCGCCCAGAGGGGCTGTGAGACATACTGATGGACAGCAGCCCGTGCCCTTCAACCGCCTGAAGCAGATTGCCACGGATGTACGTTTGCCGCTTCCTCTTCCTCCCTCTCCTTTTGCTGTGGCGGGCTAGGAGACCGCTGGAGCTATCTTACGGGAGCTCACCAGTATCTAATTTGCCATGATCAATCAAGGTCTGCAACAGCGCCATCGGCAGTGCGGAATTCTACGACCACGCAAAGACGGAGCAATGGAACTCGACCATTATTGTATGCCAGAATTCCCCCCATCCCCCCGGGGCGCGACGACCCCGGAGCTCCACCAGCCGCTGAACTGACACATGCGACAGAACTCCATGCTGAAGGCGCTCATCTCTGAATCGACTCCCCAGGGCGCCACTGCTCCTTCATACAAGTTTGCCTGCAACAGCACCATTGTGCAGCACCTGGTCCCGACGTCGGCGCTGAACAAGTCCCGCGGCGGCACCGACACCAAGACGGAGGAGCCTCACGTGTCGACGAGCACAGACGCTACCGCGACGGACGGCAAGCCGCACGTCGGCCGGCGAGGAATGCACAGCGCAACCGGCGCGTACTGGGACGAGAAGAAGGACGGCATGTGGACCTTCAAGTACGACGGCGGTGAGGGCAAGGGCATGGACGTGGTCATCATGCTGATCTGGATCGCCGTTTGAGAGAGAAGGGAAATGTTGAATAGGGGCTAGGGGGTGGGAAGAGGTGAAGGACAATGCTCCGAACCTGCGTCTCGAGGAAGTAGACGAGACGGACAGTGGCTTGGATGTTGAGTACGTCATGAGCCAGGTCTGGGCAGTCTGCTCCTCTGTGGACTGCGGCGGTTCGGGGAAGGCCGTTCTGTTGCCATGGCCCGCCCATGTTTCGCATCGCTGACGAAGGACTTGCATATTGAGCGATAGAAGACTGCAACGGACGGTGAGTGACCGAGGCATATCATGGAAACTCGGGACATTTACGGAGTCGATTGTTATTTGAGTGCTACATAATACATTTTGATCTGAACCTGCCTTGCTATTCCATTGACTGGGCTGCTGTGGAATAGCGTGACGCGGGGAATATCCTCGCAGACGCCTACGTTTGGCAATTTACGGGGACATGGAGACTTTTCGGGTGTTTCCTCACAAATTATATTTGACGCTTAATCAAATATATTGCTTCAACCACAATGAGTCAATGCACGGAGATTGTCGGTGTAATATCTTGGTTGAACCATAAGAAGCCACTACGGAGAGATTTCGTCAACCTTCCCCTGAACAGAGGTTAGATCCTGACGAGCAAGTCTTTGATTGCCGGCGTCCTTTGTGTATAGAATGAGGTTAGATCTTGACGATTGAGTTCATTGTCGAGTTTTGCTCAAACCATAATAAGCCATTACAGAGATTTCGTCTCCTTCTACGCGAATTAAGCTTACTTTAGCTTCCGATCGTGAGTCCATCGTCAAGTGTGTTTCAGCCACAACAACACAATGGGAAGAGGCTGTTGCCAGCCTTGAGGTCAATCAAGTTAGATCTCGACGATTGAGTTCGTCGTCGTCTGCCCCCAACAACTCGCGTAAATCAGCCCCAAGAAGTATAAAAGACGTAGTGCAAAGCATGTCCAACAGCCAGACATATATATACCCTCCGTTCCTCCCCAAAGAATCGCTTTCTGGTCCATTGCATTTTGCAATTTCACTCTCGAGCCATACAATCGTGCCAAGGGCAAACACCACCCAATTACACGCCTTACCGTGTTTGGCCCTTCACGATACCCACGGCTCTTACCATGGCTCCCACCATGGCTCTTCCCCTCCCTCTCGCCGCCAACGCAGGGAGAGAAACTTGCAGGAATGCACCGGCACGCGGCGAGCCGCACCTGACCGGCCAGACACACCGCCGGGACGAAAAGGCCCAGGAAACCGATGCCAATCTCTCCTCTCGTTCCTTTTCTTTAAAGGCTGCGCTTCCCCGTCTGAAGGCCAAGCTCCGGTCCTTCAAGCCCCTGAAGACACGGGCCAAGCGGGCAGATGAGCGCTCGTCCCGGGTCGGTGCATCTGAGTACATGTCTCCGACCACGGCGGAGGCGTGCTCAGACCCGATTGACGCCTCGCTCTTGCGGCAGAAGCTGCTCCAGGTTCAGCGCTCGCAGGGGCCGCCGAGGGGAAAGGATGCAGACGACAAACGGGAGCAAACAGTCGTCGTCTCCACCGATGAGGGATCGGCAGCGTCTCCGAAGGGTCTTTTTCCCCGGATGAGGCGATGGTGCTGGAACAGGCAGCGCGGGCTGCCCGAGGGCGGGAGGCGACGTGCTCGCCGGGCACCGAGTCCCGAATGGATTCACTACTGCTCGCCTGGCAGTAGGTTCTACGGGCTCTGAGCGGCTTCTTGGCGGGCAGTGTCAAGAAGATGGTGGGGGAAAAGAAACAACAAGGCAATTCGGAATCCCATCTTCGGCGTTTGCGGCCAAGCCTGTGAGGCTGGGAGCAGCGATCAGTTGTTCGAGACAAGTCTGCGACACAGTGAGGGACACACCCCTCCACACCCGATTGAATTCGTTCTTTTGCCAGTCTGATATCTGGAGGAGGGAATACTACTGCGGGCTCCTGCCCATGGGCCTCGATCGAGAACGTCGACAGGAACTGCAGCATCCAATCCGCATGCAGCTTGTTGGCGATTCCCTCCCGGCCTCCGCCTCGCTGTTGATCAAGTGTGGATGGCCCCATGGACGATCGGGGTGGATGGATGGACCAGGAAGGCCGGCGAGCATCTCCATGCGGGCCACTGCCTTGCTTGGCTGCTCTTTGTCTCGCCACCGCGAGATGCGCTGGGGTAGTCAGGCCATTGCCCGCCGATTCCCCCGCCTTGCGCCTGGCGCTCGACATTCCGCAAGCGACGACGATGCGCGAGGAATCCGCGGCGACCACATGATGTTGCTGTGATACGCAGTCATCGTACGTCAGGCCAGCCGGGTTTCCCCAGGCGCGAGCGTCTGGCCATCGGCCGGGCACCTGTGGGACCAATGGCGTCTGGCTGGCCGCCCGTACCTCGCGCTAGGCCGGCTCCTGGGTTTGTGTCTGGCTCACGGCGACGCAGTGGCACATGGTCATCCGCGCTGCTAACGGTGGCATTTCGCCTCCCAGGGGAAGAAAAACTCTGCTGGAAGGGGCCAGGGTCCACGACCGGAGCTGGATCCCGCCAAAGGTGTGCTGCGCTTTGGAAAGTCTCTTCCGTCACACCACACACACACACACGTATTCACCCACAAAGCACACACCACCCCCGAAGTCGCTTTTGCCCGGCGTTTCCTGGCCTCGGTCCAATTCTGCGCATATAAAATCGACCTGCCGTTGCCCCGGATCCGAGCGTGAGGGGATAAAAGAGAACCACTCGCACACAGCACAGCTTCGAAGCAGCCTTGGTTTCTGCTCATGAAGTCGTTAGTGAGGAGCCTGCAGCATCAGACTAAAACATTCTGCCGCTAACGAACAAGAGTCAACGCTCCCCCCCTTACTGATCGTTGGGGGTTTATCAACACTTTTCCAACCACCGAATCGCGCTTCACTTAGCACTCGCCAACCAGAGCACTATCTGCCGATTCGATCGATCCCGCTTCTTACGCATTACTACGAGTTGTTTTCTGGGATACCTGTTGAACTCTGTAACAATGGTTCAACTACTTGCTGCCCCATCTCTGCCCCAGAGTGGCAATGCCATGCTCGAGACGAGCAACGACAGATCTGAAAACATGGTCTTGTCGAGGGAGGAACACGCCCAGCGAGCACGAGAGCTGCTCGTCAAGAGGGGCATGATGAGGGCGCCCAGACGGGGATTCTCCTTGACCGACTACCAAGGCCAGAACGACGGGCCACATTTCTACCACGCCGCCGTGGCTGGGACTGTTGATCGCATCCCAGAACACGCGGTCGTGCCCTCGACGCCCGTTTCCAAGCACCTGCCGCTCCCGCAGCGGCCCAAGCTGCCTCCCCCTCGCCGGTCGCACTCTGTGACGGACAAGGAGCCGGAGCCGGCCAACCAGCCACGACCATCCTCCCGCCTCACCCTGCTGGACCTTCCCTCGGAGCTGCATTATGCCATCTTCGACTTCCTCGACCCCATTGACGGCGCATGCTTTGGACTGGCGCACTCCAAGCTGTACGAAATCCACAAGCGCAAGAACGGGCTGGTCCCGCTGTCCAGCCGATACTCGGGCCCCAACGACATTGAGTGGGCATGGCGAGGCGCTGGTCCTCTTGTGCACCCCAAGTCCTCGGCAACCGAGAGCGAGCTGGAGAGGCTTCGCGTCAAGGGCCAGGTGTACTGTCGCAAGTGCGGCATCTCGCGCTGCGAACTGCACCGGCACCTGAAGGACTGGTTCGGCAAGGACTACGAATACTGCGAGATCAAGGAGATGTATGGCCCGCCCGCCGGGCCTAATGCCAAGGGATACTGCTACATGAAGTCGCCCAAGAATCCTCACGGATGCGGACGCCATGGACCCAAGAAAGTGGGAGCCAAGAAACTGGCAGCGGCAGCAGCAGCCTGATTGCCAGCAACTGAACTTTATTGCCAAACGATTGGAATTATAGGCGCTTTTGGACGGTGACGGGGGTTTTTTCTTAACGGTAGCGATACACTCTATTCTCGTTGATTTTTCTTTCCTGGGTCAAACGCTTTGGGGGAAATTCGGTACACGAACGTGTTATAACAGAGGGGTTCCTTTGGTTTGGGAATGGTGTTGGGTATGATTATAGCAGAGAACGATATACACTAAAGCGAGTCGGACCTCGTCTACGACTATACAAAGTTAGAGAAGACATCACACGTTATATATATAATATACATTGAAAGAGCAGAAATCACGCAATTCTCTCGACAATACCCAACATACTAGTTGTCGCTGTTGCCTACGTTGTGAGCAATCAAACTTGTATCAAAATCACATTCATGGTTGGACAAGACCAGTGTGCGAATATGCTTTTCATCTTTTTTTTCCTTGATGCCCCCTTCTCTCGTCTTGGGAGACAAAGGTGCTAGATACAACTGAAAATCTATGTAAGATGCCCTTCGAATAGCCATGTACTATGTAAATCACAAAAAGATGTGTATGTATGTGCGTGTCCCAATACAGCTCTCCGTTTCAATCCAAACAAAATGGTCATGCCCATGTCCAACCCAACCAAATAATTGTGACAAAGAGCCACGGCTCCTCTTCCCGCCCATCGATTCCGGCCATCGATCCCAACCTCATGCTGAATAAATGAATGGATAATAGTGAAATAAAACACAGAGAAAAGGGGGTTCCCTCAACCTCCCATGTTCCCCTTCCCTGTCTCTCACGCCCCGTGAGAAAAAAACGCCATGGATGTCTTTTGAATCCGTCCAGTCTATGTAGAAGAAGCCAACAAAAACAAGCAAGAAGAACATTGGGGAGAAAAAAAACGGTCACAGCCACCATCCCACCGGGTTTTCTTTTTGTTCGAGCGCACAGTAGAGATATAAAGAGCAAAGGGAAAATACCGGTCACTCGTCGCTGTTAGACTGTCATGCCGGTTGTCACTCGTCACATCGTCGGGTTGTCGCCGCCGATTGTCGTGGCAAAAGCCGAGTTGTTTCAATGAGGGCTCTTCCACTCAACAGGACACTCGCCCCTTGCCTCGATCCAGTCGTTGATGCCCCGGACGAACCACCCGCTCGTCCACTTGTCCGCGTCGTTCTTTTCCCTCTTCGGCTTGCCGAGCTTGAAGCTCTTGCTCGTGCAGCACACGTTCTTCTGGTACCGCCACTGGAAGCATTTGCGGTCCTTTTTGAAAGCGACGTCACCGCTGGCGACCTCGTCGTACTTGGCCCGGATCAGCTTGCCGCGGTCCGTCTCCGTCTCCAGCTTCTCGAATTCGTCGGCCGGGATGTCGAGTCCCGCAGCCTCGCAGACCTTGGCGCAGGCGGCAGGTGAGTTATGCGCATACTTTTGGACCACGTTCTTGTCTGCCTCCTTGACCTGCCGATCTCTCTGTTGACCGGTGGCCTTTTTCTGGCTCTCTTCATCCGGAGCAATGTAGCAATTATCATCCGACAGGTTGTCCCAGTCTTTTCGGTAGGCGACCATCTTGGGGGCGAAGAAGGCGTAGTACATTTCCCGGATTTGCATAAAGTCCTGCGACAAAACTAGTTAGCTTGAATTTGGCGCAGATATAAAGAGAAGCGACCACCACAAACCTTCTTGGTGCGCGTCTGCTCGTACTGCCACACGGCGCTGATTTCCTCCGAGTTCATGTGGTGCATGGTAAAGAGAGGCTCACACCAGTGGCCAGGGCCGTAGGGCAGCGTGTTAGGCTTCTCGCCGTTGAACATTGGGTGCGCATTCATGACCTTGGTGCCCACCTCCTGGGCGACCCTGGCGAAGACGACGTCGCCACAGCACTCCTCTCCCGCCTTCTCGTCGTACTTTGTGATGTCGGGGATCTGGGCCATCTTGCGCATGAGGGCGCCGGAGACGATGTAGCCGCTGCCGCCGTGGGCAAAGGGGAAGCCGGAGATCATGGCGACGCTGCCGACGTAGACGTTGTCGCGCGGATTGACCTTGTCGCGCAGCCAGTGCACCAGCGTGGGCCAGACGACGTAGGTGTCGGCCTCGGCGAAGACGTACCAGTCCTGGTCGGGGCGCATCTCCCAGGCGCGGACCACCATGTTGACGAACTTGAACTTATCCAGCTCCCAGCCGCCGTCCATGCCCGTGGTGCAGTCCTTTTGCGAGACGGGGCATTCCTGCTGCGCCTGGTAGAGCTGGAACTCCTTGTACTTTTCCTTGATCTTGTCGTCGACGCGGTCGAGGGAATCGTAGATGTGGTACTTGCCAATCTGCTGCTCCTTGAGTGGGTGTTAGCTTTCGAGTCATTGGACTTGGAGATGTATTACTATAGTTGACATACCAGGTCTGAAAAGATGAGAAAGTCGTCGATGCACTGCAGGCCGGTGAGCAATTGCGTGGGCAGCTTGTCAAAGGCCTCGGTGGCGCCCGTCTTCATGATGAGCATGATGCCGTCCATGTTGGGGAAGCCATCGCAAGGCGAGCTGAAGTTCCACTGCGAGTGGACGGCGGTCTCGGTGCCCTCGCGGTACAGGGTGTTGTTGTAGACGCCCTGGCCCTGCAGATAGGGCGACAGGTGGTCGTAGATGTACTGCTTGTAGTAGCCGGCGGCCTGGTGGTCGCGCAGCTGGTAGAGGGGCAGGGTCAGCAGCAGCGTGCAGCCGACGATGAGGGCGGCTCGCCAGTTGCGGGACGGCATCTTGAGGAAGCTTCGCCAAGAGGAGGACCAGCTCCGGTCCGCTCCCATGCTTGGCGGGAACGACGGGACGATGGCGATGGCGGGAGAGAGGCGAGGCCGGGCGATGGAGGAGGAGGAGAGAGGAAGAGAAAAGGTATAGAAGTCGAGGTTGAGAGTTGCAAGAGCTGGGGTCTTGAAAGGGAAAGGAAATTAGATTAACAAGGTGTGAAAGACGTCACCTCGGCCAGGGGTGGGCGGTTGACCTTGACAATCAAGCCTTGGGCCAGAGAGCTGTGAATGAGATGGGGAAAAAAATAAAATAAAAAAGAGAATACGATAAGACGAGGGCCGAGACGTGAAAGCAGAGGTCGAAGAAGCGAGGAGGAGGGGAGGACAAGAAGAGAGAGGGCAAGATTCGCTATCTCGTATTGCGTAACGCAAGAAGCACACACACACACACACGGCGGGATGTGTGAGATGCTGAGACTCTGGACTGGCGATTGGAATTTGACGCTGCGCGGGCGAGAGACACCGGCTGCAGTACAGGGCCGGTATTAGAGGCTATCTCCACCTTCGGGGCTCGCGTATGTGGCTTATCGATCAGGGATGCCGGCGGCAGCCAATCATGGAGGGGGGCTGGTTCGAGGCACGAAAATGGGATCGACGACGAAGGAGAACGGAAGAACGAAGGAGAGAGATAGGATGGAAGAAGGGCTGGACGAGGGTCGAGCCGGAGGGCTCCTGGAATCACGGCGAGATCAGCCATCAGTCCACCCCGTCAGCTCCAGCTCGGGATTCCCATTCTTTCTTTCTTGCTCCAGCAGGCTCCAGTTGAGATGCTCGTGCTCGTACCGGTACGAGATACAGAGGGGCACAGGCGCTGCGGACGCTGGCGCTAGCACCACTAACCCGGCTGGCTAGCAGGGCGGGATCCCGGGCAGCGCATTGAATGATGCACGTCTGGAGGGGAGGGGATCCATTGATGGCCGGGTGCTTGTACGGGTACTTGGGACGAGCTGCAGGGGGGAAGCGCAGGCAATGACGACAGCGGAGGGAAGAACGGGGAGAAGATGAGGTGAATGAATGCATGTACATCTACGGAGTATACGGATGGCTTCATTAGGGCACGGACTATTGAGGAACTTGGATCTGCAAAGAGGCGGACAAGGACGGGGTTTCTTGGTGGTTGAGAACTTGGAGCTGTTCAGGAACGCGTTCGTTGTATCGTATGGTGTAATACCAACAAGTAAGGTACCGAAGAGGAGGTTGTACGAGTTGGGAAGCGGCCGAGAGAGACAGGAGATGGATGGCACAAGCGAGGGTCGAGATGCAGCTGAAGACGGACCTGGAGACGGACGTGGAGATCAACAAGGACGGGGGGAGCCTGACGCTGTGCGACGACGTTTGCGCAGGGCTCAGTGTCACTTTGTCTAGTCGTTCTGTGATACATCAACGTTCATGTGAAAGTGCAAGTAGCGGTACCTGAACGCCTCGGCCTCGTCGGGAGGCTGAACGAAACAACAAACCACCGTCTGATGCTTGTCTTGTCTGCCGTGCAGTTGTTTTGAAACATGCCAGAACACCACGGGCGTCCAATAGAGGGAGGCGACGAGGGAAAAAACAGCACAGGCAGCCCCCACAATGGACATGGGGGGGCATCCACCTTTTACGAGCCGATGTTGCCAAGCTTGCCTTGTTTGCTGGAGACGTTGTATCGTCAAGACGATTCGATGATATGGGGCGGCTATTTGGTCTTCTTTGTTGGTGGTTTGCGACAATTGAAGAACTGGTGGCTGTACATAAGGTACGTTGGCGTAGGGCATTTCAACGTTGCTGTTGGGTGGTTTGCGGGAACGAATTGCCGCAACCGGGGATTCGGGATGAAAGCAGGAATTCGAGAGGAGGGCTTGTTAGTACTACTACATAAGGTATGTAGTTGGGTGAGGGATGAGACGCCCTTGTTTGGTGACAAAGGAAATGCGAGAACTAAATGTTTATCAACTGCCAATACAAGCCCTCACTCAAGGCAAGGTAGTAATTCGAAAATTACTTACCAATCAAGACGTTGTCCATTCAAAGTCCATGTCGAGAGCGGCTGAAGAAAAAGAAAGGGAAAGAAAAAGGGGGGTGGCAGTGTCAGCATTTGCTGCACCTGTACGGCGCCTTGTTTTTGCATTCGCAGATGCCGATTACAAGCAGTATCAACATTCCATTTGATCCATTGATGCTTCGTAAACACATACAACATACTAGTAGTACTAGTATCTCGGATATTAATCCGTAGATATTGTCTCCAGTGTCGCTCGGGAGCACTTTCAACGGTTATTTTCATCTGCTGTCGTCGCTGCCAAGCAAATTATCAAGAAAGTCTGTGCACTTCTTGCTCAGCCCAATGTACTCATACAAAGCAATCCATCACCTCCAGATCAAATAGTCGGGATATAGTAGCAGCCATAAACCGGCATTCAGCTCTGCCCTCGCCATTATCCCCCCTTTCCCATTCCAGCACTAGTAAACAATAAAACAACAGATAAAGAGCCCAGAATTCGTAACCCTTTTATCCCGTCTTCTCTTTCGATAGGGCAACTACCTTAGTTTCTTCGGGCAATGAGTAAAAAGCACATGTCTCTTTTTCTTTTTGCCTTTGTCGCCCTTCTTTCATCAGGATTAGTAGTACTCGGGCGGGCCACGTTGGCCAATGGCGCCATTTGCTTGGCTGCCTCGTGTTCACCAAGTCAGAAATGGGCAAGGTTGAGTGCTTACTCGTGGCAAACACAGATCGACAGGGATGAAAGGCGTAGTAGTACCTAGTAGTCAGGGGGGGCGGATGGGCTGCTGCTGTGTTGCGTGAGAAGGTAAACTTCAAGCTTGAAGCTTTTTTGACACGATGCCTGCTGGGTACGATGGCTGTTTACGGAGTAATAGATACGTCGCTTTCTTCTATTCTTTCAACTTCACATTCTCAATCATGAGTTCTGCCCCTATGGATCTATCTCTATCCAGGTATGTGAGAGAGAAAGTACCTCTGGCCTATATAAATAAGAAGAAACGCTATCCGCGCAACCAGTCCGTCTAAATGCAACAGCTATAGCAAAAAAAAAAAAAAAAAAAAAAAAAAAAACAGAAATCAAGCCAGCCAGTCTATCCCAGCCCGTACTGTCTTGAAAGTCCCGTAATAGTACAACAAGGGGAAAGAGAAAAAAACAGAAAAGAAATCGCAACGCCTATCAAGCGACCGTAAACGCCGCGCTTCTGCCCTCAAACGCCGTAATCTCGCCGTCAATCGACTTGGCGTCGCCGAAATAGCAGAGCCTGTACTCGCCCGGCGTCGCCCACGCCTCAATCTCCCACGTCACGCTCGCCGAGCTGGTGCCCAGGAGGAGGCTGCTGCGCTTCCACTGGTAGATGAGCCCCCAGTCCGAGTCGTCGCGCGCAACGGTCCACTCCGTCTCGCCGGGGCGGCGGTGTTCGACGGCGGCAAACGTCTGCTCCAGCCGGAGGTTGTTGCGCGGGTTGGCGCCGACAAACGTCGCCGTTACCCGTTCGCCGGGGGTGAATTGGCCTTTGGCAACGTCCGCAATCACGTCGCCGAACTGTTGGTGAGAGTGCGATGGGCTGTCGAACAAGACGCCCGTGTTGAAGCCAAAGGATCGGTCGCTGTTGTCCGGCGGCAAGGGGCCGGTCTCTCGGGAGCCGGGCTCGCCGCGGGGAGCATCGTCCTTTAGAAGATGAAGCAGCGCGTTGGTCCGGTCTATGTAAGCTGCAAGGGTGTGCGGCCCGTAGAGAGTCGAAGCTCCCTCATATCGCTGGATGCTGTACATTCCGCGTATTAGCACTTGTCCTATCATGTCAATTCGTGGAAGTGAGAGTGAGACTTACCCATATTCCTCCTCTGTCGTGATGTAATGGGTATAAGTGTTGCTCGGGCCCCCAAGCACCACAATTGGCTCCCTTCCGCCCAGCTCCTCGGCCAACTGAGTCCTACTGCTCTCTGCAACAGCATCCTTCCACCGCCGGCCAGCCATCGTCGTCGCTTCGCCGGGACTGACGATGATGATGAATTGGCCGACTCGGAAAGTCTGAATGTCCACAATATCCGGCGTCCAGTGATACGGCTTGTGCGTCTTGCCGACGTTGAGAAGAATCGGCTTCGGGGCCTGGCACCGGACCTGCTCCTCGCTGGGCGCTCCGACAAGCCATCGCAAAGCCTTCCAAACGGGCGACGAGTTGGATTCGTCGGACCCCCACTGCGTGATGTCAAAGTGGCCGGGCTCGTCCCAGGTCCCGGCTGCGAAAGAGTAGCCCAGCGCGGCCGAGCACGTGCGTACTGCCGACCCGTTGGGCAGCTGGAACTGGAAGTCGGACATGTCGTGGAAGCGATGGAATGCCCTGACGCCCGACCCCTTGACGTTGGGCGGTTGCTTCTCCATCGAGGCGTATAGTTCCATGGCCGCCTCGTACTGCCTCTTGCCAATCTCGAAGCACGACGAGGCCCCCGAGTCCTTTTCCCGGAAAAAGGGCCCTCTGGCGTGACAGTACTTGGTCATGCCGCTGCTGCTGCAGGAGCTCGTCTTCAAGTCGCATCTCTCGCCGGAGCCGTCGTCGCACCAGCCGCCGAGCGTATTCGGGCTGGCGTCGCCCATGCTGGCCTGAGAGAAGCCGGCGACGAAATCGTCCGTCTCTCCATCCCTGCCCCGGACTCTCTTCTCAAACAGGTCGGCGGCCACGCCCTTGTTGTCTCCCGTGATGAGCGTGTTGTTGGCCAGCATGGATGTGCCGTGGGTAGGGAACCATGTGAGCACGCCAATGTTCTTGCCGTCGGACGCTCTCGAGAACTTGAGCAGGGTCAGATCCTTCTCCACCGAGCCGTCGTCTTCCGCGCTGACGTTGTACTTGGCCCTCTCCTCTGCCGGGTTGGCGAGATAGGCATAGAGGCTCCGGTTGATGTTGGCGCCGTAGACTTTGGTGTTGCCGGCGGTCAGGGAGCCGGGTTCGAGGCTCTCGTGCGCGCGGCGGATGGACAGGAGACAGCCGTCCACGATGGCCTGGTAGCTCTGCTTGTCGAAGCCTTTGCTGGTGATCTGAGGCAGTAGATAGTTGAGCCAGGCGCCGGGCCCGGAGTGAGAGTGGGTTGCCGTGACGGCCAGGTTGTCGTGTCCGTACATGGCATATTCGGGCCCGAGCTCCTCAAGGCCCCTGAGGATGCCGTATCGCACAGCGGTGTCCCCGGCCTGCGTGTCCAAGACAAGGTAGATGAACCTGTCGTCGGGCTGATCCAGGTCGCCCACGATGAAGGCGCGCGAGTAGAGGCGCTGACGCACGCCACTGCCGACCTGGTCGGTGTTTGCGTAGCCCATCATGTTGATCTCGACCACGGGTCCCGTGATGTCTGCCTTGCCCACCCCGATGAGATAGCGGCCATCTCCAGCATCATCGCCAGCCGTTCCATGAGCCTGCGCCCTGCCGTCGCTTTCTAGCCTTGATTGCACCTGTTCCTGATGATGGCCGTCCTGCGGCTGCTGTCGTAGCAGGGCCGCCAGTCTCCTGCCCGCGAGCTCCTCCTGAATCTCCAGCTGGACCTCGTTGCTGTAGATCTCACCAGACACCGTGGCCCATCGAAAGGTGCGAACGACGGCACTGCGGCAGGCAAACAACAAGACGATGATGGTCAACAGCCACTGGACGTAGTGCCGCAAGCCGCGGCGTGGCCCGTATCGCATGCGTGTGCGTGAGCCGCGTGTCTCGTCCCGCACTAGAAGCGGTTCCAGTTCCAGGGGATGCCCCTTTTCCGCAGCCTGCCGTGAAGCCATCGCGGGCTCTCGGGTCGGCTAAAAATGGATGCTGATTCCCGGCTTGCCGCTATATTGTTCCAAAATCCACGATATAACTAATATTGTTTTCCTGAACTGGAGTTGAAGATTCTCTAGGCTGATCAAAAATAGTAGCACAAGGCCAAGAGGCCCAGGGGGGCGGAAACGAAAGTAAACGGGGTTTATATCAAAGACTCTTTACCCCCTTACGTAAGGAAACAAGGAAGCCGTGAAAGGAGCGTGAACATCTGCCGGTGAACCACTTCGTACTACTATCAATGTTCTTTCATTTCTATTGTGTTGAAGTTGTCAATAGCTGCGGCCCATTTTCGTTTGTTTCCGGCTGCCGGGCTGCGGGTTGGAGGATGGAACCGGAGAAGCCGGGGCCAACGGGCAGGACGTGATGTTTTCGTGAGTCTGTGCTTTTTGGGGGGGTTTCTCTTTGGCTCGCTTCGCCGTCGACACACGGTGAATCAGTGTTGGGTGTAGATATCGTGGAGAAACCAAAAGCCACTGAGCGGGTTTTGCGGCCGGATGGGGTTCCTTTTTTTCCAAGTTTCTTGAGGCAATATTTGACATTGGGGGGAAACGTTTTCTGGGGAAGAGTGAGTTGTTTTTAAGGCGCTCCATTGGTCTTATCGCGGAGATGGCAGGGCATCGTCATCGTGGACGGTCTCGTTGCGCTTGAAGTTCTGGAGATAGAGGCACTTGTATGCAAAATCGCATGCGGCCAGGAGAGTTGATGGCAGATTTGCATCTCGCATAATTAATTCCCTGATCCGGCTCGCTAGCCCGAGACAAGAAAAGACAAAGGCGGGAGGGCTTAACGGGGGGGCGAGCCAATGAATGGTTGCCAAACCCGGTCCACGGGATAAAGAGACAAAGAGACGGGCTGCACACGTTTTCGGCGGGTTGGATTGATTTGTATTGGAACCGTGTTGGAAGTGCAGGGACGGACGTGATGATGCATCTTGGAAGGGGTCAGCCGTGAATTGTTCTAGTATTACAATGACGATGGTTTTTGTATGAGGAGGGTCTGGAGTCTATGAACAGCGGCCATGATAGGCTACAGTATAAGGTAGGTAAGGTATCTAGTAGTCCATTGTGTGCGCTCCTTGTAGCATACCGACTGCATCTTCTTCTTCTTCTCTCTTCTCCTGTGTTGCATGTCAATCATTCGCGACTCCTTCTCGAATCCTGCGTCAGTCATCCCCTCGAAATGCAACCCCCTCGGATACCCTCGGAAATTTATCCCAGCAGCACTCATTTGCACTGCTGATGGCGTGACGATGCGGGGGCTGCGCGCACATGCAATCACAGGCACTCCCGCGGCCGGGCTCTCGGCGAAGAAGCAGAGCACAGCTGCAGATGGCGGAGATACGAGATGGCTGCATATCTGTCAATGTTCCCTGTCAGTATGGATTACCCTCAAAGTAGAAGGGCTGACAGACACAGCTTGGCCCTGGCCGCTCTCTGTTTCAATTCCACACGATCAGACATGTGATAGGTCCATGACCACTCGACAGAAGACGCTCGCACAAGCCATCAATCAATCGTCAAGCCAGCAGCAAAAAGCAAAAGCCACGTTCTACAGCGGTCCAACTGGTCGCTGCGTCGGTCGGTTCAACTGTTCTGCCATCCAGCCCAGGCGACAGTGTGGATTCCGTTCCGTTGCCATTAGAAATCGCATCGCCGTTCCGCCCTCTGTCGCCCGCGCCGGCGCCCAATTGGACTCGAGATCTCAAAAGCACACAATCGCCCGCCTCCACCAATCGCCGCACCGTCCACTCACACGGATCGATGACTCTGCGACTTTTTTCCCTCCTACTAATGCAGCTCTGCTCGATCCCTTCGAGGTCCCTTATCTGCGGCGATCAGACCCTGATTCCATAAGCCTTGCGCGATCCTCTCTCTTCATTACATGTACCTGGGGGGTTCCTTCTTCACTTTCCGTCATGGCTATGCGTTGAAAAGCTCGCGATATCCGCCTCCTTCAGATTTTTTTCTCACTTCCCCATCTTCCCCTCCTGGTGCCAATTCGGAAATGGGCTCAGGGTCCAACCTCGAAAGACTCGACAAGTGACACGGCGACACGTCGACGCACGACTAGCTCTCTGGAAAATCCGGGGGAGGCGTCATTGTGTTCGGGGAAACGTGGACTCTGTGCGCATCCAGAGCTGCCTCGCTTTTGACGTGTCCACTGTGCCATTGGGCTGTTGACAGTCACCTGGTTCTCGGGACAGATTTGTGCGCTGGTCTCTGAGGTTCCATTGCCTTTGGCGCTTCCTTTCAGCCGCTGCCACCTGGAATCGGGGGCTTCTCTGTGTCAACAGAGGTTTGTTTACAAAGTCGAAGCAGAGGCATAAAAGCCATCTGCTGCTTCTTGCCCTGCTGCTTCTTATCGACTTGACTCATCAAAACACAACTCACCTCATCGCCGGAAAACAATGATTGATCTACGACACGGCGATCACAGGCCAATCCAGACGAGTGCTGTGATTGTGCTGAGCGCGTCAAAATGCTCGTCAATCCCGCCTCCCTCTCCGCCTACTCCATCAGCCTCCCCGTCGGCCAATGAGATTGGCGACCCCGTCGATGGCTTCAGCCTCGACAAAGACTCTGTTCGAGAGCAGGCCATGATGGATAGGAGACTTCACAGCGGCATCCACGTGCTCAACGTCGAGGCGGCCGCGTTGGCAAACCTCACGAAGCTGTACGAGGTTGACGCGGTTGCCCGGAACGGCTTCAATGCCTCTATCAAGGCCATCACTCGGTTGGCCAAAACCAAGGGCAAGCTGGTCATCATGGGAGTGGGCAAATCCGGCCACATTGGAAAGAAGCTCGTCGCTACGTTTCAGAGCTTGGCCATTCGCTCCGTTTTCCTTCATCCAACCGAAGCCCTACACGGAGATCTGGGCATCGTGGGCCCGGAGGATACACTCTTGTTTATCACTTATTCCGGAAAGACGCAGGAGCTTCTCCTCACATTACCTCACCTGGATGAGCGGCTCCCGACCATTCTCCTCACCTCGCACATGAGACACGAAACCTGCGAGTTTATCAAGCACCGGCCCAGCACGATACTGCTGCCAGCGCCCATCATCGAGCCCGAAAAGGTATCGTTTGGGGTTTCGGCTCCCTCAGCATCGACCACCGTTGCCCTTGCGCTGGGGGATGCGCTGGCACTGACGGCCGCCCACGAGCTTCACGCCTGTGTCTCGACAATGTTTGCCAAAAACCATCCCGGCGGCGCCATTGGTGCTGCGGTGGCGATGGCCGCCCGGGGTCCGACGACCCTGGGTCACATCCTCGTCCCATGGGACGACGTTGACGATGCAAGTGAGCTGAGCAGCGAAGATCTCGCGCTGAGTTTGCTTCGGACAGCGTACAAGTCCAAGACGGGCTGGGTCCGAGTCGGCGACCAGATCGCCGTCCCGAGCAGGATTCGATCCTTGAGTGACGCAGACATGGTGAGACCAATCAAGGACGTCACGGGCCTCGTCGTGTCCCGTCACCAGATGCTGGCCATGTCGTCCGAGACGACGGTCCGCCAGGCGCGGCAGATCTTGCAGGACATGCAGTCGCAGATTGTCGACGAGCAGGACCAGGCAGCGTCCATCATTGCCGTTACCAACAACGGGAGCATCATTGGCGTTTTGGAGGCTGAGCGAGTACTTGAACACCAGGAGGCGTGAAATGCATATTCGAACTTGGCACGTGTTGAGGAAACGAAAGCGATAGGAGACATGATGGGGGCCCGTCTCATTGTGCCACAATGCTCGGTGGTGATTGATCATGTGCCGTTGGGGGACAGCAACAGCACAGCACGCATTGTTCTTCTTGGAAGGGAAACCTTTGTATTGCCATTGTTTTGCGAACGATACCAGGCAAATTGCTACGATACATCTTTAAGCTGCATACATTATCGATTACAGCATGCATATAATATATTGCAATGGGGCATCCAGCTCACGCTATTGAATATGCCAGTCCTTGTGCATTCATGGAGGGTGACTCTGGGATATTAGTGTGTCTACATGGGTCATTTAGGTAGAATACTTGAGCACTCGTTACCTTGAGTGTCCTTGTGCAATTGTTTGCCTCCATGGTTTATCCAATGTCATATGAGAAGCGTGGTCTGTCTATGGAGAAGCTGGGAACCCCATATGTCAATCTCCACGTTGGGAGTCCACCAGAGACAACAACGGTTGCGGAGGTGGAGGAAGAACGCTGGTGGAAATACTGGGGCCCTGAGAGAAACAGAGTTTTGGATATGTTTAATCTTGTGTCCTAGCACCAAGTTTCGTTGTATCTACTTTGATCCATGCTGGTATAAGGGGGGCCTGGTATACCTCTCCAGGGAGTGAGGGGACGCTTCTTTCAGTGCCAAATGAAAATTGGAAGTGAGACGTCGGTGATATCTTTTCAAGATTCAGCATTTCAACTCCGGGTTTGGATATAAACATAAATATTGATTGACAGCTTATAGCCAAGAGCAGGTAAGCTGAAATATTGGCGATTCGAGCGGTTGACTGATCTTGTATCACGACATTGTTGTCTGCACAAACATCACGCCAGCACGCCCCAAGCCTCTTGATTCTGCCTGTAACTGAGATGTTCCCAGCTTAAACACCATCGGCGAACCAAAGTAGAGAAAGACGTCCAGCGTTCGTATCAACCTCAATACCCAGAAGCTGGTGTCCTTATGCACTTCGCCGGATACGGCCTCATGCAGCTGAGATACATAACATGACTGCAACAAAGCAAGGGTAGAGCAAACACCCGCAACCTTGTCCATGGGCCTAGAACGACTACCTAATCCTTCGTATCCTTCCTCGCAGTCTATTTCTGGCTCCTCTATCGGCGAATCAATGCCAAGCATCGGAGCTGACAAGGCTCCCTACATAAAGTCCCTATTTCTCTACTGCTAGTATCTAATACCTACAACTTTTCTGAGACCGTTTGTTTGAGACCTGTTTCTGCGAAGGAAGGGAAGGAGTGTCGCGTGACCGATGACTCGGGCGGTTCACGCGATTGTTCATTTGAACCTGATAATTGATGCTGGTGGATTATTCGCGATTGATCACGCAACTTTCTGCCGGATTCTTTGCATGCAGAGAACAAACGAGAGGGAGAATCGGCTACCTTACCTTACCTATGCAATGGTAGTTGGCCGAACTGTCGGAGCGGCGACGGCGATTGGGAGATCCAACGCCTGGCCACCTGCTTGGATTGGCGCTCCCTCATGTTCAGATAAGTACCAGATACGGAGCCATATTCGAGATAATGAGGTATGTTCTTTTACTTCGGGGATCGGGCTGGTGTGGTACCGAGGGAGGGATGAAATGCTCTACGACCGCAGTCCGACGGACATGCGAAGATGAAGCGATGGAGTTGTTTGTGGTGTGTACAATGGCAAAGCTGAAAAGAATTGATAGACAGCCAAACTGATGATGATGGAGGGTTCCTGTCACCGAAAGACACTATGGATAGCAGAAGCCAAGCCCAGATAGCTGGAGATGGTGTTGCGTCTGCTCCAGAGCTGAAGGCTCAGCCGCAAGCTTCTTCATTCAACCGTCCAATACTGTGAGGACCTGAGACGGCATGGCATGTAAGGTGTGTATGTATGTATGTATGTATTTGTTGTCCGTGGGTGCAGTCTGGCAGTGTGACAGGAGAGAGCATATGTGCAAACTCCCCACTTCAACGTCCTGAAACCGGACGATTTGATCAAGCATTGTTGCTTTTGCGTGATGGCGATACGGGAGTATTCACAAGGCATCAAAGGTACATGTAGGGTTTCCTCTATCGTCTTATCGTCGAGTACAGTACCCTACATGCATACATACATGCATACAGACATGCATGGGAATCTGCAGGCTTGGTGAGATGCGGAAGGAGGGCGGTAAAAGGTGCGTGACATGGATGGCTGTTCTTGTAGCAGTAATGCTACCCTGCCTGCTTTAAGGTAATACCACATGTGTATACATCCCATTATTCCGCTGCTTCGTCGGAGCATCATTACCGCTGCGATGAAGTAGCGGGTTGAAGGTGATGGCAGGTATCTTATCCATCCATGAATGGTACATGTCGTTATCTCTTGGGAGGTCTTGAGCAGCACGGACACGAGGTCATGTCGTCTTATCAAAGGCTGCAGCATCTGATGTAAGGAGGAGTGGTAATACTTTGATCTGCCTTATATACGGACTATGGTATGATGTGATAAGAACACAGGCCATGGCAGTAAGGCGTAGGCAACAGCAGAAAATCTCGTCAAAGGTACTGCAGACAGACCTCGAATACGCACTCTCGCCAAGACCACGTTCCTCTCTTCTCCCTTCGGAAGACGGCAAAGGGTAGCATCTACTATCTTGTGGTACTACCAGCTCGTACGCGAGAAACCCACCTCATAACGAAACCCACTGCAGCGGCTTGCTCCGGCTGAATGCTAGTACTACTATAGTACAGCCAGTAAGACTAGCGGGATTCTAATTGAAAGAGAAAGAGAAAAAAAAAAATCAGGAACGGGGTGAAAAAAAGACCAAACGGACCCCTGTTCGAGGTTCGAGGGAGGATGGAGTCGCACGGGCTTCGGGATGGAGAGGCGGCGGGCCCTTGCAATCTAGATTTACCGCTGGGTGGATCGGAGGGGGGGACTGGGATTGCAGTCTTTGGGTGGGCACGGAAGTGGTGCTTGGTTGCTTTTTCTCTTGACTAGAGACTTCTTTGAATTGGTGATGGGTTTTACGCTTTCTGTAGAGTTTGTCGTGATATGGGCATGTGTGGGATGTATAAGGGTGGAAAAGTAATGGAGAGAAAGGCTATCCAGATGCTGCACTGTCACTTGGAATTCTCATCACGGTGGGATTCGAGCTTACACCACCCAACGCAGAAGAATCAGGGTACAGACAAGAAGAGAGCAGCAAATGAAGAAAAAAAAAAAAAAAAAACTCGAACCACCTGAATGCAACGTTTGAAATTAACCCGAAACCAAGCTTCCCACCCAGCTTCAGCTCGCGAAGAAACCAAGAACCACGACCAACAAAACGCACCGAGAAGCGCATACGAAAAAAAAGTTTCAGGAATACTAATCTCCAATTTGGGTAAATACACACGCGACACCAGTGGCAAAGCCCATTTTAACGGGCCGATCGGGTCCTGCCTATACATGTAGTTCTCCAGCAGGACAGGGAAACATATGAAAGAAAAAGGGTTGGAGCGGAGAATTATCAACAGAAGAAAGGCGTTGGTTCGTTGGAGCTGGGCCGTCTCGGTGAACGGATTGAGAAGAGCTTGGGGCGGGAACGGAGGGCCTGCAGATTTGTTGTGGACCCTGGGTTTTTGCTCGCTTTCTGTTGGTTTCTGTTGATGCTTGTTGATTTTCTCTCCTGTTCCCTGGTTGAATCGGCCGTGTTGTTCAGGGAAGTATGAGGTATGACATATCGGCCTCTTTGCTCGTATTGTGAGGATGCCGAGTCAACAATATGTCGTGATGGTAGCGTGTAAACCAAGAGACAGAAGGCTACTGATGTACGAAATATACGTGCCCAAACAGAACGAGGCTGATACATAGTAGAATGAAGTTTCTGCAGCACCTCAATCCAGGCATTGGTCTGTTGGCTCCAACAGCTGCACCTTGTCAACTTCCCTGCAAGTCGCGAGTCCACTCCTTGACAGCTTCTCGCGCCTTTAGCCGAACTCCGTAAGGCAGCGGCAGCCAAAACCACCACCTTGAACCGCCCCCAACCAATGAGAGGAGCTTCCTACACAAGTCGGCGCGAATACCAATTCAATCTAGACAGCCAGAGACGGCCTCTTCCTCATGGTGATGGCACTACTGGACGAGGCAGAAGCACAAGCGCTATGCTAACTCGCATGCACGTTGCTGCGATTCTGCGCTCTCATTGGTAAGGCCGTGCGATTCCTTTGGCTTCCTTGGTCGGGTTATTTCCATAACAGCCGGCAGGAATATAACCGACTCCGAGTTTGATAGTTAGAGTACTCCGTAGTCAAGGTAGTTTAATTCCATGACTGGGTTGTTGATTGGGCGGCGTACTGAGTACGAGTGTATACGACTATCGCGAGAGAAGACGGTGGACGGCTCTGGACATGCAACGTGAGAGCATGGAAAATTCTCGGCTCCAAGCGAGCAACACCTGGAAGAATACGACAATGTCCCAATTCAATACTACTCCCCGTCACCTTATGTTCGTTAGACTTGCTCGGATCGATCCCTATTTGCCGCGGCAGCAGCGGTGGCACATGTAATAACTTGGTAATGAATCCGTAGCACCAATGGTTCAGGAAGCAGTACTACTATTCCTAATACATCTTCTTGATGACCTTCTCGGATAGAGGGGCCGAGAGATCTCTTGGCCGTCGTCGGTTCATGCTCTTTCATGGAGGGTCTGGAACAGCTAGAGGACTTGGCGCAGCTTGTGCGTGCAACAATGTGCGAGGAGAGAAACAGCCAATTGCGGCGGGAAGATGAAAGAACAAACGACTTGGATGGTGTTTGCTTGGGTTGATAATGTGTGTCAATTCTACACCGGCCTGCAATTGATAGCCAATAATGTCGTAATTTGTGTCGTGCAAGAGTGCCAGAGTATTACTGCAGTAGCTGAGACGCTCTTATCGTGCCTTGTCTCACCGCGCGATGCGATGCTGTCTGTTGGTTGTTGCTCCATGTTTTTAATATGTACTCCGTATTGCACCGCCGATTCGTCATGATAACGTGCTGCTCGGCATATGTAGTTGCCATTCCTTAGCAGCCCAAGTCCCGGGTTCAAGCCAGACAGACGCCTTGGCCAGCCACACATGGCTTGCTTGAACCCAGCAATGTATCAACCGTCAACCACATGCCATGGACGGATCACATGGCTGGCCCTCCAGTGACTAGCAGCCCCCATACCCGACTACTGAGCCCGTGGGTGCCCCGTAGCCGTTGCCCCCACCTCATGCGCCAGCGCCAGAAACACCCCCCAAACGTGCAGCAGCGCCTGGAACCCACCGGGCTGCCACCCTGCAAAGGCCCGGCCAGCGCTAAGGTAGGCACTGTGGTGGGTAGTGGGCACCTTATCTTCAATTTTATCCGTGCAATTTGACCTGGACTCTTTGCCCGGTCGGTTCGCCTCCTTGCCGGCCCAGCTGCTCTCCATCTTTTTTTCTCTTCCAACCAAGGCGTGTCCCTCGTCGATGATATAATCTTGCGAGCCCCGTGCGCGGTCCTGCTCTGCTCGTTGGCTGGCTCTGGATGCCGATCCAACTTCTTGTCTGGCTCTGCTTCTTTACTGCTCCTCCTGCTGCGCCCTGTTTATTCTTGATCTGCTCGGCATTGACGGTTCCTGAGCATCTTCTTCACCCGCGTCTGTCCAGCGCCTGTGCGTCATCGTGGGTACTGCGTGCCTGTGCCTGTACAACCTTGAAGTTGCTGCTGGGTACGGAGTACATGCCTAGTCCGACAACCTTGCCGCACGTGCAGCGTATTCGAGACCTTTCCGCCGTACATGACAAGTGCATTACGAAGTTCACTTCTCATCCGATCGTTATCATCTTCTATACCTTATGCAAAACTCTCTTCTCTTCGCTTCTACACCTTCTCACATCTCTCCTCCGTCGTCGCCCGACCTCATTCGCATCACCCGCGGCTCCGGCTCCGGCTCATTCGCCCTGTCCCGTCTAGCGCAAGCAACCACCTGCAGACGTTGACCTATCGCTCTGATTCTACGCCAACATCTTATCTCCTGCACAGCCCAGCTCTGCTAGGTATCCAGGTCATCCCCGGGCTTTCCTGCTGTCTCATTCCTATCTCATCCGACCGGTATCGCTCTCCTGCAACTACTTTACCTCTGCCTCTGCTACGGTCAATTCTGACCCGAGAAACAATTGACTTCTCGTGTGCTTTCCCCTTCTTTCCGCGACCGCCATCCGGCTGTTCCACAACCTTCGACCGGCATTCAATCTCTTGGCTGCCTCCCACAGTACAAAGTAGACCACACTGGGCAGACGTCTGCGCTTGGCATAAGCTGCACTCCAACTCTCCCATCCGTTGCAATTCTCTTGTAGCCGTGCCGAGAGACCGAATAGGACGATCCGGGAGCTCTCCTTGTCCTCGCCCGTCTTCTCGTTCCTACGTACCAGCTTCCACCGCCGCGGTCGTCTTCGAGAAGCCCAATTGCTCCACCAACATTGCCTCTGCATCCTCCGACGCTGCCGCCACTGACGGATGCTATCATATCGCCAACAGCCGCCCAATTGACCTCGAAGCAGCATCATTGCAAGTAGCAGCTCCTGCGAACCATGAAATACGGCGAACAGCTGGAGCGGGAGTCTGTCCCTGAGTGGAGCTTACGTACGTCCCCTTACGTTGCAGGCTTCACACACTCCAACTGACATCGCAAGCATAGACAACGTCGACTACAACTCCCTGAAGCACGAGATCAAGGTCCACACAACCCGCGACCAAGCCACAGCTCTCACCATCCCCGGCCACCCAGACACTGCCCTCCGCCGATTCGAAGATGCCTTGTACAACGAGCTCTGCCACCAGCACGACCGACTCGACTTGTTCGTCGCCAGCAAGGCCGACGAGGTATCAAGACGACTGGGTATGAATCTGTCGTCACCAGTCCAAGTTTCCTAAGCTCCAATTGCTAACCAGACCTAGATCACATTGCCGCCAGCATCAAGCGGTTTGCCGCCAAGAACCACCACCAATCCGATTTGCCGAGTGTATCCTTGAGAAACCAACGCAAATTCCTCAAGTATGAGCGCGAACTGCTACGGTGCAGGGAAGATACACAAGCTTTGATCCGCTTCGTCAATGCTCAGGTCACTGCATTTCGCAAGATTCTCAAGAAATACAGGGTACGTCATGCTGGAGGCCTCTTTGGTTTCTATACTGCCTTTTCACGGAATACATACGAAGGCAGGTTCCATGACCTTGGCTAACCTCTCAACAGAAGTGGACAGGCTCATCCTCATTAAGCACAAGATTCAATGACGAGGTGCTGAGCAACCCCAAGAGCTTCACCCGACGCAACTTTACCGATCTACAACGACGGCACGACGAGGTCGAACAGATCCTTCGCAATGCTACTCCGGCTTTTAGCGAACCCAGCTCTCCCTCGTCGGTCGATACGCCCGTGGCCCCTTCGACGAGACGCGATTCGAACTCACCGCGCGTCACCTTCGACCCTCTACCGCCATCCTGTCTCTATCCGCAGACCAAGTATTGGAACGAGTACGATGACGGCAGCGAGGCGGGCAGCCCAGAGGACGACTACGCAATCTACGTCGATCCCGACCAGGGCTCGGGTTTCCCTGGCTTGAAGCTTGCCCAGGCCCTCATGTCCTTTCCCTTGGAAAAGGCCAAGGAATGGCTGGGCAAGCCGCGGTCATCCGAGCGACAACCCCTGTTCTCGTCCGGTGACCCTTTCAACCAGGGCTACGGCTCCACGACGGCCGTGCACACCGACTCCGAGGAAGACGAGGAGGCCTACGCCAGCTCCGACAACTTCCCCACACATGGCTATGCCGCGCACTACGCGCTGCCCAGCGTCAACAGCCAGCGTCTGCATCGGTACCGGGAGCGAGTGCTGTTATGGGGGACAATTGGCTGCTTTGGCGCCGCCTTTGTCTTTTTCGGCATTGCCGGGATTCTCATCTCGACGGGCCGGCACAAGCTGCGAGTCGAGGTCGATGCCGGAGCCACGCTTGGAGCCATGGTGAGCCTGTTCTGCGCCTGCTCCGGCCTCGGCATGACGCTGTACCGAGAAGACCGGCTGTCCCTGGCTTACCGCCTGATTGTCTGGGGTACATTCATCGCCACGTGTCTCCTCAACGGCATGCTGCTCATCCTAATCTTGGGGAATGCGCCGTGAAGCTCGCAAAATTGTGTCGTTTCAGCGATTGTTCTTGTTTTCTATTGCGTTTACTCTTATGTGCATGCATCAGACCCGGGGTCTACGGAGTTGGCAGCATCTGATCTTTCTTGTATACTGCGTGTCATTGCTTTAGCGATTGGAGGTTCTTGTTCTTGTTTCTGTATCGTTTCATATTGTAGCTTGAGAGCCGGCGAGTGCCACGGTGAGCGGGCACTCAAGCAAATTGCATGACGGCGCTCTGAATGGGCACATTGCACATACGTAAAGGCATGGGGATGACGATGGACAGCTGCGGGGGAGAAGGCAAATGTGGGCTTGAGCACATTACCAAGAAATCTGTAGATATAGCCCTGAAAAAGCGTCAAAAATTAGGAAAATAAACAATGAAAATCAAGACTGGCGGTCCCTATCAAACGACGATCATGACGCCCTTTTGAGACCCTCTTTTCAAGATTGGGGGAAATCATCGGCGATTGCGTCAGGTCCTGCAAGCATTGGAGTGGAGAATGCGGATGGAGATTCCCGCTCGTGTGTGCCTCTCTTGTGACCTCCTCTTTCTTGGGGCCCCTCGTCTGACGGAAAATTTAGCCAGCCAGTGAGAAGGCGTGGGCTTGACTCTTTGGGAAGTTCTGATGATTGAGAGGTGCCCCGGATGTCGCTGGCTGTGGTGGTTGGTTGTGTGTAATACCTTGGTAGTACTATTCGCAAGGATATGGAGTATGAGTTAAGGCATTGGATTTTGAATTGTCAACTGGGAAAAGCGGAGAGGAACTATTGAGGTTGTAGTATACAGATGGTAAAGTGACTAGCGGAATGAAGAGAAATCGAGAAAGAAGTATGTAATTGCGATGGAGTGAATTGTAGACTGACTGTCTTGAGATTGTAGCAGCGTTCAGAAACTGCAGAGCAAACCAGCCGAAAGCATTGTAGATATGTATCTCATTGCAAAAAGGGCCCGCGACGCAAGGGAAAATCCATAAAGCAAAGAGCAAAAACCGTTCCGTCATACCCAATCCCTCAAAAGTCATCCTCATTTTCGTCCTCCTTGAGATCATCCCAGTAGGGCGAGTCAATATCCATGCCCTCCGTCGTCTGCTGCTCAAAGCCCCTCTGCTTACAGAACGCGGTAATGTGCCTCGCCAGCTCGTCAATCCTTCCCTCACTCTGCTTCGCCAATTTCATCCAGGGTATCGCCCAACTCCCTTTGTCCTCTGAGCCAATCCGCTTTCGGTCGTCCCAGAGTCGCTCGTGGATTCTGTTAATGTCAAGACGGTACGAACTGGTTCCGCTCATGGAGCACGTCTTGCCCCTCCTCGTCTCGCGGGTTGTCAGCACCTCGATTCTGAGCAGTCGACAGTCGACGGCCTTGATGGCCGAAAGTACAGGGCATCCCGGGACGAAGAAGTTCACAAAAGTAAAGTTCGACTCTTGGTCCTCGTTGCCCTGCTGGGAGGTAGGCGTGACGCTGATGATCAATGTTTGGATGTAATCGGACCCCTGCTCCCATCCGATTCCGTCTTTGGCGACCTTTCTGGCAAAGACATTGATGGCCGCAGCCATGCCTGCCTGCGTGCAGGCCGAGTACCTGTTTGCCTCGGCCATGATGGTGATCTTGCGGAACAGGTGCGCATACTTGGCGATGTTGATGTTGCGCTCTTTCTGAGTACGGGCAGGGCACTTTGAGGCACCCTCTTCTTCATAGTCCAAGTCACTGTCGTCGGAGGAGTCATCTACAGGCCACGAGTCGTCCGTGGCTAAGCTGTCAATGGCCGATGCGTCGGACGAGGATGGATCGCGGAGGAGGTACAAGAAGGTGTTTGCCCCGTAGAGCACGGTGCAGGCCTCCTCGTACACGGATTTGCAAACCCTGAGGATGCCAGTCGACAATTGCAGATCTTCCTTCCAGTAGAGTTGTTTCCATCCGCTGTGGACTTGAATGGGCTGCTGGACGGTGAGGATGCTGCGGTAGATTTGCAACCTGATCTCCCTCGGGATACCCATGAAAGTGGGTGGCGTCTTATGAATGATATATTCAGGAATCTCTTCTTCGTCGGATTCGTCTTCTGGGAGTATAAATTCCTGAGACAGAGGAAAGAAGTTCTTGTAGAATCGCTGCCTCTTGGTAGGCATATTCGATTTGGTGCACGCCCGCTTCCTGGGCCTGCCATGATTCTCTTCCTGTTCATCCTCTTGCTCGTCGTCATCTCCAGCCCAGTATGGCTTGTTGGGGAATGCATCGTTATGAGGGCTCGGGACCCAAGGCGCCGGAGCCATGCGCGATACTGGCCGCGGCGGATCGTCTTTGTTCTTTACTTCTTTTCGAAGCTGACGGAGTCTCACGTAGTAGCCTCTGCGGGGGACTGCAGAGTACTCGGTAAAATCTTGGTCTTCTGGGAGTTCGAGTTCCAGTCCGTTGTGAAAGCGAGCATAATCGAGCATGATTTGGCCTCCACGCTGCTTCTGAATTCGTTCTTTTTCTTTTTCTCGTTCGCGTCTTCGTTGGCGTTTAGTCTTTTTTGACAACTTGCCATTCTTGGACTGCTTCTTTTTCTCTTTGCCTCTGCGCGATGTCTTCTTGGCTTCTTTACCCTGTGAGGGCTTGCCTGGGTCCTCGGGAGGAGCCATTGTAGGAGTTGTGGACGAACTTTCAGGAAGAGAAAGACTGAAGGAGGGTAATTGGAGGGAGATGGCTTCACATCGTCAAGTGTTATGGATATGATCGAGAGATTGAAGAAAAGGAATGCAAAAAACTTCTGATGGGAAGAGAAGGAATGAGGAAAGGATGTAAGAGAGAAGATACTTTATACTATTGATCTTTTTCTGCCGAGGAGGTGTGCCTTGGGCATCCAAAGTACATGCAAGATACATCGAGACTTCTCGGGCGGTGTGCAGACTGGGAGCTTGAGCAAGAGCAATCGCTTCCATCTTGTGCGTCCTGAACTGACATCAATCAGTGCGCACACCTTGATGCTTGAACACCATGGAAAACCGAGACTGATCCCCTCCTGTCAGTCCCAATACGCTGGTACAGTCGAGTCTATCCCCTGACAACTGTTTGCATTATAAGCACTATATGTATTACCTGAACTCTTGCTTATATCAATCGTGAGCAGAATACTTCGGCTTGTATAATACACCACGGCAAACCGTCAAGGTGCAATGCTTCACGACTGCTCGGCGCTACATCCCATCAACCTCCAACACGAAGCCATCACCAACTCCTCCCAGAACGACAACCACCTCCCGCGCCAACCCCAACCGTATCCACACAATATCGCAAGCTACCTACCATCAACTCCTCGTCTAAATCTATACTATCTCCAGCGACGTTGGAAGACTTTCAGCCCTGTACTACTCCGTAATCTCCATATCTTCATGCACAAACGGCCCCTGTTCCCCAAAACAGCCCGAAAGTGGAGATGGCACGATTTTTTTTTTCTGACATATCCTCCTCAACCCCAATAAACGGGATATTATCCAGCCACTCACAATGCCCGACTTTGACTCATTCGGCAACTGGGGTCAGCAAGCAGCGAGAACGGGGCCTTTCAACATGAAGCTATCTCTATATGACTAGACTGAGTCACATATGGCCTCTGTATATACTACATGCCCTCTCCCACATCCTCAATTGTCTTATACACCGTATTGAATAGTCAAACCACACACCCATCACACTTCAATCATCGCTAAACTCTCCCACTCTCATCATGCCTCCAACATTTCGCCTCCGTCCAGGAACCGCCTCGGACCTAACCCACGCAGTGCGTCTCTACGACGCCTGTCTCGGATCCGACAAGTTGGCCGCGCTGCTGTTTCCGCGCAAGAACGAAGATCCAGAGTCGTATAAGAAGTATTTGTACAGACTGTACGCGAAGCGGTACTGGTCCGTGGAATGGACATTTACGTTCATCGTCAAGGAGGGAGGTGAAAGTGAGGATGAAGATGACACAGTCGTCGGATTCTCCTGCTGGAAGAGGCCCAGTGCGGACATCACCTTCGGAGAGCGATGGTTTACTCTGTGTATGTTTCATTCCCCCCTTCTTCCCGCATTCTCATCATCCTCCCTTCCTCATACAGATATCCTCCATTATATTCTCCACCCATACAATGAACAACAGTAGAAGAGCATATAACTTACACGTACATCATCAAAAACAAGTCGCCTGGATCGCCCCCCTCGTCCGCACATTCATATCCCTCCAAGACACCCTCCTCGCCCCCCTAAACATCGACCCCCACGCCGCCCACGCCTTCGACCGTGTCTTCCCGCCCATCGAAAAGGCCCTCTTCGCGGACAAGAACCGCGCCGAGTGGTGGTACCTCAGCACCCTGGCCGTGCACCCTTCCGTCCAGGGCATCGGGCTCGGCGCCCTGCTCTTGGGCGAGGGGCTCACCCGGGCGGACGAGTGGCAGCGGCAGAGGCTGCTGCAGCAGGATGAAGACGGGCAGCAGCGCAGGGCTGAGGGCGGAGAGGCCAAGGTAAGGGGCAAGGTCTGGCTCATCGGGCTGAGGGGCACGGATGCGTATTACTCGAGATTTGGTTTTGTCGAAGTGGGAAGGGCGAATGTGGGAGACTTGAGTGAGTGGGATGGCGGCATCGTCATGTTCCGAGAGTGATGGAAAGGAAAAGAGTCACAGGGACACACACACAGAGAGATATATATAGAGAGGGGCGCGTGACTTTCGTGAAGAATGAGACAAGAAAGAAAAGAATCGCATCCTTTTGTGGTACTTTTGTATCTGTTTGTCCTTCTATAACTCGTCCATGAATTTCCGTTCCCTTTATTTTGGTTTCCCTTTCCATCCACTTCCCCCTTCCAACACAATATCCGTGTACGCCCATATTCATCCTCCACAGCAAAGTCATTGTATCCCTGTTTGCTTTTGCCCAAAAGCCACGACTACCATCAGCCTTTCCGGGCAAAACTCAATATTAACCATCATCTAGCGGCCGTTCCTCGTCAAAGCAAGTCCTCCTCTCATATTGATCCATCATCCGTCTTGATTTGGTTCTATGTGTAAAAGAAGAAACAAAGGAACTGTGAGAAACGAATGAAAATAGAAAAGGAAAAGACGTATTAGCGAGAAAGAAGTAGAGGGGAGACCCCGAAAGACAAAATCAAGAAAGCAGAAAGCAGTACGGATGTTGCGCCGACTGTACGCTCGTCCAACACAATTGTCAGATGCGCCTCGCCATGGTGAGTGTAAAGCTCTTCGGTCTTTAAAGAAACCCAGAGCGTAAACTGAGAAAAAGGGGGGGCGAGATAAACAACAAAAGACTCAGCCAAAAGGCAAAGTAGTGCAGCATAGAGCTGAGAGAGAACAAGGTGTGTGCCTCACAGCCCTTGAATGAAAGCATATCGCAAAAGTGGCAGTCCAGGCAAGTCGACTCTTCTTCGCTCTCCTATAGGAGGGTCTGATACGGTGCTAGGCATAGAAGCTCCGACGACTAAGCCTCACGTCCGTCTCTAGCTACCTTTGAAGCGGCATGATCAGCGGGAACCCATGTGTCTCCGTAACGATGAGTTTCGTGCTCGAATCTCTCAACAGGGGTTAGCTTAGCCGGGCCGAGATTGTTGGCAGCTCGTAGACTGTCCAGCTGAGGGCGAGTCACTTGGTCGTAATAGTGATGATGTTGCCGACTGCCCGGTCTCTGGAACCATCCTGAAGCATGAGTAGATTCGGACCAGTGTCCTTGAGAATAGTCACGGTATTCCGGCTCGTTGGTGGAAGAGGTTGCACCTCTGTTGTCGAAGCACGTCAAGCCGAACTGGGGAGCACCACTCGAGCTGATGGGCCGAGGATATTCCAAGGCGGGCTGATTCGTTGGGACGTTATCGCTGTAGGATCGCAAGCGCGGAGCTCGTGGAACAATTGTGCCATCACTGATCAAGGCCCAAGGAATAGCCAAGTTTGAGTCTTGAAAGTTGCTGGTTCCCGCCAAATGAGCGCTGATGGACGGCAGTCTCTGCTGGTTGTAGGGATCTCTGTTTCTCTGAAAAGGGGGCTCGGCGCCCACGCGATAGTGGGTGGAATGCTGCTGCTGTTCGTGGCTGTAGGGGCCATTGAGAGCATAGGGGCGCCGAAAGTCGCTGGAAGAGGGTCCATACATGTGTGCAACAGGTCCCTGAGAGCGGCCAGGGGAGGGCATCTGCATCCTGGGCACTGCAGGCAAGGCTCGTGGCATGACCGACTGCTGATCAAGCGTGGGCAGAGACACGCGGCTGGTTGCGTAGTGGGAAATTGATGGAAGGGTCACTTGAAGCGAAGGGCGGTAGTAGTCAGCTTCAAGAGAGCTGACGCGAACTCGCTTCCTCGAAGGGGTCGCAGATTCAGCAACGTCATATTGGCTGGGGAGCAAGGAGCTCCCTTGGCCCACGACATCTGCAGTGTCGGAGATCCGGCGCTTGTAGACCTTGGCTTCAACTGGAGTGGCGATCATGCTTCCTTGTTTGCGGCTTTTGACCAACTTTGCGATGTTGCCAGCCTCCGGCTCTATAATGTCGGGGAGAAACTCGACTTCAGGGACCTGGCCAAGGGTACCGTTCTCAATCTCCGTGTACAGCTGATCGGCAACTGTGAGCATCTCCTCCGTCGTGTATTCGGTTCCCAGACGCTCAATGATCCAGTCAGGGGCGGCTGAGCCGGTTGTTGTCTCCGGACCGTCGTCATCGCCGCCTCCGTCTCTAGCTCCTGACTCTTTGTCAAGACGACTTTGCTCTCTCTTGCGCAATGCAAACGTCCACATCTTGATGTAGGGTCCGACTCCACGGCGTTGGTTCTCGTCGCTCCATCTCTGGAGTCGGTTGATCTGCATCTTCACGAGGTACATCTGGTTGAGCGGGTACGTCTTGGCGTTGCGATATCGAATTCGTTGATAATGTTTGCGACAGTAGTACACCCAGACTTGCTTGGGGATACGCAGGGTGCAGGCCTTGTTGCGTCCAAAGAGATGCGAAATAGCTTTGCGTAGCTGCGAGCCAGTCTGGCAGTTGTCCACAAACATACATCGAGGCTCTTCGTCAAGAGAAGCCATCGATGGGTTGAGCGATGCCTCTCCCACTATTTCGCAGGCCAGCTGTGCCAGAGGGGTGATGCTGGCGACCTGATCATGAACATGCTCCCGAGATTGTATGACAGCTTCGCAGGCAGGCGCTCCATCAGCAACTGTGTTTGCGTGCCTGTTCTTGGGTGTATGGTGGCCGAACATCCGGTGCTCTGGGTCCATGACTGGATGGACAGGAGCTATGGCTGGTTGGGGTTCTTCGGCCTGGGTCGGCACGTCTTGGACTATAGACTGATCCATAGCAAACTCAACAATTTCTGGCCTGGGATAGCGATCGTTCAAGCTATCTGATGCTGATATCGGAATGCGAGAAGCAAGAACGGAAACAGATGTAGCTCTCTTGTGAGTCTTGGGTCGGGCCGCCAAGTCAGAACTGCATCAGGATCGGTTAGCTTTAGGATCTCGAGAGAAGCGTTGAGCAAGAAACAGACAGACATAGATGACGTGCGGGCAAATGATAAGACGTGTGGTCAGGCTCAAAGGGACATCAGAGGACTATGTGCTGACGGTGGAATGTTGCAGAGTGGATGGTGTTGGAACAGAAAGCCTGAACGTTGGGACCAAGGGGGTTTTAAGCACAAGATTTGGGCAACCGGTAGAAGGAAAACTCGCAGTGATGCAGCACCAGCTGCCCATTAGTCACGCGAGCTACCGAGGCGAGTCTTGACCGTGCTCTTCATCTGTCGGTGGTTTCTGCCAGCTGCCAGCTGGCTGGGGCTCCCATCGGTGATTCACAGACAATGGGTTCATGTGCGGAGCCTCCTCAACAGTGAAGATGCCCCCTACGGTGCTCCAACACCGGCTCAAAGAGACACCACGGAAAAAGCCAGCTCTGAATGATATTGCCAGTCTGCAGGAAGGGGGAAGCTTTTCAAGAAGGGGAATTGCGTCAAGCACACTCGAGTCGAGACGAAAGAAAAACAGGCCAAACTGTGTCCGCTGCGTTGATTTGTTTGCTTGGAACGCTTGGACAAGCAGCCCTCGCACAAGGCTCTGAGAATGGTGCAAAGAAACAGACGTACCGTAAGCCTCCCCAGAAGAACACAGGCTGCTCCGGACTTTGTAGGTTGAGTAAATCATCTTCATGTTTGCGTCGAGCGTAATCTAACAGACTCGTTCGGTTTCGTTTTGCTACTGAACATGGTTCAGTAAACGGAGGAGACGGAGCTTGTGCTGTGATGTCGATATCACATTTCGGGCTCTGGGTTTGTGAGCGCTTGGTATAGATCCTTGGCAGTTCTGGAACGGATATGGTCGAGGAGGAAACACAGCTGACTGATGCCACAGACGATAGCCTTGAATGGCATTCCGACAGTGGCGAGTCCAATGATACGAAACTGCTATTACTGAAAGATAACTTATGTCTCGAAGTCGTCGGCAACTCCCCCGAAAAGCTGCCGTGGCGTTCTTGGGGTGTCGTTCTATAATACACGTCAGAATCCCTGTCGTCAAGCCCCGGCTTCGTTAAGCCATCGTGGAGTCGGATTCTTGTTTCCTATGGGAAGATTGTGTAGGCTCACCGAGTCGCGCTTGTCCGATCCTCATCACTAAGACGTGAGCTGTGAGCTAATGATGCAGAACATGGGCTTCCGAAGTCTTCAAGAACATGACGGCATCTTGATTCGATTCCACCATCAAAGGTGAGGTTCGAACGATGCGTGAAGCGATAGAGGCCTTGTTTGGATGCCAACCTTGGCAACAAAAGAGGAAGGGACTCGAGAAGACTCACCTAGAAAGTCCATCCTTTGCCAAGTGTATCGGCAAATGAGACGTGGCACCAAACACAAAATCTGTCGACGGCTGTGTTATTCGATTGTTCCTTTCCGAGATTATTCTTTCGGCATGCGTTGGCGAAGTCGTAGGGCCTGCGGTGGTCTGAAAGCCCGGCTCCTCGATCCGAGGCCCTGTCACGCTGCCAGCTTCCCACAACCTGAAATGCTGCCCGTTGTATCTATATGAACTCCGATTTGCGTCTGCAACCCAAGGTATTGGCAGGGTCCTGGGAGGGGAGAGTGGTCTGCGACTGCCAGGGTGATCTGATGATACCTCATTGCGTCCTCCACAGGAGCTAGGCGACCGAACAGAGTTGAGAAGCGATGTGACATCCATTCCCCTGCCTCCCAAAAGAAAACACGCTCGAGTGACGTGCGATCGCAACAGGATTGCAGATGGAGGGCACGTCGTGAGAAAAGTGCCAGGTCGCTAGACAGGGGGCTCTCGCGTAGGATTTGACGGCGACGACTCGTGATGGACTAGGGCGATGGCGAGTCGAGTTCTTGAGGGAATCTCTTCCCAGAGCGTTTCCTTCGACGAGATGAAGTTTCACGGGGAGAGAGCAGTCTGTTTGGGGCTTTCTAGCCACGCAGGCTGTCTGGCTGCCTCTGCGTTTCCGATATTTTGAAGTGGCGAGGGGTCCGTTGAACGAAGTGCCTTTCAAAGCCACATTTGGCCCCCAAGTTGCGGATGTATTGTCTAAGCAACCACAGTTTTGGAAATATGACAGCGACAAAGCATAGGGAGGCTATTTTCGAGATGTTGTGGTGGTTTGAGTGGTCGATGGTCGATGGTTTCGGTCTCTGGTGTCTGTCACGAGTCCATAAAGAGGAAGCCACCGGAACGTAGTAGATGATAGAAATCTTCGCACTTGCCGGAGCCAAGAAGCTTCAGAAGGACAACTTTTCTCTACAGAAAGAGAGAGTGCTAGGACCCCTGCAGACAGCAGACTCGTGCCGTGTTAGTTTCCAGCCGAGGAGACCCAAGCTTGCGGAAACCGGAATCGTATAGCGGGCGTGGAGCTGATCTTTATCTGATGGAAACCTCTCCCTTTCTCAGAAGGGTCGGCGGTGAGCGAGAGTAGATTTCGGTTCTATATTTACGGGCAGCGAGATATAGGCCGAAGGATGTTGAGGCGTGGGGCTTTGGGATTTGATGAGACGCAATATGCGACAAGTTGCTAACCAAGCAGGCACGTTGTTGATCTGCTAGAGTGGGCAGGTAAGGCTGAGTCAAGCAACGTTCAATGAGAAGACCCGGAAAATGGGAGTTGACCGAAGGGACTATACCGGGGAACCGGATTGTTTGCCAGCATTGACGATGCGTGAAAGGAGAGATGGGTAAGACAAGAGGCCAGCGCATTGCCCAAGCCGGCAGCTGGAGTGTGGGCCGACACCCACGACCTTCAGTATTGGACTGTCCAACGCTGTACGTACATATGACACTCTCTGAGAGACTGTGCAGGTGTTGACCATGCCAGAGTCGCACTGTCATTGTACAGTAGTCTGTTCTGATCTTGTCGACGCCGTTTGGCCGAGAGCGAGGGCGACGGTATCGACGAAAAGGGTCGAGGCTACATGATGTTGCCGGGCGGCACAACTAAAATTACCAGCCTGACATTTTGAGGCAGACGGAAGAGGTATCAAATCGTATAAGCTCAGAGATATACGAAGCACCGGAGCAGCATCTGAACTCTGAGGTCGACCACTCGGGCGAAGAGGCTCCCTTCACCCTGCTGGCTCGATGAGGTAGCAGTTGATTTCCCTGTTTCCATCTCTTTTCCATTCTCTCCTTCTCTTTGTCCCCTCTTTTTTGGATTCTCGGAAAACGCACACAGTGATGTGAGGAGCATGCGACAAGATTTCTTGGGCCATGGGAAATGAACGTAGATTTACGCTGAGCCACCCCATTCTTGCAGTCGAATCGTAGACCAAAGAGAAGACTGTAAGAATCCCTGTCTAGTCTAGTTACCGCTAGAGCGGGGGCGGGATAATGGAATGGTTACTTGCCTGGTTGACTTGGTTACTTGCAGATGTCGGGCCCAAACAGTACCCAAGGTGCAGCAATCCGTGGGTCTTGTTGGCTCAGTCCTTCCAACAAGACGCAAGACCTTTGTACCAGCTGGGACTCTTTCCCTCTTCTTTCCTTTGTCCGGGTAGTAGAGTGGTGTGTGGCCATGACCTAGGGGCTGTTATATCGAGCCACGGCGTGAAACCGTGCTCGTCTTGGGTCGTCCAATCGGCAAGTATCGAGTTGACGCATCTTGAGTCAACTCCATGCTAGCCAGAGGCTGGATAAAAGGAAGAATAAGCCTAAAACTGGCCATGCTCTTCAAAGCCTTGGTGCTCATGGGATCAAGGCGTCGATCGTCGAAAAGTGACAGAATGAGTTGCATCACAGTTAGACATGATGTGACGGAGCGCAAGCCAAAGGTGCCAAAAGACCCAAAGGATTTAGAAGAACCAAAGCGGCCAGCCATGAAGACTCCACAGACGGGCTCGGGGAGAAGCCGTGGTCTTTGGCCCAGCCTGTCCCAATGAGACGCTGCGCAATTTGGCCTGGAAAGTGCTTCCTTCGTAGACGCTCGGTCTTAATGAGCTTCGTCTCGGAGCCGTGCAAGCAGACAGGCAAGCGCTGGGAAGCAGGTGTGGCAAGCCAAAGCGACACATCATGGCGACAGGGATCTCCATCCAGGCGTGGTACAACAAATGTGGAATGCCATGTGGTTGAGTGCCAGTGAGGCAAAGCGGGTGTGTCTGACAGGCGTTGCCTTTAGGCCAAGAAGGGGAAGTCCTTGCGGGAGAACCTGGCAGTGAACTAACAGCCTCAACGCTGGCTGATTGCGGACCTTTTCCTGCGCAGTGCAGTGCTTCTCCTCGCAAGAGTAGTGAGGCGAGAGTGAGAGGAACGTCGGTCCTGGTGGCAGGCTTGACATCTCTTGGCCTGCAGCTCCCCTCGAGACCAAGCGTTCGGCTGTCAATGCGAATCACTGGGACGGCCAACGGGATATGGACAGCCGGCGCTGCTGTGTTGGCTCTCAGAGATCTGGGCACTATACCATGTCTCCTGTACCAGCAGATAAAGACAAGGGATAGCACGCATAACACGAGGCAAGCCGACTACCGCCATGCTTGTACATGTGAGTACATACATAGCGCTGTACAGAGGGAGTGAGACGAGGTGGTACTGATTCCTCCATGATATGTTGCTACCCTCCGGAGAAAAAAATGGCACAACGGCGCTCGGCGATCGGGCTCTGACATGCGTCTTCCAGGTTTCATGGACGTATCGTACTGTAATAATATCTCTCGAAGGTACCAGGCCTCGGCGGGGTCGTCCAGTCTCTGGGCAGAATCTGCGAGGCGTGTGAGTGCATGGTACTGCGTACAGCTGCGAATCATGGCTGAGGACACAAACAGCGTCGCATCAACAAGAGCCGGGGTGCAGCCGCATGTTTCAGCCGTGCGTGGACATTGCAGATACGCTACACGACGTGCGCCTTTCTTTGTTCCTGCGATGAAGAGCTCGCACAGACACCGGTGAGGAGGAGACAAGGCGGTGACGACAGGTCCAGCAAGAAGAGACAGAGGAAGCTCGCATCAACGCCGCATGGACGAGATACCTGAGCCGAGCAGCGCTCGTGATCGGTCGGCAGGTCCGATATGACGGAGTGCGAAGTGCAGATGCCAGGAACATGAGGCAGCCTGCGAGACGTGCTGGTGTAAGATGGTTCCAGCTGGGGTTCGGCTTAGCGAGCGCACGACTGACTGCCTCTCGATCTGTGTGGGTGTCCAGGTGTACCTGCCACATCTTGCCCGGACAGGCACAGGTACTGGTACCCAAACGCAACTTCATGTGCCCCCGTCTGAGCGGTGCCTCAGTGTCAGTGCTGAGAGTAGCTCAGAGTATCGCCCCGACTGCCTCTACGGATGGGCACGACCAAATACCTCCAGGTACCACCTCGACGTGCATATCAGAAGTCACTCTGGGGGCTAGGGCTCGGTTCCTGCTCCAAGCACGCGACCCAAGCTCCAGCTCTGCTCCTACCTTGAGCTTGCAGGAATATCACCTCGGCTGGGCTGAGACGTGCATGCTTGGACAGGCACTCAAGAAGGCCATGACGGCTGTCATCGACGGCTTGCCGACGGCTCGAGACGACCACAAATCAGGTCCATCACTGGCTGTCGACGATGCATGCTGCAGGGCGCTATCGATGTGCCACCAGTCAGCCTGATGCTGCAGCCATGGTATGTGGGGAGGCTTCCGATGGCATGTCGAATAACGATCCGTACAGGCCATGATTAATCCCGTCAACCACCTCCATCGGGCCTCATCAGGCAGGGTTCTTGTTCCTGCTTCTCTTGGCCGGCCAAGACTCGCTGCGTAGGACGAGCCAAACGAGATGAACGCACGAGTAAGCCGACGTCTTGTGGCAATCCTTCTGTGGGCTTCTGCATGCTGTCATGCCAGTTCTTGGCTCTCACGTACCTATCAAGATGTGCCCAGCATCGCGGAGAGAGCGCAATTTGTCGAATCAGCGAGCACATCGCCCCATGCCATGCCATGCAGCCGGTCCAAGCGTGCGAGTTGGTGTGGTGTCCCCGTCCACTTGAGTGTTACGAACGCAGCCGGCACTGGGGGAGCCAACGCTAGAAGTTGCCCAACACTCTCGCCTTTACTGTACATTCCATATGGGATTCCAAAAGACATCGATCTTCTCTGGAGGCTCGCCCGGCCCCCGCTAGCTAGGGAACCCCTGATCCTGGCCTGCATCTCTAGCCGACGCTTCGACTGAACCCATGCTCATGCCCTGCTCACGTCCCGCGGCGCGTGGATGGTTCGTATTACTACAACTACTACTACTATCATGGCTTCCAGCAGACCCCAATGGCCAGCTCGGATGTGACCCCTTCAAAGCCATGCCTTGCAGCCACGTTCTCCCGACATGAGAGACTACATGCAGACGACGCGCTAGGGCGCATCCCATCGCCTTGCTGACCGTCTGGGGGATCAAACTTACGACGAGCTGGCCAGTTTCGACTCGCCGCCATCGAACATTGCACTGTATGGACAAGTTCACACCAAGGGGTTGCTGCCCATCAAGCTCATCATCCCGAGTTGCGCTACTCTAGACAACGCTAGAACGGCGTTCGGGTCCCTTTCAGCCACAGCCGCAGCTGCCGCGGCCATGGCCCTCGGCTCCTTGCGATGCTGCTTTAGTGTCCGATCCTAGATGCTTCGATTTGCACGTCCGAGGGGTTTGGCAGCCGTCTAGCAAGTTCCGATGCTGTTAGCCCACCTCTAGGTGCCATGGTAGACTCGACCGCGTTCTCACGGCCAAGAGATTCTGTGATTGCCTGGTTGTGCCTTGGTGTTAATGTTACTAAAAAGGGTCTTTTCTCTTCCCGCACGAGGGCACATGCAACACCTTGGCGGACGAGCAGACGACCTCCAAAATCTGACGAGCCTAGCGAGCCTGCCCACCGTTGTCTGCTATACGAAGAGTCAGACAAGGTAGCCTCACGAGTCGTCCTTGCAAGTCATCCGTTGTGAATCGAACTCAAAAATAGAGAATGAGAAGCAGAACGAGAAGTCGAACTTTGATCCCACTCTCGATGCAGCGTCGTATAGAGCGTATCTGCAGCTTCGCCAAAAGATGCTAATTTGAATCTCAAGATATACATATGTAGGAGATAAGAGTAACTGACCGCCAATGATGTGATCAGCGACGTCTTCACTTCGGTGAGTTCGTTCAAGGCCTTGTGTTACCAGGGAGCATCCGATACCACCACACAAGTCTCAAGACGGATGTGGTAGATGCTGGCGACTGTCTCAGCTCTCTTTTGCAACTGTCTAAAGACGTTCCTCCCCAACCGTCCACATGCTTTAAGGTGGCATTGGTCCAATGTGGGAGTCAATATATGAGCCGTGGCGGCGACGACACCTCTGCAACCTTTGAACGGCAGCTTCCTGCAGTCATCCCCACAGAGCGCAAACTTCAGTCTATCATACCTTGCTTGGCCGTGGGACCTCGACGGCCGCCCTGACTTGAGCCTCGGCAATTTTAAGAGAACGAAAGGAAGAAAAAGGCGTCCTAGGGATGACAGGTAACATCTTCGGACTCTCTCACCCGGTGTGCTGGGTAGTGAAGCAAACATGCATCGGAGAATTACTTTGTGCTTGGCCACGGGCGGCGGCAGAAAGTCTGCGGCAAAAGGCATCACATAGTCCGAGATGTGTAACGCACAACCAGCGTCTGATGTCAACCTCCAATCGGTGTGGCTTTTTCCCTATTGGCAGCCTCATCGACACCAATGGCACCAAGTCCTCGTACTACGGAGGATGACCCCCAATGCTAGGACTGCCGGGATAGAGCTCGCGCTGTGCTGTGCCTCCTCTTGCAAAGTCCCTGCATATCTGCTGCCGGTGTAATTTTTCCATCAGCAGTTCAGCAGCTGCGAACGAGGTTGCATTGGGTATAAATATCTGCGAGGCATGAATGTGATTTCAAGGTTTCATGGAATTATGCCGTGGTCTTTCCTCTTTTGCAAGCACCAAAAAAAAGTGAGCACTTTGGGAACTGCAAAACAATATTCTGTCTGGCGCCTATCTTGATTGATGACAAGACTGACAAGAGGTGTTGCGCGATATACCTTGAGAACCTGTGGTAATTATATTATCATAATATGTTCGGCCCCCGGAGATTGAATGGTCTGCTAGACGACTACTTAGTTGATAGCCATCATCCACGGGGACGTTTCGCCGGACCGAGTTGTCGCTCGACTGGTCATGCCATGAAGAAAGATGGCAATATGATCAGAACAAGTCGTCGACAGCCTTGTCAGCGTCCTTTTGTATCAATTCAACCATTCCCTGCGACATTTGGTAAGCCAACCTGAGTCCAAAGTATCTCGTATCTCAACAATCCTACCTTGGGCATGATTGGCTTTCCATCAGCACCCTTGACATAACGGAACGGCATCTGGGTGCTTTCGTGCTCGTTGAACTTGAGCTCTGGGAAGTCCAGATACGGCACTTCCTCAAGAGGGACTATGAAGGTTAGCTTCATGCCATATATCGTGTCATCTCTGGGGTTGCTGTCGACTTACTCTTATCTTGTACAACCATTCGAGTTACTCGCACGGCTGTATCTGTGGTCATCTGCTTGGGTCCCAGCCGTCTGCCTTCAAAGCCTTTCTTCCTGAGCTCAGAAGTTCGGTCTGGAGTTTGTCAGACATGACCACACAGTAAGACGTCATCAAGACTCACCTCTTGGAGGATCATCACCTAAGCATGGACAGTTAGCTCAGCTCTCTCCCTCTTCCTCCGGCGCACATGACGCTGTCCAACTCACCCAAGATGCCCCCAAAGAGAAAGGCATCAAACGCCTCGCCATCTTCCGGCGCCAAGTCCTTGGCTGCTGCCGGATCTAACAAGCAGACCCGGGACTTCTGGCCGGCATAGAGCTCTTCCACGCCCCGGTGCTCTGCAGTGAAGGCCTTGCTGGCGGACAGCGCAGACGGCACTTTGAAGTTGGGGGGCAGGCTGGAGAGGATAAACTTGGAGTTGGTCTCCTCGCTCTCGGCTGCAATGGCGAGGTACTCGAGCTCTGACCAGGGGCCAAGCTCTTCGTCGAGATGCTCGACAATGAAGGTTTTGCCAGTCAAAGCCATCTTCGCCCTTTTTGAGTGAAAACAAGTTCTTTGATATCAGTTAACCAGATCTGAATCGATATGATAATTGCTCATAAGCAGAGCGGCTAACTGGGAAGTGGTGATCCGATCTGATATGTGAGCGCTGGCATGTGGAAAAATCTGAAGCGAAAATTGAGGCCGTTCACACTGCTGCCCCTCATGCTTTGGTCTGGGAGATCGGAGCAGCAGTAAGAGGTACCTGTGGCTTGGCGGGCAGAGTCACGCAGTAGCAAGTACCGTCCCATCTTGGCCAGTCGATACGCGCTAATACGGCACTACAGATCCAAATTGACGGGCTTCTAGAAGTCCGCCAAGCTGGATAGTCCTTAGGAGTAAGCATATCTGATACTATAACACATCAGTTTCACAGCACAATTGACTGCGATTCGACACGACGAGGATCAAGATCACAAGTTCATCTCACAGCATTCTTTGCTTCTCAAGCGGACACTTGTCCAAGACCCAAGGCGCCGCTCCATTCCAACCAAAAGAGAGCTTCGACTCTTATTGAACTCGATCCATCAGCCCCAAAAAGCGCCCACGACAATAAACGCCTCCAGCTTTGCCGCTGTGGGGCCGCAGCGCTATATCGCTTGCAGTTACAGCGCCCCCGGTAGCGCCTGTTTTAGGGGACCGATGCCTGTGCTGGTTTCTGCACTGCCGCGAATCCGACACTCTCCCCAAGGGGCAGGTCAAGACGATCCGTATTCTGCATTCTGCCACCTTGCGCCTGCATCGCCGTCTCTCCCGTTTCACGCCTCACCCTCGACATAACTGGACGCTCGAATCGCTGGCTTCCGTCTGTCGATGATTCTCGACGTCGACCGCGTCCGCGACTGAGGCACCTGAGCTCCCTCTACCGATATCCCTTTGCTTCGTTCTGCCGCTCCTCGCCATGGTCCAGCTGTCCGCGCGGCCAGCGTCATGGCGATGGCTCGCCCTGACCGTGGCAAGTCTCTGGCCGGCTCTCGCCGGTGCTGATAAGACCACGGCCGACTACTATGTCCGCAGCCTTCCGGGCCTGGCGCAGGATCCGCCGACCGTGAAGATGCACGCTGGGTAAGCCATCTTGTTCCTGCGAGAGAAGCGTTGATCTAGGATTACCAAGGGTCGTGGGATGGATTCGAAGCTGACGCATTACGCTTCCGCCATACAGTCACATCGAAATCACCCCCGCGCACAACGGAAATCTCTTCTTCTGGCACTTCCAGAATCAGCACATTGCGAACCGTCAGCGAACCGTAGTATGGCTCAACGGCGGGCCTGGATGCAGCTCCGAGGACGGTGCGCTGATGGAGATTGGGCCGTACAGAGTCAAGGACGAGAACACCCTGGTCCCCAACAACGGCTCTTGGCATGAGTTTGCCAACCTGCTCTTCGTCGACAACCCGGTTGGCGTCGGCTTCAGCTACGTCGATACCGACAGCTACCTGCACGAGCTGAATGAGGTTGCCGACCAGTTTATCATCTTCCTGGAAAAGTTCTTTGCTCTGTTCCCCGAGTATGAGCATGACGATGTGAGTATTCCCCAAAACTTGCCGGAGATGGGATTTTTCTAAACTAAAGGTATCAGCTGTATTTTGCGGGAGAGTCATACGCCGGACAGTATATTCCCTACATTGCCAAAGCGATTGTGGAGCGCAACAAGAAGAAGGCCGAAGAGAAGAAAGAGAAGGACGCCTGGAACCTGAAGGGGCTGCTGATTGGAAACGGCTGGATGTCCCCGAGGGAACAGTACGACAGCTACCTCCCCTTCGTTTACGAAAAGGGCCTTCTCACCAAGGAATCGGACGTTGCCAAGAAGCTGCAGTCTAGCATTAGGATATGCCAGAACAAACAGGGCAGCGACCCCGGACACGTGGACTACAGCGAATGCGAGAGTATTCTCAGCTCGATCCTCCAAATGACCAGAAACGGCAATGGCAAAGATGCCTGCTGGAACATGTACGATGTGCGCCTCCGAGACGAGTACCCCAGCTGCGGAATGAACTGGCCGTCGGACTTGGCCGCTGTCACTCCTTATCTGAGGAGGCGTGAGGTTACAGAGGCCCTTCATATCAACACCGCTCGCGCTGCTGGTTGGTCAGAGTGCAGTGGAGCGGTCGGTTCCGCCTTCCAGGCGAAAACCTCGGTTCCTTCAGTCGACCTGCTGCCCGATCTCTTGAAGGAAGTTCCTATTCTACTCTTCTCGGGAGCAGAGGATCTCATTTGCAACCACATTGGCACGGAGAACATGATCAACAACATGGAGTGGAACGAAGGCAAGGGCTTCGAGATCGCTCCCGGCAACTGGGCGCCCCGTCGGCAGTGGACCTTTGAGGGCGAAGTTGCTGGTTTCTGGCAGGAAGCTCGCAACCTCACCTACGTCTTGTTCTACAATTCGTCCCACATGGTTCCTTACGACTACCCTCGGCGCTCGCGCGACATGCTGGATCGATTCATGGGAGTGGACATCAGCAGCATCGGCGGCGAGCCAACCGACAGCCGCATTGACGGTGAGAAGGGCGTCGAGACGACGGTTGGCGGAGCATCCAACAACACTCACGCGCACGAAGAAGAGACGCACAAGAAGATTGACGACGCCAAATGGGCCGCCTACCAGAGATCGGGCGAAATCGTGCTGGTCATTGTCATTGTCGCCGCCGTGGCCTGGGGCTACTTTATCTGGCGCCAGCGCAGAGCTCGCGCCACCTATAGGGCGCTCAGCGGCGTCGAGCCCTCGAGCAGGCACGGCTCTCGCCTCAACTTTGCCAGCCGCAGGCGTCACGGAGATGTCGAGGCGGCGGATTTCGACGAGACTACGCTGGACGACTTGCATGTCGAGACGCCTACTACTCCGGGGAACAAGTATACTGTGGGAGAGGATGACGATAGCGAGGATGGGCTGTCGGAGATGGAGCGGGAGAAGAGGAGGAAGCTGAATCAGCAAGCGGCAAGTTAGATGGGCAGCATTTGTTTGGGTTTCTCTGTAAAAGCATTCGTTCCTTGGACACAAGGGGGGTTAGTCTCTCAGTTCTTCTATAGCTATAAGGCATTGTATCTACGATGAGACATTGGTGGCTGGGTCACTGTACATAGATGGCACTATTCATCTTATCTTGAACGTATTTCCCAAGCTCCTATTGATGTGTCTAGCAAGTATGAGAAAGTGTTTTGATTCTGTAGATAAAAATGCAACGTAAAGTGTTCAAGTCGAGACGCCATGAGCGTTCAGGGTCGAGAAGGGAGCCTTCTAAAGCCGTTTCAATGCCCTTTCCTTCATTGTTCCCCCCTGATATTTTTCGTTATCCCGTATCCAGCCAGATCTTGATCGACATCATCTTGAATGAACCGTAAACTCCATCACGCAAGCCACACAAAATCAGCAATTCGCCACCCATACTCGCAGTGATAATTCCCAAATCCCAAACCCCGTCCCAAACAAAAGCAAGCAAATCGGGCGCAATGAACGAAGCAGCCGTAGCGTAGCAGCACAGAATCACAGCTGAATCTCATTGTTCAGCAACCTGACCTCCTCGCCGGGCTTGAACGGCGGGAGCCCAATGTACGGGCATCCGTCGCACCGGAAGGCGTCGCCCAGCGCGCAGTTTCCGCACGAGCCGACCTTGCCCTGGACGGTGAAGTCGACCTCGGTCAGGTCGTCGGCGGCGAGCTTGACGCTCTGCAGGGCCTTGTCGGCGGCGGCACGCTTGGCGGCGTCTTCAGCCTCGAGGCGCTCGGCGAGGCCGCAGGTGCAGTCTTTGCAGGCGCGGCGGCGCTTGCCGGCCTTAGGCTGGCATTCGGGGGCTATTGTTTGGGAGAATTGTTAGTTATTTTCCGAGATATATATCTTTTGGTTGTGGAGGGATATGCGGGGTTGAACGTACGGATGTTGATGGGTCGCTTGAGGTCATCTTCCGTCATGAGGGTGTCTTCGTCGATGAGCTCGTCGTCATCGTAATCGGCGTCGAGATCGTCGGAGAAGTCGATGAAGCCGACGCCAGCAGGGGCAGCAGCAGGCTTGACTTCTTCGACCTTCTGGACAGCGGGCGCCGCCTCGGCCTTCTTCTTCCTGCTTCCCAGCTTCAGAGAGACTACGCCTTCGCCATCGCCGTAGTCCGGCTTGTCGAAGCCTCCGTTGGACGCAACCAAGCCCGCCAGGACGGCCTCCTTTGCCAGCGCGGCGTTCTGCCCCAGGTCTGACCCGTCCTGCGACTGCAGCCGGCCCTTTGGTTTGAGCGACTCCGCGAGGGGGCCGAGTATGTTCCGGGTCAATAGCGGGAGGGTCTCATGCAGCGAAGACGACGCATCGGCGAGGACTAGAACGAGGTCGTATGTGGCGGGGGGAAGCTTGACGAGGCCGGCTGACAGCCTGTCGATCATCTGGAGGTCCGTAACGGAGCGGTCATACTGGGAGACGACGCTGGTGAGGGCGGAGGGGTGAGAGGCGAGCGAGGGCGGCGCGAGGAGGAGAGTTCGCTTCGACCCTGTCGCCACCGAAGGGGCGGCGAAGAAGTCGTCTGAGGTGTCTATCGTTACGACGGAGGGCGCCATTGCAGAGGTGCGGTTTGGGTAGGGAATGAGGGAGATTCAGCTGCTGGGAACGAGAGGAGGAGGGTTTGTTGAAGGCGGTTTGAGGGCCGGATTTGTAAGAGGCGAGGACCCTCTCTATCTATGTCGGACGTTGTAATATTTCCAGTGATGCTTAGTAAAAGCGTAGAGAAAAAAAACTGGATGACAGTAGGTGGTTGTAGCGAGTTGATACTGTATATCAGTGGTAACAAAAGCTGGATTGCACAGTGCGGAGAAGAGCACGCGGGGTCGGATCGATAGCAATTGATAACGATGGCACTTCTCCGAACGCGGAGATGCAAGTTTACGCACTATTGCTTGCTTCTCATTGGTTGTCGAGGGGCAAGGGTAACACCAGCCCCTGCGATGTCCAGCGGATTACCAACTCGTGGTCATCTTAACATTGGTTGACAGGTACTAGACTAGAGTATTGGAGACGGGTCGTGCTTGGAAACTGTATCCACCGGGATGATGACTGTAGCTTGAGAGTTGTGAATCTGTTTGCTTGGTTGTTCGACGGTCAGTATGGTGGCAGACTGAGCCTTGTGAGTTTCTACGAGATATTGCCACAGATGAACGAATTTGCAACAGAGAGTCGACACACCGACATCTCCAAATGTTCTCAGTCTCTCAAGCATCTTCAGTATCAAAGAGTGAAAGGCTTGACTACTCCGCGGAAGTGTCATGTTCTTGGAGACATCAGCCCATTGGCATCGGCCCTCCGAACCAGCAAACGATTTGCGAGCCGAGCCGATACTGCAAGGTGCATGAGGGTGCTCTCCATAAAGGTGACTGGTTATCTTAAGGTCATCGCCGTCGCATACAACGATCGAATATGTACCTTAGATTGACTTGTTGGTGTTTACAGATCATGGCTCTCTATATCCGGTCGCTCTCGGCTTAAGTAGTCTCCTATGGTATAGTCTCCAGATTACTCTCATAACATGTGATACTCTCTATTGTCGTCAGCTTCTAAACAGACATCAGTGTCTTGATCTGAAAGCCGCAACGGCTATCCGAACGTATTCCGTACCGGAATAACAGCTACAGCTGCTTTCTCTCTACCTTATCAAGCCCATGTTCGTCTGTCTGTACTGTCCGTGGGAAATAATGTTGCAGTCTAATTTCGTCGTATGAAGACAGTGATGTAAATCTCAGATATAACAAATGCGTCCCATCGGTTCTTCTGCTTTATCCTCCCATCTGCTCAGCTTGTTGCTAGAAAATTGATGCTTTTCGCGATAGCAAAAACGTACACTTGTAGCCAAAAGAGTCGAGAAGCCAAAAAGGAGGTTTAGTTCGCAACCATACATATTGCTATACATACCTACCCAAACTGCCATAGGATAGCAATGAGACATAGGTCTACAAGTCATCAAGTAGTGTATTGATAGAATCTGGAAAGGCATTGGTGAATTTTTCCCTGACTGCTTCACACAAGCATAATAATATAAATTCATTCCACCATGAAGGTAGATACAAAGAGGCCTTGAAAAGGTACACTCCGGCAAATAGCATGGTAGAGCAGAGTAATGCATAGAGAAAGGCGACACAGCATTCTATGCTCTATCCAAGCAACTTCATGCATAAGGTCCTCATCTTCCAAGTCGAATGTCATTCCAAGTTCAGCTGGCAGACTTGGAGAGCAAGATGAAAGATATGGATGGATATTTATCCCAATAGAACCATCATGTTATGCTTTCTACAAGGGACATCTCCCAGCAAATAGCCCCCGAACTTCACGCATTCTGCTCACACAGACAGGCGCTCCTCTATGTGCCTTATGTCACCGCCATACTTCATCTAGGTAGGCAAGATATTGCATTCACTTGCGTCAGAGTACGGGCACATCACTCGTGGCAGCTGGAGAAAGGGATGGAATAACTTGTTGCCATTCTGCCGCCCTGTGCACCGCCTTCGCCTGTGCGCTGCCTTCTTCTTTGCCGGCTGCCAAACTTTCTTCCGGCTCTTCTCTTTCTTCTTCACCCTCTCTTCTTTCTGCAGACTCCATCTTCCGGGGAACGCTGCAGAAATTTAGACATCTGCATTCAGTTCTAACTTGTGAGTGCTGCATCAAGCCATTCAGCTCTGACGCATCTTTGGGTACACATTCCTAACTCATCCGCAGAGCAGCTGGGGTTGACAACTTTCTTGCTCCAACTAAACGCGATTGTGAGCTCGCGTTTCTGAAACTTCACTCAAGGTAAGCATGCCTATGTCCCCTCACTATCATGTCTCGCCTCATACCATTTTTCTCTTCCTCTACTTCATTGCATCAGCTTTCACACCCTCCTCTCGATAGCTTTCGTCCTCCATCTACCCCCATTTGTTATGATTTCCTGGTGAACGGTGAATATCCTGCCTCCTACCCCTTCACTCTTCGGCTCCTCTCTGCTTTACTCTGATTATCGCCATCTCACAGAATCTACCTCCCTCTCATGCCTTCCAAGATGTCTCCTACTTTTGTCTGATAACAATTCGAAAGTAGACCATATGACGCTTACCATATCTTCTTCTACACGTATCGAAAATGGGAGACTGGGGTATGGGAGTCGCCGATGGCGGCTGGGCAGCACCGGCCAATCCTTCCTTTGACAAGGAAGCTATTGGAGCTAACACCTGGGGCTCGAACGATTTTGGTGGCAATGCCGGAGATTCTTACGACAATAACTACGGTGGCGGTGCCAATGATGCTGGAGCATACGGAAACGACAAGTGCTTCGGCTGTGGTGAAGAAGGGTAAATACGTCCGAATACCATCGTCAGGCATCTTACTAATTTATTGTTTACAGCCACAGACGAGCGGAGTGCCCCAACGGTGGAGGATCTGGCAATGATAAATGCTTCGGCTGTGGTGAAGAAGGGTAAGTGTATCTCACATCCTCCTCCAGGCAGGTGCTCATCCATCTTTTACAGACACCGACGAGCCGATTGCCCCAAGGCCGGGGAACAGACCTGTCGTTACTGCAAGAAAGAAGGACACATGAGAAAGGATTGCCCTGAGGCGCCGCCCATGCTCTGCTCGAATTGCGGCCAAGAAGGTATGCCCTAGAGTTCATATGGGAGATGCCAAAAAGCTGACGATTACAACCAGGCCACTTCAGAACCAATTGCGAGAATGCTCGCAAAGTCAATCGTGACCATGTCGCCGATGTCACTCCCGATGCTGCTTGGGACAAGCTCAAGCAGGCAGCTCGTGAAAGGGACGTTGACGATGCCAAGGAAGCCATTGAGGAGTACGTCAAAGCTCTTGGAGGAGAGGTCACCTACCGCCAAATCCAGGAGCGTCTGATGGAAGAAAATGTCAAAGTTTGGCTTATTTGCACTGAGAGAGACCTGATCGACATTTTCACGAACATGGATCTTCAAGGCAATATCGATAAGAAGTACAGTATCTCGGTCAGGTTCTCGGATAAGCCAGAGAGACCCCGCGAAGTTGACGCCTGGCCGAACGGCGAAGGAGAGATTTTGGCCCGCCTGGATGACGCCGGTATGGTCGTCGATAGAGGTGTTCCGAAATGCTACAACTGTGGTGAACTCGGCCATACTTCCAAGGGCTGCACCCAAGAAAGGGTCGAGCGAGAGTCGGGCAAACCGAAGATCTCGTGCTACAATTGCGGCGGCGAAGGCCACCGCGTGAGAGATTGTAAGTCACAACTTCAATACATTCCTGAGCCTTCTTTTTCTCTAACCATAGCTTAGGTCCTGAACCGCGTGTGGACAAGTTTGCTTGCAAGAATTGCGGGTGAGTTTTCTTTACCGAGCACCACTCGTTCGGATGAGACGCTGACATTGAGCAGAAAATCGGGACACCGCGCTCAAGAGTGCGAAGAGCCTCCCAATATGGACAATGTCGAGTGCCGCAAATGCAACAAGAGTACGTTGATCTCTTCTGAGAATGAACAACAGCTGACTGCTTTTTCTAGCCGGTCACTTTGCCAAAGATTGCCCTGACGGAGGCAGCAGAGCTTGTCGCAACTGCGGTCAGGAAGGCCACATTTCGAAAGACTGTGATCAGCCCAAGAACATGGACAACGTTACCTGTCGCAATTGCGAGGAGACTGGTCATTTCAGCAGAGACTGCCCTAAGCCTACCGACTGTAAGTTCATGACTACCATCATTGTCACATAGAGCACTGGACTAATGGCTGCATTGTAGGGTCCAAAGTCAAATGTTCCAACTGCGAGGAGTACGGACACACCAAGGTCCGTTGCAAGCTCCCGCCCAAGGAATCGGATGCCTATGAAAATCAGGCATATGGCGGTGCCGACGAACAGCCACAGCAGCCCGATGGAGGCTACGAAGGCGGCCACGTCGACAGCTATGGTGACGATGCCGGTGGAGGAGATTGGTGATTTTGCCCATAGGCATAGTCCCAGAGTTCATAAACCGCTGCTTGTTACTTGAGTTTTAGTTACCCCTTTTTCTGGGGAGGATTTACTGCGCGATCGATTACGGATGTGGCACATCCCGGGGCAATATGGGGAACATGGGCAAAAGAGGATTTGCACAGATGGTCTGATAGCTGAGCACTAGAAGACATTCATCGTGTTACCTCTAATAAAAGCTGATTTAAGCACAGGGCTGATGATATAGCATCCACGACGTGTTGTTCGGTGAGAGAAGTCACCGAGACCCCTTCGGTGTACCCCACTCCGACAAGCCGAGGCTTGGACCACGCGAACGTCCCGAGCCGGAGCGACTGTAAGCGGTTCACAAGTGTTAAAGTTGCAAAGAACTATTTACTACTAATGGCTGCCACGATCCAGACTTTTTGTTAGCAACTCAAACATCTCCACGCCGCGTGAATATGGCAGCCCGCGAAATCATACTCTATCACTACGGGGTATCGCCCTTTGCGAGACGCACCGTATGGTACCTCGCTCTACGAGGTATTCCCTACAACCAATGTGTAAGTTGCAGGTGGTTATTAAACACTCATTACAGAAGGATGCTTCGTCTATCGGAAAATATTGAGCTCAAGTGTTACAATGTAGCTCCAACCTGGCATGTTGCCGCGGCCGGATGTCGCTCGTCTCGGCATCTCATACCGTCGCATTCCCATCCTTTCCATCGGCAGGGACATTTACCTTGACACTCGCCTCCAGCTGCCCAAGCTGGAAGCAATGTATCCGGAGCTGCCACGTCTGGGCTCAAGCACTCCTGGAGAAAAAGGCATAGAGCGCCTCCTCTCGGCCTTTATCATCGACGGCGGCATCTTTCAGCACGCCGTGAAGCTGCTCCCGACAGATCTGCCGTTCCTCAAAGACCCAAGGTACTTCAAGGACAGGAGCGATTTCACGGGCGCCGAGCTCAGCGTGGAAGGGATGAAGAGAGCCCGGCCTGAAGCGCTGGGGGAGATTGCGGCGGCGTTTGAGCTGATGGAGACGACGTTCCTGGCGGACGGCAGGCAGTGGATCCTCAAGACGGAGCGGCCTGGGCTGGCGGACATTGAGGCCGTCTGGGTGTTTCACTGGCTCTCTGGGATTCCGGGCGCGCTGCCCGCAGACAGGTTCTCGGCGGACAAGTTCCCGCGGGTGTATGCGTGGGTCAAGCGCTTCCAGGAGGCTGTCTCGGCTGCGAAGAAGCGCCTTGGAAAGCAGCCCAGGACGCTGAATGGCGAAGAGGCGGCGAGGATGATTGAGAGTTCGTCGTGGAACGAGGAGGAGGAGGGGACGGTGGATGGGGATGATCCGTTGGTTGTAGCGGAGGGCTTGAAGAAGGGCGGCTTGGTCGCGATCTCGCCGACGGACACGGGCAGGGCGCATAAGGACGTGGGAAAGCTGGTGAGCTTGAACAAGGACGAGGTTGTGATTGAGGTCAAGACTGCAAAGGGCGAGGGTGTGCGGGTGCATGCGCCGAGGCACGGGTATAAGGTGAGGAGGTTTGACGGGGAGGGGGCCGGTGCGAAGTTGTGAAGTGCATTCTTCTTCTCAGGGCCTTATTGGAGGTCAGAGCATAGAATGAGTGTCTAAGATAGTGATGAGCATGGAGTGCTTCTTCAGAAGAAATAGAGGAACGTTTGATTGAAGTGTGTGCAAGTTACAGTTGGTGTTGAGACTATTCTGCGTCGCATTCGCTCCAGGGCTACACCAAACACCGCACCACAATGGCAAATGGACCTAGTTGCATGTATTTTGTATCTCTCGATGTTCTCGGACCTGAGATACCTGATATTATTATTCATCAGTATAATAACTGTCAACGTCCGGATACTGGGCGGATGGTAAAGGGGAGTTCGACGAGGCATCCCGCATCGCCATCTACCCTGGAGTAAGTCCCGACTTTCAGGGGCTGCAATACCTGTTTCTTGGGTTAACCAACAAGATCACTTCACCGCCAAAACAAGATATTTTACCGTGTCTTTGCTCCAAGAAATAGACACTGCTACCGAACCGATCGGCGATCTCAGAATGTTCTCTCAAACATGGTACAACCACAGTTAAGACCCAATCCCCCTACGATCCAACCTCAAGCTCACGAGCAGCAGAGGAGCATCAGCAACTTCGCGTGAGATCTCCAGAGTCACAACCTCCGAATAAGCTTCTTCGCTCAACCGCAAATCCCACAAGATCTCCTCAAGCCCGCAAACAACTCAAAAGCCCGTAGCATGGACATTTCACGGCTGCCTACGATCGGCAGGGCCACGAGCCCAAACCAATTCATAAACGTCTTCTCAAACACGGCAACATTGCATCATTCCAAGTTTCCTCCCATATCCCCAAACAGGATTCTCAGACCTTTGTCACCTGAAAGAGACTACCCCGTTCCGAGACTGGGCTTCAGGTGACTGGGACACACCATCCTGCCGGTGCTGGGGGAGCCACCAGCACAACAGGATGCATCTGTGTATCACCCGTTAGCCTCTTCAGTAGTATTGTAGATGGAGAGATCGCAAAAGGGACAACAAATCATGATGAAGCTGCTTGCATGGCCAGAGACTCGGCATGCACTCCGCACGTTAGCCGTCCGTCTTGGTTCGAATAAGCACAAGATGCAGATCGTTTTTCGTGATTCCCGCCCGAGGACTGGGAGGCGAAAGACGAGATGGATTAATCATCATGCCATCATGAGCATCAGGCACGGCCGCCAAGATAGCAGAGCCAGAGCGCTGGAGAGTGAAAACAAAGTCTTGGGGGAGATCTCGATCCGTCCTGACGCTCGGAATTAGGCGCTGTGGGTTCCTTTGTCTTGAAGGATGGATGGAGAGGATCGCCAAGGTCGGGCTTCGCTCACCCTAACGCAAATCTCGGGGAGATAGTGAGGTTTCGGGACAAAGGGGCTGCGTTGCTTTGTGGTAGTAGTTGATCTTGGAGTTTTGGCCCGTCTGGGTAGCTTTTTATGACTTCTTGAAGCTTTGAAGCAGATCAACGACACGACTCCACTGTCTTTTGAACGCGGTTTTCCGTCTACACAGAAGCGCCCTGTAAAAGCAATGCTTTGTATATACGGTAATGCACAGGCAGCTGTCGCGTGTCGTTGAGCCCCCAAATTCGGTGTAACGAGTGAAGCTGTTGATACTCCCCGTGTCCAATGTTTCACGATGCTTGGCAAAAGTGCGTCATAGCCCGGCCTTGTCCAGAGCCTCGCGGTGGAGTCGTGGCGCCGAAGCGAGAAGCGGCTACCAAAATTAAAGGCAGGGCGTATTAACTGAAAAGAAACTAGAAATCAAAACAAGGACGGATCCAATTACCAGGAGGGAATCAGCAGCTTTGCAGCATCCCAAAGCGTCCATCGACACGCAAATGCGTGCAGCGTCTGGCCGCAAACGCGCTGCAACGCTCTCGGGCAGGTCCACGAGCCTGGCACCTGCCTGGGGCCATGTCCAGTCTTGCAATTTTTGCTTCATTTTCCTTTTCCCTTTTCCAATGCTGACGTCACCGGCCGATCATATGGCGCCCACCAATTAATCGCCAGGCCGCTGGACGGGCCAGAAACGCAAAAGTCGCGACACAGTGCAGCAGACGATGGTACGATGTGGAGCCGAGCGGGACGATTTCAGGGGGTCGTCTCTTACACTGTGTGCGAAGTCTTGGCCGGTGGCCATCGGGCTGCTGTGGTTCGCTGGCAGAGAAGTGCTTGTCTGTGTCTTGTCTGCTGTCCGTGTCCGCGATGAATGAGTGCTGTGCTTCCTTTCTTTTTTTCAGTTGTTTGTTTGCTTGGGCATTGGATGGGAGGGATTGCAGCTGCGGGCCCAATCGGGCAAGTGGGAAGACGCATCCATTGCAAGCAGCGTCTGCGTGTCTCTTCTTTTCCTGGGAGTTGCTGCACCGGCACGAAATGTCTGAGAGAGGAGAGGGAGAGACGAGAGACTTGTGACGTAATGAAGCCTCAACCTCACCCAGCCCGTTTCAATCAAAGGTTGACTGAACAACCTGCTGCCACTGCTTGTAGCAAGCAACTTGACATACCTACTACTAGCATCACCACATCCTTTCCCAGGTAAACAAACGATCAGGGACGGCCGAGACGACGGAGATGACAAGACGGAGACGGATCCTCAACCCCCTTCGCTGCCTGGTTGGCTGGCTCTTGCGCAGAGGCCCAGCGCGGACGCATGAGAGGTTGCCGTAATCTTGGAGGTGGTCCTGTCTTGGTGTGTGTGTGTCGAGTCGAGTCGCGCGCCAGTAACAGACGGAGGCGGCCAGATTGCCACATGCCGCGGGCTGGCTGAGGAAGAGTCCGGCGCCCATCTCTGGACGGGAAACTTCAGTAAGGGGGGATTTCCTATCTGCTGCTAGTAGTAGTAATGTAGTCGGTGAGGCGAGGCTCGATAGGGCTCAAACGTTGTTTTGGAGCGACTTGGAAGAGTGTTGTGATCCCGTCTGTAAGGGAAGTACCGAGACACCAACCTGAAGACGATGGCGGACGACGTGGGCTTTTGCCTAATACTTGGCACCAAGCGATCAAATGGCTGGACCTTCCGCGTCTCGCTCGGCCGATTAGCGAGTCGCTGCACCAGTAACTGCCTGCTGGAGCCCCCGTGCAGCTGCACCTGGCGCCCTTCAAATAAACCCAATCCTCTCATCAGTGCATCAGTCAGGACGAAAGCGGCGTTCCCCCGCTGCAGACATGAAGCCCAAACCGTCCTTCCAGAGCCCATCGCCGTCCACCGTCAGGTACTGAGTGTTCTGCGTCTCGCGCAAGGCAGGCGTCATCGCCAGCGTCAAAAGTACATCCGAAAGTACGAGTTTCGCTCCGGGGGTCCATGCAGCAGCGCCCCACAGCCCTTCAACTCATTGATGCTGTTCCCACTGCCATCAACAGCCATCCCTCGCAGCAAGCAGCAGCACACTTGCACACCTCCGAGCCTCTGATTGAACTGCATTCGCCAGTGGCACGCTAGAGCGACCCCCAGCACCCTCGGAGCCCATACAGTGCGGACTCATCTTTTCTCGCCAGCCATCTGCGAGATGCTCCGTCCGTCGTCCTTCGTGCTTGTACGAATACCGGCAGTGGCTTTACGCGGAGACGAACAAGACGGTGCAGCAGTCGACTGATTCGGTGAGGACGCGACCAAGATGAGCCCAACACGAGATGGCTTCCGTTGCTGCTTGACTCAGTATTTTACCGGACACTGTCGACAGCAGTATCAACAATACTCCGTCTTCGCAGCACATCTGAACGCGCGGCGGCTGCTCCTGGATTTCTGATCCCGGCCCCTGAACGTGAGCAGACACACACTCGCTCCGACACTGTACGTACAGTACCTACGAGATGCTCCGTACTTGCCACCTCCAGATGCCCGTATCACGGATACAGCCAGATTGCGTGTTTCCATTGGCTGCATCTGGTCTCGTTTTTACTTTTGCTCCCCTTGATGCTGGATGGAGACTTTTTGAAAGTGGTGCAATCGCTGCAGTACTCGTACTTGTACGTACATGCCTCCTCTTGCCTCTCTTGCCTCTGCTCCGTCTTGCTCGCCAGGCATGCATTGGCAGCACGCACCTACAGTACGAACAAGCCCTGCCGCTACGGCGCACACAGCACTGAGCGCAGCGCAGCCCATCACCATCACCATCCCATCCTTCCAACTCCCGCGTCGGATTCGATTCGACAGACTCGCCGCCCGTGGTTGGCACGTACCCAGTGCGTCTCAGAGGCCGCATCCGCACCGTCCACACCACCCGCTCCCCCAATCGCGAGATGTCGTCCAGCGTCCCGCACAGTGCGGCGCCGGGCCAGGGTTTGTCAGCGAACATGGAAAGTCTCTGCAGGCTCCAGTTTTCATCGCACCCTGGCCGTTAGCGCTGGTGGCCACTCACAATGCCCAAAAAGGCCCCAAAGCAGCCCAGCCAGCAGGACCCCCCAGAAGGGTCAGAGCCGCCGCCGCCCGCCTTCTTTTTTCTGCGCCTTCGTCTTTCACAACGTCATCTCTGACGTCTTTCTTCCTCCATCGTGCACTCTTCACTCTTCCTCAGTTACAGCTTCGCAACGCAGCCTTCCGCGCCCCCCGCCAGCAACAGCCCTCTGTGCCCGCATAGGCGCCTCGAAAGTCACGCCTGGAGCTCGTCCATCATCAGTTTGCATTTCTCGTGATTTGCAGCGTTATCCGGGAGCCCTCGCGGCTGGCTCGATTGGTCCTTTTTTCCCCCTTGATATTTTTTTTCATTATCGTCTCTTGTTACCCGAGCCAAGCCTGTTCTACTTCGGCTCCCCAACTTCCTGCCTAGCCTGAGGAGAAGAATTGCCTCCCGGGACAGAAGCAGAACACAACGGCCGCTCTGGGCTGTTGGAGAGTTCGACGGAAGTGATAGCAGAGCAGGAAAAAGGGACACGAAAAAGAGTTGACAGCAAACGCGCCGTCCAAAGCAAAAAGCGCCCCAGCTATCCACCGCCTCAGTTCTGCCTCCGCGCTACGCCTGCCTCTGACCTCATCCATCCAGATTTGGTCTTCTCACCTCTCTCGACCCGGATCCCAACGTCTTTTGCAATTGCTCTGCATTTCCCCCACATAAGTGGTTAAACGTCCTCTCGCCCTCCATTCCTTTTGCACTGTCTTTTTTCGATTGATATAATTCATCGTCATCATGGGGACGACCACCGTCAACATAACCGAGTCCAAGTCCCCTAAGCAAGCATCCCCAACCAGGCAAGGTAAGCCTCGTTCCTAATCTTTCTTCCATCTCTCCCCCCCTTGGCTGTTCCTGCATCGTCATACCTCTCCCTTGCCCTCGCTGCTCCTACGCCTTCGTCATCGCTGTCACCTCCCCCGGATCAAGTACGACCGAGGGGTCTCGTCACCGAACTCAATTGCCCATCGTCGCTCAGCACCAACAACGTCACCATTATTTCCCTTGCCATCGTCCCTACCATTGTCGCTGCCGCTGCCATCGCCACTCTTGCCTGTTGTCACCGTCGACTTACAAAGCCCCTGGGTCAACAGGTTCCATCGCCAGCGCCAAGATCGACTCAATCACCAAGCCGGACGCTGTGTCCAATGCTCCGGCGACCAAGCCGCTTGCACCGCCGCCTCGACCAGGACAATCCCAACCAGGATCTAATACTCCCGGTGAATACTTTGCGCCTCAGGTCTCCGGAGGCTCCCTCAGCCTGGAGCCCAATCCGTTTGAGCAGTCGTTTGGGGGTGGTGGACCAGAAACGCCTGGAGGCACCAAGCTACCCAGCGTCGCGGCCCTGACCTCTCCCTCGTCGCTGCTCCCCGGTAGCAACGCGACTCCCTTCAACTGGGGTCCAGGCTCCTTGCGGACCGGCCCGCTTAGTCCAGCTATGCTGTCGGGCCCTACCGACTACTTCGGCGACACACATCACCTCCGCGGCGGCTTCCCTACGCCCAACGAGTCCTCCCTGCGCACCGGACTGACACCGGGTGGGAGCGGGTCTATGTTCCCGGCCCCGAGCCCCAACTCTGCACTCTTCGCGCAGCTTGCAAGCGGCGGCGCGACCCCAAACACCATCGACTTTCATCGAACGGCCCTGAGCGCTGCCGCCAAGCGTGAACAGGCCAACAGCCTCGCGCGAGCTCAAGCGCAAGCATCGGCACCGCAGCCTCAGCCAGTAACGTCTCAACCTCAAGACATGACCTCAGTCCCCGTCATTCCCAAGGTCGAAGCCAAGCCCGCCTCCGGACCCTTTGACCCTCACGATAACGACGCGGCCAACGGCCTCTACATGCTCGCTCAAGGGAGGAACGGAACCCAGCCTACTCCTCAGTTCACAGTGACGTCTGCTCCGGCGGCACACGCGCCTCCGGCCCCCGTGGTCCCGCCCACCATGAGCACGTCTCCTCCCATGCCTACCAAGGCAGATCCGCGACGAGGTGTCAGTGAAGTCAGCAACATGTCAGAGGAAAGCGACCAGAAGCCTCAGACACGAGCCAAGGGAAAGAAGAGTACCCCAGCTACCAATGGCAGGAGGAAAGCCGACGAGGCGCCTGCCAAAGCACCGCCAACGAAGAGAACAAAAGCCAACAGTGGCGCGCCTAGCAGCAACGGCGATGATGAGGATCATTCCGACGACGATGCGGATTCCAAATTTGACGACAATGGACCAGGCAAGTCAAAGATGACAGACGAGGAGAAGCGTAAGAACTTCTTGGAACGCAACCGGTATGTCTTTGCCCTATTGCCAGGTAGTGATCCTCCGATTTATTCAGAGAATACTAACCCTCCTCTAGTGTTGCGGCTCTCAAATGTCGACAGCGCAAGAAGCAGTGGCTTGCCAACCTCCAAACCAAGGTGGAGGTATTTAGCAGTGAGAATGAAGCTTTGACTCAGCAGATTACGCAGCTGCGAGAGGAGGTTGTCAACCTCAAGACTCTTCTGCTTGCCCACAAAGATTGTCCCGTCACTCAGCAGCAAGGCCTTCACGGGGCCTTCATGTCTCAAGTCGTTGAGCCCTACAACCCTCAGATGAACCCATATGGCATGGCAGCCCCGATGCCTGGCCAGGGCGTCATGGCTGGCCAAGGTGTCAACCGCCGTTTCTCCTAGCAGAAGAAAGCTCGGTGAGAGAGGCAGATGCGAGATCTGATTGAGCATATACGCGGTTCCATGGCGGGACAACATGCATCCGGTACACATTTCCCTTGTATAATTCTCTTAAAGGGGGGTTCACGGCAAAAAGAAACGGCGGATTGACACCTGTGTGTTTTGGGGCGGGATGCTGGACAGCATCACGAGGATGTTTTCATGCTTTCTTTTTCATTTGTCGGCCCTTCCCGCACCACTTGTGGTTGTAAGCGGTGCCTTGGCCATTACCCGGCTTTTCCCTCCCGGGCTCTTCACTTCACACATTTCTCTCTTCCTCGATATTCCTTTACAATGTACGTAAATAGTGGCAAGGCACGGTAAGGTATACACACATGAAAAGGTGTTGGGCTTGGGCGGATCCTCGTTGAGTTTGGCGGCGTTTTGGGTGAAATCGGTACCGTCAAAGGGGATGATGTACTTCTGGTGTTTTCGGGTTTGAATTTTTAGATGCTCTGTGGCTAGCGAGAAACGGAAAGCTACATGGCCTGGCAGCCGGGTCAATGCATCGATGACTGTATTGCACTTAATAAATGGGGTTACTGCTACTGACTCTGTCTGTGACATGCCATCGTGGATGTTGATACTGAGAGTGATGAGTAGGTATTGACGTGGTCGAAATAACAGTTGAACTGGTGTCATCGTGGAAGCTCCACCAGCCAATCAGATGCCGTGTCAGTGAGACGGAGGGGGTGGGGTAGTGGATGTCCCAAACAGGCCTAGCGCATTGTCTTAGAAAACCATACCTCTTCCGCCCATGATCCTAAAAGTAAACACAACCAGGCCAAGAGAGAAAGAAGCACTTTGGCGGTCTCTTGACGATCAACCTCGACTCCTCGCCCGGCACGACGCAGCAGTGCAAGCGCATCATCGATACGGCTGGATCCCGCAGCTTTCACACCGCGTGACGGACCCTCCCCTGCGATTGCGCGACCTTGATGCGCCGGACGAGCGACACGCGCGCAGGCATTTGACGCGACAAGGCTGAGAAGCTAGTTTCCTCTTTCAACGTCCTCAGCGAACACGCGACATTTTTAAAAACCCCGCCGACGAGCATCTTATTTTGTTTCTTTCGCCCATTTGGCCCCTGGCAGGCACGAGCCCCCGGCGCCTGGAGACGACATCCTCTTGAAATTATCTCATGCGATCCATTCAGGGGAGCTTCCGAAGAAGCCATCGATGACGACTCTCGTAACTCTTCGACAGCCGCTGGAACTTCTTAGCATGAGCGACCAGCCAGTGCGCCGATCAAAGCGCCAGCCGGGTTTGTTTGGCCCTTTCCCCCATATTTGCTCGAGAAAAGAAAAGAAAGGAAGAGGGGAGGAGGTGAAGAGGAGGAGGGGGGGAGGCGGGGGAACAGAGGCGATGAGGACAGAGGGGACACGCGTATGCTGACTTGGGAGAAACACTAGCCGCGGATTACGAACAAGACGACGACTTTCAGTTTGTGCGGAAATCGAAAAAGGCGAAAAAAGATGAGCAGCAGCCGGCGGTGGATCTTCCCGTGAGGAAATCGTCGAGAGGGAGGCCTTCTGCGGCGGCTGTAGCGGCGAGGGAGCGGGCGGCGAGGGAATCGATTGGCAGTGATGAGCAGGTGGATCTGATTGCGGCGGCGACGACGACCACGACGACGAAAAAGTCCTCCTCACGACGAAAAGTATCAAATGACGCGCTCCAGGACGAGCCGCCCGCCAAGGTCTCGAGGAAAGGAACGAGAAAGAGCTCGCGGCTTTCAAACGAATATGCTTCAGTTGAAGAGCAGCAGGCTCCGCCACGGACTAATGGCTCTTCAACTACTCAGGTGCGCACCAAGAAGGCACCAAAATCCAAAGCGCCACCGGCGGTACAGGAGGGAGAAGGAGATGACTCAATGGCAGAGTCGCCGGTGCAAGAGACGGCTACAAGGGCCACCAAGATTGCGCTGCCAATGAGCGACACGCCCATCATTAACCGGAACAAGGAAATGAGAAAGAAGGGGGCCAACGGGAGCCGAAGAAGCAGTCTGGGATCTCGCGGACGCAGAGCGAGCTCGCTCATAGAGAGCGGACAGGCGGCTATTCCGCATCGCGAAGTCAGCACCTCTGCGTTTTACAAGCACATTGAAGCGGATTTGCTGGAGCCGCGGCGGATGAAGCAGCTGTTGATATGGTGCGGTGAGCGAGCGCTGTCGGCGAAGCCGCGCGGCACTGTCAACTCTGGTGCAGTTCTTGGAGGTGGGCGCTTTCTTTGACTTGGTTGATTTTGCCATCACTTTGCTGACTTTTTTTGATCCCAGCTCGCGCGATTCAAGACCAGCTACTAAAGGATTTTGCGACAAGATCGGGATTTTCAGATTGGTTCAACAGAGAGGACCATGCGCCCAAAGCGCCCGTCGTAATGAAACCGAATCCTCGGAATGCTGAGCTGGACGAGAAATTGGCAGTTCTGCAGGCAAGAATCAAGAGGCAAGTTCCGTCTGGGTAGTTCACATCAGTATATATGCTAACTCAGATGTAGACTGCAAGAAGAGAAGAAGGCGTGGCTGGCAATACGGAAACCACCTCCCGAACAACCGCCTCTATTCACGCCACAAGAGAAAGACGCAGACACAATCACATTGCCCGATTTCGACCTGTTAGATCCAGAAGAAGGTAAAATCAGGGGCTTCCTAGTCGATGAAACCAACAGCTTTGCCAGCATACGATCACAGACACAAACGCGGTTACGGCAAATCCAATCGTCTCTGGAATTCGAAGTAGATCAGTTGGCAGACAACGTCCACAAGCTGGAGCAGCGGGTCAAGGTCGCGGGCAAGGAGGCGGACCGAGTACTGGCTTTGAGCGCCGCGAGGTTGAAAGAGCGAGAAGAGAGGGAGAGGAAGAGGGCGGGAACCAAGGACCTGCCCATCGTCATGGTGTTGCGAAGCTTGAGCAGCATACTGCCCGAGGGAGGTGGATGATGAGGGGAAACCGAGAAGAAGATTCGGAGACCCTTCTTTCGTCCTCTCTCTGTTTCCTCATCACAGCATCTTATCTCGCCTTTTCCAAACGCCCGCTTCCTTCATGATACCCTTGCCCTCACCTCTTTTCCCTCCTTTTGCGCGGGCTCTTCTGCGCGGGCTCTTCTACGAGGGCTTTATACGGACTCTGCTTTGATCTTTCTTCTTCTGTTATTCATGAGACATACTGACGACGAGACGAGACGGCAAGGCGCTCGGTTTGATTTTGGTGAATTTCCCGCCTTCTCTTTTAGCCCTTTTTCCTTTCTCTCTTTCATTTATTGCCGTGGTGGGTAGGCCGGTGGTTCGGTTGATTGGGACTTTTTTTGGCGGTTCAGTTGCTCCAATCCGCGCCTGATTTCTCTCTGTCTGCCTTTCTGTTCAGACTTCTAGACTGGCGGTCGTTTTTTGGGCGGGCTTGACAGGTGGACATTGGGGTGGAGGACGTTATATACCCATGTCATTGGGAAAATCAAGGGGGTGGAAGAGCTGCAAGGCTTCGACCTTTGGAATGCGAAGTGAAGCTGCGTGATGAAGAAGAAAGATCGGAGGCAGGGTGGCCGCGAGGAGGATAGTTGAAGCGTTGACGTTGTTGTATCTACACCTTTCTTCCTCTTCAAGATGAGAATGGTAGGTAGTGACTGTGAGACTATTCCTCGCACCTCGTCTTCTGATTTTGCTACCGGGGGGGCACTTTGCGTGACCTTTATCTACCTGGAGTCCTTATACTTAGCGTTCCTTGGAATGGATTTCTCAAAAGAGGTATTGTTCGCTAGGGACATGGGTTCGCAGCAGCAGGACGGCAAGACGAAGACTATGCGTCAGTGTATAAGAATTTCTTGTTTTGAGGTTTTAGAGGTTTCTTTCCCAATTCAACCCCCCCCCCTTTTTGTGTACCCTCATCCCGATGGATCATGCATCATGATATAGCAAACGCCGGCCTAGACCGCTTTCCCCCCTCCTTTATCCGGATGTCAACAAGCAGCAACAGCCGCCGCCCAAGTTGATGATGAAAAAACGCTCCCAATGCATCGTCCACACAAGGGAAACGCTCTGCCCCCCCGTTTCCCCCATCATTCTCGCCCACCACCCCCCTTTCCCCCCCCCAACCCCCCAATTCCCTCAGCACCAAAAAGAGAACATGAAAACATGAGACAGTTTTTTCCAACGTCACCGTTTAGATCAAGTGCTTGGACCTAAAGTACGCCCGGAGGTACATAATCTGCCACGCCCACAGGATGACGAGCAGCCAGGTGGTGCCGACGCCGAACCACTTGACGCGGTTGTTGGTGCTCTCGTTGGTGTCGCGCAGCTTCTGCTCGCGCTGGCGCAGGTACTCCATCTCGTGGACGACCTCAGCGGTGAGCTCCTCGATGCGGCGCAGCTCGGCCTCGACGGGCTTGAGCTTCTCGGTGGCCTGGATGGCGGACCAGTCCTTTGCGTCGGCGCCAATGTCGATGTCGAGCTCGACTGTGCGGATGTTGATGACGGGCTTGTTGGCTGTTTTGCGTGAAAAATGAATGATTAGATTTGATATTCCGCGAATCAAAGACGTGGTGTGGGTAGGAAAGGGGGGAGTGAGTGAGTGTTTTGTGTTGGTTTTATCTTGAGGGAGGAGGGAAACGTACGGCCGACCATGAGGTTTTCGAAGCAGACGTCAAAAGCAGCGTCCGCATGCGAAGTAAAGACGATCCTCGACTCGCCAGCAACGTCCTTTGCTCGTCCGTATTCGTTTCCAATGGCATCACGGACCTATCCATCATTTCAAAATGTCTCCAGTCAGCTTCCCCCATCATCACCCCTCGATCATCGTCAAAACATACATGAATGTTCACCACCATGCCGTCCCCCTTGTACCCGTCCACAGTGGACGTCACCACGACGAGCGTGTCGCTGCCGACAAAGTTGCGGATGCACCGCTCCTTCTTGAGGCTCTCGCCGCCCGTGTGCGCGACGAGGTCGAACTTGAGGGCGCTGGCGGCGCTGGCGAGGAGCAGGAGGCTGCAGAGCCACTGCATGGGCGAAAAGGCCGTTTGCGCCATTGGCCCCCTTTTTTCTCTTGTTGTCGTTTGTCTCTAGGTGTTCGAAGCTTTGAATACAAGAGCTCTCTCTCGTCTCGGGGCCGATGAATTGGTTCGAGCTCTGTTCCGTTTGGGGGGTTTGTTCGCAATGCCGAGTTGCGATTCTAGTTCATCGGTGTTGAAGACACCACCCTGGCAGCTTCACTCTCAGTTCCCTTGAATTCGCACCAGCCCCAGAAAGACAACAGGTGTCGCGTTTGGGGGGGCTTGCCGCTACTGTGGCTGAGGAAATCGATAAGAGGTCAAGTTGCTGTGGCCAATCAGAGAGCCGGTCGATAAGACTCGGCGTCACGTGTGGGGCAGCCTTGTCGGCCTTTGGAGAAGAGAAGGGACGGGGGTTCAGCCTCGGAATCTTTTGCCTTCATACAATTCGTTACGTTCCTTCTATAGCCAAACTTGCTCGAATTCTGTCGCATTTCTTCTCAACACAACAAGAATAGCAACGACAGCTGATTCCAAGACACGATGCCAAAGTGTATGTTTTCCCCCCTCCCGTTCCCATCTCCAGAGGTATCCCCTTCCTCAATTGACGCAAAAGCTAACCTCCCATCGCAAACAGTCTTTTGTACGTCTTAACTACCCATCGCCGCGACGCGCTCCAAACTTTTCCCCCCATCTAACCTTTTCCATCAAAGGCGACTACTGCGATGTCTACCTCACGCACGACTCCATGTCCGTGCGCAAGGCTCACAACAGCGGCCGAAACCACCTGCGCAACGTGGTAGACTATTACCAGCGTGAGTCTTCTTCTTCTTCCCTCAACTCTCTCATCCCCCTTGCCCCCCCAAAGATCACTTTCGCCACTGACAGCAAAACGGTTGACCTCGTATAGAAATCGGACACGAAAAGGCGCAGTCGGTCATTGACTCCATCACTTCTTCCTACGCCGCCGAGGGCCAGGCCCACGCGAACCCGATGCTTCTCCAGAACCAGCCCGGGCAGGGCTTTCCTGCGTTTGGCTTCCCCTCAGGTATGATATATTTCTACAATCAATGCTCCAAACTACGCTACGGCCCATGGCTTTTTCTTGCGTGGTGTAGTTGGAAAAGATAGACGAGAAGGCGTAAGAAAGGGGAAAAGGCTAACTCTCATTGCTCCTAGGCATCCCTCCTCCATTCCCAGGCATGCCCGGCGCTCCTCCCAGCCAATTCCCTTCAGGTCTCCCACGTACGTTTCCCAACATCATCTCTTTTTTCCATCCCCATCACAGGTCTTTGCTAAACCTCTTTCGACATACAGCACCCCCCGGCGGCCGCGGCATGCCCATCCCCGGCATGCCCCCCTTCCCCCCGGGCCCCAACGGAATGCCCCCGATGCCCCCCAACGGCCTGCCCTTCCCTCCGCCAGCCGGCCTCCCGCCCTTCCCGCCCCCCGGCGCGCCCGGTGCCCCTGCCGCCGCCGCTGCTGCTGGTCTCCCGCCGCCGGGCTTCCCCGGTATGCCCGGCATGCCCGTGCCTCCGCCGGGCCAGCACTCGTTTCCGCCGCCTGGGTTTCCGGCTGGGGGGCCGCCTCCTGCGCCTGGACAGGATAGGCGGTGATGGGGACTTGGAGATGTGAAACATTTGGTTCTGTGATTTTTCTGATATGCGGGATGGTTTGTGTGTATCCAAGAATGAAGGGTAATACTAGGCGCATTGAGGCGTTTTTCTTTTACTATTTTCTTTGCACAGTTGAGAGCATATACACCTGTTTCAGTAGAAGGAGGATGAAACGCATAGCTATAGTCTGAAAAGCTTTTGCATTGAATCACTCGGAAGACTAGCTTTCGCATCAAAGCACATCGTTTCTCGTTTTCTTCTCAAAGTCCCGTTCCGCTTTCACTTTGCAACAACATCTGATGAGCACGACGGACTATCCATTGCCCGCAAATGACAAGACATCATAACAGCTCAGATTCCTCCCCCTCTCTCCTTTGACCTACATCTTCTATAGTACATCTGACATCAACACTGACACGAGAGAAGAAAAAGCGCAAGATGCAAGACGGAAGAAAGGGTAAAAAGCAACAGTAATCAGAAAAAGGCTTCTCATTCGTCTCCAGATCATTCATGCCTCGCAAGAAAGCAAAAAAAAAAAAAAAAAAAACGAGTTGAGAAAAAAATAAAACAATCAATCTAGCCTCCCCCATGCTTTAAAATCCCGTGTTCTTCGTGCAAGGTCCAGTATTGACCAGCAACATGAAAGAAAAAAGAAAACCAACGTGGAAAAAGAGGAACAGAGGAAAGAAAAAATGAACAAACGTAACTCAAAAGCGTAGCTCTGAATATTCAAGTAGAGATCTGGATGAGAGCATATTAAGATGAGACGTTGAAAACTTAAATCACTCCATATAGCCTTTTTTCATCCAACGTTTCCTGTGTTGGCAAAGAGAAGGGGGGGATTCATAAGCACAAGCTGTGGCTTCCATCATCCAAGGCAAAATCGTCAAAATCGTCAGTCGTTGCAGAAGTATCGTAACGCAAATCGTTGGTCATCTACCCATGTGTCCCATCATTTCGTCTTCAAAATCGTTCGTCTTCGAAAATCATTCGCTCTTCGCGGTCGTCATTGCTTGGATGAGAAAGAGTTGCAAATAAGGAGAATAAAGAAAAGAAAAACACAAGCAGATGGCGCAAAGCCCTTCACCAGTTGTTGTTGCCAAATCGTCGGTTTGTGTCGGCTTGAACCACGCCGTTGCCACGAATAATGACTTCGCCAACATTGTCTCGAACCTCTTTCGGACCGCTAATCATCTGTCGAAGTCGCTGTGACCGCTTCTCGCGTCGTCGCTCGCTAATCATCTGGGGAATGTTCTGGATTTCCCCCAACTTGCTTCCAATGGAAAATCGCCGTGAGCCCATCCCGCCTCGGCTAATGCTTCGCCTCCGCCAGAAGCCTTTGCGAGGCTCTTCATTCACCTTCCATCCTGGGCTCTGTCTTCGTCTCATTGACTCGGAGCTGACCTTGCGGCGTACAATTCGCAGATTGCCACTCGATGTCCGTCGAATTGTTCGGCGCTGTGGCCCATGCACGTCGTCGACGTGGTACTCTTGTGATGGCAAAAGTGAAAGCGTCTCCCTCACCTTTTGGCCAAAGCTCCTGGTGTGCCTCCGTGGGCGGTTGTCTACGGGAGGGTATCGATAGACTTCATCGTCGTCCTCTTCGTCGTCACTTCGGTACTCATCATCGTCCCAAGGCTCCGAATCATCATCACTAATCCACTGTGGGCGCCAGAACGGATGCAGCTTGTCCTCCTCGGTCGGTTTATCGTTGTCTCTGTAGAGGGAGATGTCGCTATCATCGCGGTTCCTCCGCGAGAGAGAAAAGGCCCTGGCCAGGAAGCCCGACCCCCGTGAAGTCGGTACGTAATCGATAGAATGGCGTCGTCGGCTGAATGCTCGTCTGACGATAGAAGCCCGTCGAGGAGGCTTCTCATTCAACGACTCGAAGTAGTTGCCCTGGAGAATGGCTCGCTCGGCAGCAGGTGTCATGCCTGAAGGCGTGGCGGGAATGAAGTTGATGGCAGGCGGGTGCGATGGCGGCTGAGGTGGAGCCCGCGGGTTGCGCAGGGGTGAATCGACCGCAGGCGAGGAGAATCGCCTTTGGAGAGGAGTGGCGGGTTTTTGCTCGTGCAGATGCGCCATCGTTGAGTTCGGAGGGCTGGATAAGCGCTTGGCCGACGCTGTCTCTGATGGCCGAGTCGAATGGTCAACCATGACGACCGATGAGTTTTGGTGAGGAAACATCTGGATAGCGAGAGCCTCGGACAGCTCAGGCGCCGTTGCACACGTGTCCATGGACGCGACCGAAAAGGGAGTGTTCCGCAGTGGTGGAATCTTCTTCACAGAGAGCACGTCATCGTGCTGGTCAATTCCAAGGCCGCTCACTGTTTCCTCCCTTTCCAGGCCTTTCATCTCTGGGGATGCCGGGGGAAGCGACGGCGTGCTGGGAGAGATGATGTGCACTTCCTGGCTGAAGCGAGGAATGGCTGGCTCCTCGACCTCGGCGACGTGGACCTTGACACTGCTGGCGGTTACCGAGACACCAGTCACCGAGCCAGCCCTGGAGATGTTGCGGCTCGTTGGGGCGGACAGCGATGAAGACCGCTGCGGAATCGTGGGAGGAAAGTCCATCGTCCGCACGGATCCATCCGACTCGGAGTATGCCCGACTCCGGCGAGCAGGGCGTTCAAAGACAGGCCCAGAGCTTGAGCTTGCAGATGACGAGGGAGAGTGAGCAGAGACAGACTTGATGCTCTTGGACCTGCCCGAGTGCTTGCTGGATGTGGATCGAAGGGAAGGCTCCCTGCTCTTGGGACCTCTCGAAGATCGCCGATCAGGGACGATAACCACAGGGATAGCGCCGCTCTTCCAGATCTCTCGTCTCGCGGTTCTACTTGAGATGGGTGGGGGGTTCACCGAGTGCGCCACTGTTGAGACTTGACTTTCGCGATCATACGGTTCCAGTTTTGGACTCTGCGGGACCTTGGGGACCTTTGAAGCCTCTTCGCGTACGTCTTCGGAACGGGCCATCAGGCCGGCCTCCTCCCTATTATCAGTCGCTTTCCTCAAAGTACTTTGCTTCCGCATATGGCGCAATTTTCTTTCTCTCTTGGGCGGTCCGTCCACCAGGACGACCTCGACGATTGATGTTGCTTGGCTGGATGTGCTCAACGGGCGGTCTCGTTTCGCCGCGGCCTCGGCCTGCGGATGAGCCAACTTGGCAGCCTTTTGATCATCAGGGTTCTTTGGTGACGAGGTCACAGGTGCGGCCTCGTCAAGTCGCATATTGCGCACGGCTTTCGTGGCGTCCGTAGGCGCAGCAGACACCTTGTCTTGGATGACAGCCTCATGGTGCACAACCGGCCGCGACACTCTTGGTGATCGTCGTTGAGACTGATTCTGCTGCGACATTATCACACCCGAGAGGCGGGCATCCCGCGAATGTCCATCTCGGAAAGTTGTGCCCTGTCTGTCGACATGTTCAGCAGCTTGGGCCTCTGCCTTTGGTGTGCCGTCGCCTTCTCTTCGCCCTCCATCATTCGTCGGCGTTCTGTCTGAAGGCGTCGTGGTGCGTGCCGCATCGTCATCAATAGCAACGGCGCTGGCAGGTATGGTGACGGTTGTTTGCGAGGCTATGGAATCCCTGCGGCGCCATCCGGCAGCCCTCCCGGCCTCGTCCTCCGAAGACGTCACTTCCTCGCGGGCAGTGATGAAGGATTCGGCCCTCGACTCCGGGCCCATGGTGCTCCCCGAAGTATTGCGGCCCTTTATACTCGGACGCGGAACCTTGGCGTAGCTTGAAGGGTGCGGCGGAGTGACATCTGGCGTCGGGGGGCTGCGCTGGTCAGGGGGGGTGGCTGGCGGTCGGTTCGCGACGGCGCTCAGCAGCCTAACGCTGTCTTCGGTGCTAGTTGGGCTCGGAGCCGCGGCGGACTGGCTGCTGGAGGAGGCGTTGGAGTGCGCGGGCGGCGTTGGAGGCAGATCAGGCCCGGTGCCTATCCTCCTAAGCTGGTGCTTTAAAGGCTGCGAGTTAAGGATCGGGTGAGGCGTCGAGCTTCTGGGCACCGGCGCTCCGCTGGTCAGATGGGGGTTGCGCCTGGAGCCATCGTGCGCCTGGTCGTTGTGCGGCCGCGGCAGGACCCGGTGCTTCTTGAACTGGCGCGGAGCCGCAGCCTCAGGCACGGGGCTGCCATTCATCCGAGGCGCCGCCATTGTCGAAATTCAAAACTGTTGCTGGGAGCACAGGGCGTACGAGCAGGCTTCGAGCTGTTGGGGACGAAGCACAGGCTGCCACTAGTAGCGGAATTCACGGACTACGTGGCGGCGGCGTGGTTGATACAGGGGCCGCTTCGCATGGTGATGGACAAGTGATTTGCGCTGGACTGGACAGGGCGCCGCAGTTGGCGAGCAGCCAGCTAATCGAGATCAGACTGCGGCGCGCTCGTGAGTGGCCCGGCCAGCGATGTGATTTGCGAGGCGAGCGAGACGTGCTGCTGGGTCCCAGGACCTCGACGGCCAATCTGAGGCGAGAAGGCAGGCAGAAGCAGGTAAGCTGAGGGACCCCGGGGCTGAGTCTGCGTCAACGGGGTCCTGTCCCAAGAACCGAAAGAACGAGAGGAAACGGCAAAGCAGCTCAATGAAACTCGTGCCTGTACAGCTTGGCCACCAAAGGGCCGGGCGCAGTGCTGAGGCGACGGGTGAGACGCTGTCGAGTCGGTGATTGGACGCACGCAGCAGCGGAAGAGCGAGCAAGAAGCCAAAGGGAAAAAGAATGACGGCGCTCGGCGAACAAAGAGCGAGGCGTGAGGACGAATGAAAGGCGCAAGGCAGGAAATCTGGAGAGAAGAGAAAAAGAAAGAGAAAAAGCGACCAGGTGGTTGGTGAGACGCCTGGCAGTTGACAGTGGCAGCAGCAGCTGGGCCCCCCCGGTGGCCGCCAGCCTTGGTGCAGATCCCAAAAGCTCGCTTTTTCGGTTCGATTCGCAAGGTTCACGATGCAGGGGGTGGCACGGTGACGACGGACCGCTGGCGCATGGCGGATGCGGATTCGTCGAGGGCCGGGAAGCAGAGGCAGAGACGATGGAGATGCAGCGAGACGGTCTATTCGCAGCACGACACGATCGGGGACAGCTGGAATGGGGGATCTGATTTGACGGCGATGGGAGCGTGATGTCGATGTAGGAGGCAGGAATTGAAACTGCGCTGGTCTGACGGAGGCGGGGCGATACTATATCGAGTGCCACCACCCACATACGACGCTGCGACTACTACTATACTTGTACAGTGTCATCTTGGAGGCCGTGCCTGATACCCGGTACTACTACAGACAGCCAGATGTGCAGATTGCAGAAGCAACCATCGTCGCCTTTCCCCTTTGCGAATTGTTTGCATGCAGCTGGACGATTAGCCGGGACCGCAGCCGTCAAATCAGACATCGGGGCCCGTCTCTGGCGGGAGCGACGGCGCCGGTCGGCCGTTGACGCCACGGCCTAGCGGACCTTGTGCCTGTAGTTGACTGTAGATGACAGCTTGACGTATGGACAGCAGGTATTCAACTGCTAAATCTTTTTTTTTTTTTTTTTTTTTTTTTTTTGAGATGTGTCTTTTGTGATATCAGTCTCTGAAACAGATACAACTGCAGCATAAGCACGACTAGGCTTGTTCAGCTCCGACTCTTCATGCCGCGGGTATATGCAAAACAGTGCAGATGCAGCAGCGCCTCCACCCGCTCAGCTGCTGTTGGAACCACTGCGACACCATCAAAACCGCCGGGCAACGTTTCATAGGTAGTGAGCAATGCGTGATGACCATGAAATCGAAGCCACTGTCATGTGTTTTCCATCTTCCTTATCATCTATCGTGACTTTATGAGACTCGTCGCCAGAACCAGCCGTCGTCATGTGAATACATCAAGAGACGGAAGAGGCATTTTAACAGCCGCCATCAAGCCTCTTTCGCGACGGCGCGAGCCTAACACAGCTGCCACACCCAACGGCAAAAGGGCTAAGAAAAGAACAAGCTCCGTCACGGTGACTTCTACTATCAGGTACTAACTGTACCCGCTGCTGAAGCGTTTCCCCTCTTTGTCTGGTGATTCATGAGGGTTGTAAGTCGGGCGATCCCTCCAATAGTCCTGGCAGTCGCTAGGATGAATTTGCCATTGGAAATCTAATCAACTACTCATTGCCCTCCTCTTCTAAAGGATTGAATCTCGTCAAATACCCTGGAACCAGGAACCGCATATCCTGGTGGCTGGGAGCCACGCCGCCCTAACCCTTACACCAGCATCTCTCACACATCTTCTCACACCAAAGCTAGCACCCGCCCAAGCAAGAACTCAAAGTACTCCGTATGAACTTGAACTGCTTCATCGATCCCCCCCAATCACTCAGCCATCTCCTTGTGCCATTGTCATCCCCCAGCTTCCTTTCTCGGACCGCAAAGGGGGCGACACTGGATGCAGGCTGCCGCTTTTGACAAGCAGCTTGCACCACCAGCAAAGTGCGAAGCAGCATCGCTCCAGCAGACGCAAGACGGCCAGAACAGCGCGCAAGGCACAGTGTCGGTCACCCATTTGTCCGTGGCCTGGGTGTTCGATTGGTCACGGAGCAGATTGTTGACGAATCTTGGCATCTCATGCAGCTCGCTCGTCACTCGTCACGTGGATCGCTGCACTCGTAGATGGACATGCGGTAACAGCTCTTTAGATTTGCTGTTCCTATATCCCCAGCTGCTTCATGAGACAGCTCCCTGCTACATAGTTAGGGTACAACAGTAATGTTTCGAGCTCTCGCCCAGTATAAACCTCCTTCATAGTCATATATGTTGAGCATCAAGTCAGCCCAGTTAAATGTTAAACTGCTTAATCAACTCCACCAATTTCTGACCCTCTGACTTGTAGTCTATCAACGAAGCACTCATGACTTGGTATCGCACCCTAAACAACTTGTCAGTCGCTGTTGCCCAACTTGAATTATGAGAGTTGTAACATACCTCTGAGTATCACCAAAATTGTCCATCTTGGCTCTGCATCTGAACGTCAGCTTCTTGCAGTTGACTGCCTCAAACACGGCCATGAACTTGGCATCGTCATTCTCCTTGAGCTCCATAAGCTCGTTGGCAGACATGCCCACTATTATCCTGCCCGTGTCGTCGAAGCAGCTCAGCCACTGATGGCTTGTGTGATCTGCCACGTTGAGTTGCATGATGTAGCGGTAGTCTGGCTTGTCGTGTGATACGCTGCACTTCTCGCACTGCCATGTACCATCCGGCATTGGTGTCACCTTTTTGTTGCATCCTTGGTTAGAGCAAGCAGGATAGCAAAAGTTGTCCTGCTTGACAAAGACAATGGTGGCTTTGATCGTGTAGTACGCCTGGTCGTCCACGCCGAGGTTCTCGTCCTTGACCTGGGCAATTGTCTTGATCTCCTCCTTTCGGCCAGTTGCGCCGGCCACGCCGGCCAGGTTCTGATGGGTGGCAAAGGTGTCTGTTCGGCCAGCTGAATCATACCAGCCCTTGAGGCGGTAGGCATCAGGGATATCGGGATCCACAGTCATGGTCCCCGACGAGAGCAGACTCAAGCTCTTGCCGCCAAAGTCTGATACCTTGGTGCCCTTGAAAGCCACCACGGATTCCGGGTTGGCGTCGAATGAGCTTGCCGTCTTGCCCCAGATTGTGACGCGCACTGAATAGCCAGTGTCGTCCACCAGAGTCAGTTCACGCTTCTGAAAAGGTCGGCCATCCTTCTTTGATGTGATCTCGGTGACTTCTGCGACCTCCTTCAGCACGCCAATCACATCGACGGTGCTGTCCTTTTCCACGCTCTGCAATTCTTGAATGGTGCAGAAGTTGAACCTGACCTGAGGCACGTTGGTCTGGTCCTCTGCCTTTTCGATGACTGTCTCACGCTCAAATGCAAGCTCGTAATCGTTTGGCAGGTTGCTGAACTGCTTCTTGGCAAGCGAGACCCTGCAAGGGCTAGAGATATAGTAGACCGACCCCTCTTGAAGAATGTCATAAAAGGCGTCGCACTGATCGTTGAAGCCCGTGGCCTTGATCTCGCCACTCTCGTCCAGGAGGTTGACACTGAAAAGCTTTCCTTCTCCGGTCGGCTTGTGCCATGTCTTGATGTCGGACTTGAACGTCACGCGCGCCTTGATCGTCCATTTGCTGGAGAAGGGCGACAGGGCCTCGATGGGGTATATGTTGGCACCCGAGTGCGTGGCTGTCCTTGCCGGCATGGACTGAAGCTGCTGCATCTGTGGCTTGACATCCGCCTCCTCCTTTTTGGCTCCGTAAAAGTCGTTTCCGGCAATCGTCGTCTCGGCCGCTCTAGGCTCGAGGACCACTGGGTCACCAATCTTGTCGTGCACGCCGAGAGACTCGATGACCTCGAGGTCTAGAATGACGAGGATGCTGTCCACTGTGTCAGCCGCCTTCTGTCAGACATACCGTCTTGATCGCTTCTTACTTCTTTCCCTTCAAGACGTTGGGCGTGTACTGCTTAACTCGGGTCAGGCAGCCCCTCTCGAGCTTGTTGTCGTGAATGACATGGTTTGCCTGGGTAGCGAGCATGGTCTGGACGTAGTTGACTCCGTCGCTCATGACCAGCCGATACCTATCACCGCCCTGCCCTGACGGCGCCATCTGCTTGATCTGCAGGCACTGCATCACGGGCACGGGGAAATGCTTTGCGGCCTGATCGGGGTCATTGAAGATGGCCCTATACACTCGGATCAGTGGGGATTCAACACAGCAGGCATGAAGCATGGCGTTGGCAGTCAACTTACGCGATGCAGCCCCGTGATAATGCTGATTCGGCGTCCATTTTGGCTGATGTGATGATGCCGTCTCGTCTGCAGATGTGAAGTTGGCAAAACTTGGTTTGTCTGGCCACTGCACACAGCTGTGAACTAATACCAAGCGCAAGTCCTGACAAACCCGCGACGCGTTTCGCTTTACGCGTTGAGAGGCGACGAGACGTCACGTGATGGCGGGGTCAGCGGGGTTGTTGCCTGAAGATGTACCAACTTTGGTCGTCGGTCTCTCAACAGCGCCACGACCAGAGCACTTGAAGCCTAAATATGGCTGAGGTCGATGGAACAAAGATTCGGATTGGTCGATATCCTCAAGTCTCCGTAGAATTACAACTGTGCAATAGATGTGAATTTGCATAGTTTCAACAATGGCCGTACGAGAAAGGTTGTGAAGCGTCACTGACATCGGACAACCGGATACCAGCATGCCTCAAGATCGTAGATTATTATTGCTACTAAAGTAGAAAGGAAGGCTTCTGCTCCTGCTACTATTAATATACACTTCTATATTATATATGCTTCTTTCTATAGTATCTAGGAAGAGGATGAAGAAACGAGAGCTGTTTTCGCTTCACAGTTGCAGAGGCGGGAGACTTCCACGTTCCGCCCACCACCATGGAACGCAGAGGTACCTTTTCTGTTTACAGTGTCGGATAGCCGTTCCCTTCCGCACTTCTCACTCGACAACCGCATGACGTTGAACCTAGCGCCAGAGTCTCAGGACAGACAACACGTCAGCTGGCCCGTGTCTATCATCTCTCATCTCGTATCGTCCTATTACTCTTCCAACTGCTACCTTCAACATTTCCCTTCGTCATTTGGCACCTTCTCTGTATTCACCACCACATACGAGCTCCCGCCAGCAGCAATGACGGAGCTTCCGATTGCAACAAGGTCGCCGGAGAGCGATGCGCAAGAAGACGCCGCATTGGTAGATGAAAGCTCGCCGATGGGCCAACACGAGCACTGCGTGACCGACAGACCGACCCGTAATGCGACCGCGTCTGCATCTACGAGTACAAGCACCGTCGCTAACATAGCACAGCTGCCGGTCAGGGACCAACCGGCGAAATCATTAAGCTGAACGACATCGACGTATGTCCAAGCCGTGCTGGAGCTTCCATACCTCTAGACGCACATGCACATGCATCTAATGCCCGATGAATTCCAGGTGTACATCTCAAAGCCAGCCGACTATCCCCATACACCATCCCGGCTCCTCCTCCTTCTTACCGGCGGAACGGGCATCAAATCCACCAATAACCAGATCCAAGCAGACATGTATGCCTCCGAAGGCTTCCTTGTCCTCATGCCGGACATGTTTGGCGGTGAAACAGCTCCAGGGGGGAAAGAAGCTTATTTCGCGGACAACTCGACGTCTCTGCTTGAGCAAATCAAGCTCAAGGCCGTCGAGGTGGCAAAGTCCTTCATGATCGATATGTGGCTGGCGCGAGTGACGGAGACCAAAATCATGCCGATACTGCTCAAGGTAATTGAGGCAGCACACGAACAGTATCCAGACTCTATAAAATATGGTGAAGGGATTTATGCAGCAGGATACTGTGTTGGTGGTCGCTACGTGCTCCTTTTGGCCAAAGGTTCCCATGACACGGGTACCGATGAAGAGTCGGGCATGGTGACCAAGGGGCCGTATATCAAAGCCGGAGCGCTGGCACATGCCGCATCGGTGACGCCGGACGATTTCAAGGACCTCCAAGCGCCACTCAGCTTAGTGTGTGTTGAGAACGACGCTTTATTCACCGATGAGGTGCGAAAGGCTGGAGAAGAGATCATGACGCGGGACAATTTGGAGCACGAGGTGCAGGTGTACCCCGGAGTGCCGCACGGTAAGTCTGCCTCTCCACAACTCGATGAGAGCATTGTCTTATAAGTAGCAGGATTCGCAGTCACAGGTCAATACCAGGAATCGGCCATTATGGATGCCCAGGTCACGGCATACGAGCAGATGCTGAAATGGCTAAAAGAACACTGATATCACGCTAACATGGCAGAGGTGTGAGGGCTGTGTTCATTATTTCTTTCCTTACTGCTCCCGACTTCCTAGCTGCAGCAGGAGAGGAGCTAGAAAAAAATGCTTAAGAAATGGTGCATACGATTTTGCCGGAATTCCTTGCATTCTCCATGTGCTCGTGCGCCTCTTGGATCTTGTCCCAGGGCAGCACCAAGTCCAGGTAGATCTTGAACTTTTGTGACGCAAAGTCGTCCAGATACGTCTCCAGCTTGTCTCTCAGCTTACCCTGATACTCCTCATCACGACTCCGCAGAGTGCTGCCCAGAACACGGAGGCGCTTGTACAGGATCAAGCCGACGTCTGCATCGGGGGCCCTTCCTCCGCTCAGAGTGCCCAAGAGGAGCACACTGCCGTCCTGGGCAGCCACGTCGAGGTTCTTCATGAAGTACTCGCCGCCGATGAAGTCGACAATGTAGTCGACGCCCTTGCCACCCGTCTTTTCCTTGATCTCCTTGACCCAGTCCTGCGTCTTGTAGTTAAAGGCGGCGGTGGCGCCGAGCTGGCTCGTGATGAACTTGACCTTTTCCTCGCTGCCCGCCGTGGCATAGATCTCAGATGCGCCGGCGGCCTTGGCCAGCTGGATCCCCGCAATAGAGACGCCCGAGGCCCCGGCGTGCCAGAGGATGCTCTTCCCTTGCACGAAGCCCAGCACCAGATGCAGCGCCTGCGTCGCCGTGATCCACGCCTCGGGGACGGCAGCGGCCTGCTCGTGGGAGAGCTCCTTTGGCTTGTGCAGCAGCATCTTTGTGCTCACGGCGATGTACTCGGCATAGGCCCCTCCGTACGCCAGCCCAAAGACCTCGTCGCCGACCCGGAACCCGTTCCTGGCGTCCTCGGAGCCAAAGGACTCGATGGTGCCGCTGAACTCGACGCCGAGCGTCTTGGGGGCCTGCGGGGGCACGGGGTAGAAGCCGCGGCGCTGGATGATGTCCATGCGGTTGATGCCGAAGGCGGCGATCTTGACGATGGCCTGGCCCGGGGCGGGGGTCGGCTTGGGGGTTTCGGGGTTGATGAAGAGGGCGTCTCGTTCGCCTTTTCCACCTTTGATGTCTGTGTCACTGATTAGTGCTGTCCGTAAGGTATATCATGTTGGGGGTTGCGGGGGGTTTTGCAAGAGGCGTACCGACTGCGCGCATCGTAGCGGCCATTTTGATGCTGTTGGATTTTTTTGTCTGAATGATGAGACAGAGGGTGTAGTTGTATGTTACGGTTACAGTTGTTTACAGCAGTTAGGATGAGTTATGATCACTCACTTCACAAAAGCATAGGATATTTCAAGATGGAAGTTGAATTTATATAGAGGCATTCTTGCGTCACCAACCCACTTTCATGATACAATACAATGAGGCACTCACTCAAACTCGATAGTCCAAGCGATTTTCACGTCATTAGTAATGCAGAGAGGAGGAGTTGGAGCAATAGAAATCCCGACACTCCTCTTCCTTTTCCGTGGCGGGAACATTCTTTGCCGAATGCCGAGGCTCCGAATGGAGCTCTTGTCTTCTGCGAGGATATTCTGCAACGGGAACGGAAGTCGAGAAAAATATCTGAAGATTGTATGGCGATTTCGCTTTGGGCTGTCAGAGGGCTCTTTCTTTTTTTTAAACACCCTGAAGGCGATGGCCCTTCGTAGGTGGCTGGCGGATGTAAGACGTTGAGGCGCGCAACGCTGGTGGCGGAATAAGCACTCAAATGCTTTTGGTTGCCTGTCTTTGCCGTTGTTGGAGCAGATGGAAGCATATCGTGCCTTTTCGAAAACACGAGAATTGGTGAAAACGGAGAGGCGTCCTTATTCAATTGACATCACCGCACAAACGTCATCCAGGTGAGTAGTAGGAGATGATTGTTTTGACCAAGGGCGGATGTGTGCTGAAGATGGGTTTTGATGACATCGCCGACAACCCAACAGTCCGTTTCTTTTGAACAAGTTTCCGTGGTTACGAGACTAGATATTGAAATTGATATCAGACATTGGACCGAAACAATGCGGGAACCCGTCCATCGTCAGAAAATCACCATTGTGATCGAACAATTGTTGGTTCGACTGAAATAAACATGAGCCATCACCGCAATCATGTCTTGCCTCCAAGGTAACAATATGAGACTTTGTCTCAGAAGCAGACGGAAAAGGCGGAGGCTTTTTATGCTGCTTCAAGGAGCCTTTCTAAGTATTAGTAGTAGTAGTCGATACTTACGGCTCCATGAACATCGTATATCGGCCCGTTGAGATGGAATTAATTTGGCCGTTGCCGTCGTTTTCTAGTGGTATATCGACATTTGCCGCCGTGAATTCGATAAGAAACTTGAGCCTGAATCGAGTGCTGCTACCTTACTCTGTAATAACCTCGAAATGGGCCTATCTTCTTAGACGTTAGAGGGTCAAACATGCATTCGCAGCACAGCCACTCGACCGACTTTCGGTCCAAAGCTCTTCCTAGGCGTCGGACACCTGCGTCCTTATCAGAGGAGCCAAAGCTCCTACAGTATATGAGGTAGCTTCATTAACCCCCACGGGAAACAAGCGGTATCTATGTAACACGGCAGAGAGGAAAAGATTGTGGTTGTCACATGTAAAATTGGTGGAAATTGGCAGATGCAACCTCATGTCCCTTTTGACCACAACTGCGGTCAAGCAGAATCCTGGTCTCTATCAAGAGACACAATGTTACATGTACGTACATACTTGTAACATGCAGTAAGGCGCGTTGAGGGTGGATTCGAGCAAGCAAGACACAATGCAGGGTTACACGCTCCATAACGTAAGGTACGTGTATCAATAAGCTTTTTTCTCGAGTAATATTACTGAGTATCACAAGCAGTTGTATGCTGCGAAGCGGCGCGGAAGAGCCGATTTGCGAAGATCAAGCTTTTGGGGGCGAGCTTGAGCCGGCCTCGTCCAACACTACCTAGGTATCGCAGGTAATTATGACAACGATTCATCTTGAGTAGGGCTTCTATGCGAGGGAGAAGGGACCAGCAGTTCTCAAGTAAGCGGATTACGGGCTCTCCATGTGAATGCGTTCGCGTTCGCGTACGAAGCTTCAGCCATGCTCGAATCAAGAATCCATCTAGGGCAAGTCTGTGGCGATATCGACTCAGGTACGCTTTATACGAGGATAGCTTGCTCCATCAGGGCCTCGTATCAAAGGGCACGAATGCTCGTATTGCATCTTTCATCTGCAATAATAGAAACAGCAGTCAAGGATGGATCAAGTGCGAAATAGTCTCTACAATACCGTGCAGGACGAAATCAGGACTCGAGATACCCTCATTTGAAGCCATCAATGGTCGTATCGCAGGGGCTAGTACTACACACGCCGAGGTCTCCGGCGATCGGCCATCCCAGACAATGGCCCGCAGGAGCCGTCCGAGACACCAGAACATCCGCAGAAAGCAAAAAGAAACAAAAAAAGAGCGGTCGATCAGGATCGCTTGGTCACAATCGAGATGGGATCAAGGGGGTGAATCTCGACGATCGTTGCCCAAAGGAACCCCGGGCCAGGCGGACAGGAAAACGGGCAACTTTGGAACCGTCCATGAGACGGTGTGAGACCACGCGGGCAACAATCAAAACAACAAGCCATCAGGATCAGGTACGGAGCACAGCAACCGTCTGACTTTCATGCCGCCCCTTGCCTTTGGGCGCACAAGACATGCATGGCTGTCTCGCTGCGTGTCTCTCCCCTATTTCGCTGTCGCAAGCGAAGAGACAAAAACAGCAGTAAAAAGAAAGAAAAAGCCCGAGGGCCAACAATGAGTGGCCAACACCCTGGAAGCCGAGTGGGTAGGTGGGAAATTAGCGGAGGGGGTCACCTCGGCGTCGGCGCGACAGGATTCAAGGTGCGCGTTCAGTGAGGGCTTTTGGCTTCACCGACGGAGCACAGCATGGACTGGACGTCGCTCGGCGGCGGCGGCGGTGCTGCTGATACGATACGGTGCTGGCACTGCAGGCTGAACAGCTGCAAGCAGCGATAACGAGAACGGATTGATGATTTGACCCATGAATCAGTGGCGATGCCGCCAGAGTCGCAGATTGACAACGTCCTCATGCCATGGACATGGACAGCACGCATTCCATCCTCGTGGAAGCCGAAGAGGAAGAAGAAGAAGCGGAGCCCGGACTCGCTCCCCGTCCAATCATGGCGCCTCGCTTCCGGGGGCCCAGACGCTGCACGTGATCCGTCTTGTTTCTTCCTGGAAGCCAAAGCCGTGCTGCTTCGGAGCGCCGGTTTAGTATTATGCCTCCTACAGTACTAGGTAAGGTAGATAGACATGGAGTGCTTCGTATTAAACGCTCACACATAGACGAGGCCCCGTAATATCCGTCCGTTCGCATTGGCGGCGGAAATATTTCCTCTGGTATCTTTCGGAGTCGTGATCGGTGATAGATAGTCTGGGTGGGCGAGAGATTGATGCAGCTGGAATAGGCATGCGAGAGATACGCACCCCTGCATTGCATGTGAGCAATCCTCCTTTTTTTTTTTTTCTTTTCTCTCCGGTAATTGACGGAACTCGGATACTGCAGAGTATCTCGCCGTGGCAAATCAGGCCAGATGCCATCCCCGTCTCTTTGATTTCAGTCAGAAACCATGAACCGTTTCCAGCAACGATTGTCATTCAGGAATACATACCCAGACGACTCTTCCTCGTGCCCATCGAATGGCTTCAATCGCTGGCCGGTCATGGGAAAATTGCCGGCTGCGGCGAGGGGATGAAAGCTGACAGACGGTTTGGTTCCTGCATTAGCGCCAACAGGCCCAGAGCCACTAAAAACACTTGATCAGATGGCCTGCCAGGGGCAAAGGCAGGGGAACCGCAGCACAGAGCGACTAGCACGCTGCTAATGGCAAATAGTTGGCAGCTGTTAATTTCCTGGCCCGTTCATGATTCATCGATTCATCGAGCGTTGCAGCACAGAGCGTACGATAATACGAACAAAGTGCAAGGTTTGTGAAGATAAGGGGCCGCTTGGAACCGGATCATCGCCAAGTCCTGGGGCCTTGCGGGCTGGCGTAAGATACGGAGCAGGAGAGCGTGAGCATCAAGGAGCACGGGGCAGAGCAGACAGAGACTCGGGCCCCGATATGGAACTGTCGGGACGATCAATAGAAGCTTACTTGTTCCGCCTGTGCCTGGAGAGGAGTCGACTTCCAGGTGGGCTCGTACGAGTGAGGACATGCAGTGTTATTACCTCCAGGTTACCGTATTCCGCGCAAAAAGGTCCGGAGTACGAGTGACTTCCAATTGCATTCTCAAGCACAAACACAAGCGCCCGCTTTCACTCATTCACCTCATCCGAGTGCCATCACTTCACTCATCACTCATCATCACCGTCCCTTGCTTTTCTGCCCGATAGCTTCAATGTAGATACATAATGTACCTTCTCGTACAATTACTGCCAATCTCTCCATCGCAGCACCTCATTCGACAGATTAAAATAAACACGGCAGCAAGGCGCCACCCACGCGTCCCTTTGATTGAGTGGCTTTTCCGGCGTCTGGAGCGACCTTAGCATCGACCTAGACAACCAGAGCCCATCTTGGGCCCCATCGCGGTCCACCCCTGCATCGCGCACTGGCGCCCTGGAGGCCCATGATCCATGATCCATGATCCTGAGCTCTTTTTTTTTCTCCCCTGCTTGTGCTTGTTTGTCTTGCTTCTGCAGCTGGAGCCCCGAAGAAGGGCCCCCATCTTGGCTGCTGCTTTTGCCCCCCCTCCATCCACAGCATCCATAACGGCCCACCCACTCTCCGCCAGGTTGCCAGGTTCTGTCTCTCCCTCGAGCCACACCCCTGGCGGCTTCCCCTGGCTTTGCTGCTTTTGTTGTTTTTTTCCACCAGGTCTTGTCTCGCTCTTTGGTTATAAAGCTCGTCTCCTCCACAGCCCTTCTGGGTCTTGATCCTTTTCCTCCCTCACCACACTCACGCTCGCTAAGCACCTACAAACCTACCTTGACACTTTTGTCAATTTCATTCTTTAACAGACCTCAGCATCTATACTCCTAATTAAAGCTCTTCGAGTTTAATTCCTAATCCGACAAAATGAAGTTCACCGTCGCTGTCGCTCTCGCCGCCGCTGGCGTCTCTGCCGTCTACGTCCCCCCTAGCAACGTCACCGTTGTTACCGACGTCGTCGATGTCTACACCACCTACTGCCCCTTCGCCACGCAGATCACCCACGGCTCCAAGACCTACACCGTCACTGAGGTACTTACAACCGACTTCCCGGACAGCGAGAGACACACGAGACTAACATGAATCGCCAGCCCACCACTCTGACCATCACCGACTGCCCCTGCACCATCACCCGCCCGGTCACCATCACCAGCAGCGTCGCCTGCGTCACTTGGTAAGCTCCAGACAGCCGGATCCGAAGCACAAGAGACCAAATCAACTAACGAGCATACAGCGGCTCTGCTGCCCCTACTGGTGCTGTTCCCTCTGGCAACGGCGGTGGTGCTCCCCCTGCCTTCACCAACTCCACCATCACCACTCCCACCCAGGCTCCTCCTGCCGGTGGCAACCCTCCCGCCAGCACCGGTGGTGTTGTCCCTACCGCTCCTCCCGCCGTCCCCACTGGCGGTGCCAGCAAGGCCGTCCTCTCCGGCGCCGGCCTTGCCGGTATCGTCGGTCTGGCCGCCTTCGTCCTGTAAATCTTGTAAATTTCGACACCTCGCCAATTTACCGTCTACGATTTCTTGGTTCAACGATTCTTGGAAGTCGTGGGTTCGGCCTCCGTTCATGATTCTGATATAAGGGGGAAATACCAGTGTTGGGATTTATTTATTTTTTGGTTTACAACGACGGGATGGGGGAAGCGATATTCAATTTTTGGGATGTATAGAGAATGGGTTCTCTTGGGTTAACGGGACATGCAAGCTCGGTGTTCAAGGGAACTCGATTTTTTTTTTTGATCGCCCGCGAGAAAAGATGCGCTACACATCTCACTTGTGTGCGGTCGTTCTCGGGGCCGGAATATAATGTGCCAATTTTTCTACCAGCAAATAGGATGGGTTTGCCCATGAACCTCTTTCGCATCCCTCGCCCTATTTTGACAACCGAATCTAAAGAAAAAGGACGCCGCCGGCCTCGAGAAGAAAAAAGAACCGATTCCAATTTTCCTTTGTCAGATTATCAACATTCGTTCCTTGGTCGCGATGGAGCTTTCTACATATCGCCCAAGGCCTCTTTCTACAACACATATTTACAACATACACACATATATATACTTCCGCTGGGCGTGTTTATGGCCTCTCGTCAATATTCGAAATGGTCGGCCGGCGAGCATAGCTGTCGCAGATAGTTGGCAAGCAAAAAGAGCATTTTCTGGGAGGGCAGTTTTGGCCCAGCAACATAGATTTCTTTTGGCTCTCTCGCTTGGTGATTGACTGGCAACATGATTGGTTGAAGCTCCGGCGGTTAAACAAGAGGATGTAATTTCCGATGTGATGGCATGAGGTCGTACCGAGACGGGGCTTGTTATATTATCGCGTCTCCCACGAGTGTAATCATACTTGCCTGTGCTGAATTCAAGGTGTACAGAGCGCGTAATATGGTAATTGCGTCTTACCTTTCCTGTCGACTCACCGTTAACATGCCTTGTCTGATAATGCATACTACTTGTCTGTAGAGTCGTGTATCTGGGTATGGATGGATGGATGGATGGATGCAGTTCTGTACATCGAGGTGTGTTCTTCCATGTGGCTTCGGGCCGTCCCCTGGTGATTAACCGCTTGGTGTTGGTGATTGATTCTAGACCACGGGTTAAAGGAGGAGCACAACGCCTTGCATGGAACGAGGTGCTTGGCTGCTTACGTACTGACGATGCTACCAACGGGAGGGAAATGGTAGAGAGCGTTCTGTTCGTTCCCAAATGGGATATAATGTTGCCTTGGTTGATTAATTCAAGGGCATTTGGATTGGGGTTCACGTTTGTGTGCGTGGCTTGTTTAGGCTTTGCAAGGAAGGCGATGGCTATCTTGCGGAGTTCACGTCACATGGGAGCCGGGCGTTTACTGCATGGCAGCCACGTGCCCTTTGGAGTGACTAAAGGCATACTGATCCATGGCCGATGTAAGCCATAAACCGTGGGTTGTGTGTCAAAGATGCATTGCCTTCTTGAGAAGGGGATGCTGTCTACCAGAAGACACAGCCTATCGAGAGGATTCATCAATGATGACATGTAATGTGACGGAGTTGTCGGCATTGAACAATACTCTAACAGAAGCTACTCCAGCATCCCCACAAGCCACTGGGTACTATCGATGCCAGAGTTCTGTTCGTCTGTGTAATTTTCTGGACTGCCATGTCGGGATCTTCCGTTGATGGGCTGCGCCAGCTCTTTTCACCGTATATGGCTTCTTCCACGCCTGGTTCTTCGGCAGCTACTTACCCCGCATGTTATGTATGAATACTATAGATTCGTATTTAAGTAGGTATGTATAGCCGACCTCTTCATGTTACAGGTCAGCCTCTTAAGAGTAGTTTATTCCAACTCCAATAGAAACAGATGTTCTTGCAATGATGCTTCAAGTGGCGATAGCGGACTGCAGTTGCCGAGCTCTACCGACCAAGTTCTGCAAACCAGCGCTATCGATCGCCCAGCCCAAGCCATGGAAAGCGCGAGGAAAAGCGGGGGTGAATCCGGGGCCCCGGCTCTTGCCCTCTCCTTAACGCCAAAAGCACGGCAAGTGGTGGTCTAGGAAGCTCCACCGTGGCTTCCGTGTCGCGAGCCCTCCTGTTACGTAGGATTACCATCTGCCGCGCCGCCTCTCGACGTCTCACGTCTTTTCTCTCGCTGCTCTGCTCTTTTGACTTCCGTTCTTCCTTCGATGCATGACTCGGTTCTGGATTGCATTCACCGGCTTTAGTCATCAGGAGGCTTAGCGAGGTTAAAGGGTGCGTGCGTTGCCGAGGATAAGTTCATATGCGTGAGCTGCTACTGGCTACTTATATCCGGGGTAGAAAGCTAATATATCGGCGAAGAAGCAGTTCTGAAGCTCGCTCGACGGTTCGTCTGGCATCCCATCACGCTCCGGACCTGTCAATTGCATTCACCCGTCTTTTCTACCTTCCCCCTCTTCCACAAACCCGCCATGTCTGGTAAAGGGGCCCACGTCCAGGACGAGATCCTGCGGCACAGCCTGGAGAACCCCGAGGAGTTCTGGGCCAACCAGGCCGAGCATCTCTTCTGGCACAAGAAGCCCAGCACCGTCTTGAAGCTCACGTCCAAGAAGCTCAAGAGCGGTGTTGAACACGACAGCTGGGAGTGGTTTCCGGATGGCGAGATCTCCACGTGCTATAACTGCGTGGACCGGCACGTCGAGGCTGGTCATGGCGACCAGGTTGCCATTTACTTTGATAGTCCCGTCACCAAGACCAAGCAGAAAATCACATACCGTCAGCTGCTTGACGAGGTCGAGATTTTTGCGGGAGCCCTGAGGGAAGATGGCGTGCGTAAAGGCGACGTGGTTATGCTTTACAGTAAGTTATTTTCTGTTATGGCCCTCTTTGCTGTCTAGCCTTCTACTTGCCTGCCTCCTATCTCTATGGGAATATTGATCATCTGCTAACGCCGAGAAAAGTGCCCATGATCCCCGCGGCGCTAATTGGCGTCCTCGCCATAAACCGTCTTGGTGCCATTCACTCCATTGTCTTTGGCGGCTTCGCCCCCGCTGCCCTCGCTCAGCGCATCGACTCATGCAAGCCCGTCGTCCTCTTGACCGCGTCGTGTGGCATCGAAGGCAACAAGCCCCCTGTGCCATATCGCCCGCTTGTCGAAGAGGCCTTCCAGCTTGCCAAGCACAAACCACGCCGAACGCTCATTTGGCAGCGGGAGCAGGCTTCCTGGACACCTACTGATCGCAGCGCGGGTCAAGCAAGCTGGCAGAAGGTCGTCGAGAGCGCACGGTCAAGGTTGATCAGGGCCGAGTGTGTTCCTGTGAAAAGCTCCGACCCCGTGTACGTCATCCACACATCCGGCACCACGGGATCGCCCAAGGGCGTCCTCCGAGACGCCGGAGGCCATGCTGTTGGTCTACATCTCTCAATCAGCTATCTTTTCAACATTCACGGGCCTGGAGACGTTGTCTTCACCGCTTCGGATATCGGCTGGGTCGTCGGCCACTCCTACATCATATACGCACCGCTGCTGGCCGGCGCTGCCACTGTCATATATGAAGGCAAGCCAGTCGGGACGCCAGATGCCTCAGCCTTCTGGCGCATCGTCGAAGAGTACAAGGTCAACACCATGTTCACGGCGCCGACGGCTCTTCGTGCCATCAAGCGTGACGATCCTGACAACAAGTTCTTGACCCAGATCGGTGAACGCGGTGGTCTCCGCACACTTAGCGCCCTGTTCTTGGCAGGAGAGCGTTCGGAGCCAAGCATCATATCCATGTATCAGGAGCTCTTGGATAAGTATGCGGCACCTTCTGCTCATGTTGTCGACAATTGGTGGTCCACCGAGGCCGGCTCTCCCATGACTGGTCGTGCTCTCGCCCCCCACGCAGGCCGCGACCGCAAGGCCAAAGTTCGGCATGATCCGCCTCACCTCAAGCCTGGCAGCGCGGGCAAAGCCATGCCTGGCTTCGACATCCGCATCGTAGATGATGAGGGCCGCGAAGTGGAAAGAGGCAACATGGGCAACATTGTGCTGGGAATGCCGTTGGCACCGACAGGATTTCGCACTCTGTGGGATGATGAGGAGCGTTTCTACAAGGGATACTTGCAGAGATTCAAGGGGAAGTGGTTGGATACAGGAGATTCGGGTTGGATTGATGGAGAAGGCTATATTCACGTCATGAGCAGGAACGACGATGTGTTGAACGTGAGCGCGCATCGGCTGTCAAGCGGTGAGTCTGCCCCTAAATTATCATGCCTCTGCTTCTTCTTATATCAGCATTCATGAAGCCATGATGTGAGACTCCTGGGGCACATCAGCTAACAAAGCTGTCTAGGTGGTATTGAGCAAGCCATAACCTCGCATCCTCAGGTTGCAGAAGCCTGCGTCGTTGGTATTCCTGACGCCCTCAAGGGCCAGCTACCTTTTGCCTTTATCACTCTCTCCACCCCAGATCACCCAAAATCTGTTATCCCTGACGAAAAGCTGGCTGCCGAGATCCAGGCTCTGGTGAGGAAACAAGTCGGCGCCATTGCTTCACTTGGCGGCATCATCCAAGGCAAGGGCATGATCCCCAAGACACGCTCCGGCAAGACCCTCAGGCGAGTGCTGAGGGAGCTGTTGGAGAATGCAACAAAGGGCGAGTTTGACAAGGAAGTCTCAGTGCCCAGTACCGTGGAAGACGCGGCGGTGGTGGAGGTGGCCAAGGCCAAAGTGAAGCAATATTTCGATGCTGTGGGCAACAAACATGCCTGTATCGAGGATGGCATCAAGGCGAAGTTGTAATAGGCTTGGTGTGTGCTGGATTATCTAGGTATTGGATCTAAGGCTGATGGAAGCCTCTGGGCTATCGGATTGAGCGATCACGTTGAATATCTACGCTCAGTGACAGTTCAGAGCGAATGCTGGATATGCGAAATGTCTGAACAAAGTATTTGGCTCTATAAGGACACTTGTTGGAAATAAAAAACACACTTTTCGTTTGATTATCATCAAATCGTATCCAGATGACAACAGTCCTAGATACGAAACGATAGCCTTTATCAACTCGGGACTTCAGATCACACCGAGATTTCTCAAAAGCCAAGATCCCCTTCCCTTCTCTCTTTCCTCATTATTCAGTTTCTACATTCTCTTTATTCTCTTGACACGAGACTCAAATAGCCTTCCCCTGTGGCCGAATAGAAGAATAAAATGGAGAAAACTCCACCCCTCTCCTCGTATCCCCTCAAACTCGAAACAGGACTTGCAACGTCGTCCTTGTCCTACTATTAACCAGTAAGACAAGAAGCAAAAAGAAGAAGAAATAAAAAGACAGAGATTGGAACAAAATAAAGAGTCGAAAATTGCCACCCCGGACAGAGCAGACGGGGCAGATAGACAGATGAGTCGCACGGAGTTGTGTGCACTATCGTGGGTGGTTTGGTGACGTTTGGTTGCTTTTGATCTTCTTTTGTGGTCCAATCTCCTTTTTCCGCTCTTTCTTTTCTTTTTCTGTGAATTATATAAAAAGAATAATGGGTTTGTGTGATTTTGAGGCTGGGAATGGGTGACTTGGTTGTTGTGTGATTTGTTACATTGGGGGGGAGGCGGGAGATGGGGGGGCATGGCGTTGCACGGCGGAGGTGGCACACGGGATGGATGGAGGAGGGGAAAGGGGGATATTTTTCGTGAGAGAAGGCGTCAAGTTGTAGATGGGATCGTTGAGTGTCGTCGTGAGTTGCGATCGACCAAGGACTGTTCACGAATGGGGGGCAAAGGGAATAATGAGGCCCGTGTCGGTGCGAGTACTGCTCGTGCGAACGCAAACACAAAAAGCCCGCCACCGGCTTCGGAAAGATAGAAATACAACAAAGCGTTTCTTGTGCAAGGAGAAAAAAGGGGGGTGAAAAGCGTTCTGTGAGCCCGGGACAGGGCCTAAAGTCAGTTAGATCGTTGCTCAAACCCTTTGGATTCTCTGGTTTGTTCTCCTTTGTGTGATTCTGTTCTTTTTCTTTTCTTTTTTTCTTTTTCTTTTTTTTCTTTTTTTTTCGCCTCACCGGCGAGAATATAGTAGGGGTGGTGGCACGTTGAGAGAATTTGAATGTTTAGGCCTGATCAAGTTTTCTCCTGACATACTAGTCACATAGTCTTTATTGTGATTTTTGCCCCTGTTTTTTCCTAGTTCTCTTCCCAGACAGAGATTCCGTGCTTGCACAGCGTGGGGATATGTTTTGGTTCTGTGGTCCTCGAGAGGTGATATATCATAAGCTCGTATTGGTGTAATGTGAGAGGCCGGTTATCTCTGCCTTTTTTTCTCTGCTTCTTCTCACTTGGTCTCTGTCAATCGTGATGAACTGTTTGTTATAAATCTTTTTTGTTATCCAATCGAATCCACGTGGCGTGTCCATGGTCGAATAATAGGCCAAGTCGGCCACAACTGTAATCAAAGAGGAGGATCTGACTACGTGGACCTGGAGCCGGCATCGTGCTTGGTGTACAGCCCATAGACGCTATTCTGGGCCTTTGCGGCCATCTTAACATCGGAGAAGCGCGCTTCGGGTAGTCTCCTTCCCTCCTGGAGGCTCTGTAGGACCCTGACAAACTCCATTAGTAGACAAGTTGCGAGCCCCTGAAGACACAAAGGGCAAATCTCACCATTCCACGCTGACAAACTTGACGCCGCAGCCACCGATTTTGCGAATTTCTTTTTCCAGCTTGCCGGCAGCCAGACCACCACCGAGACCCTTCCCTTCTGTTGAGCCATTGGGTCGCCCCAGGATGACATGGGTGACCTTTCGCCGGCCCAGGTTCAGGGACATGTTGCCGCCGTTTTCGCTGATGAGCTGCTTGAGCCGGTGGTCCGATACCAGGGGAAAGGTGCTGCCGTTGACATAGACGGTGACTCCATCAAACAGCTTGCGGGGGCTTTCCTGTGCTTGCCTTTGCTTTTCCTCGTCTTCCAGCCGTCTCCGCTGCATTAAGCGCTCTTCTGCTGTGAGGCTGGCATCTCCTTGGGGAAACTCGCCATTGCGACTGTCTCTTGCGTTTGCCTGTTTTGGCTGGTTCGATTCCAGCGTCTGGCGCATCAGGCCGGGTCGAGTCAGCATGTCCATGACGCTGCTCTTTTTGTTATTACTGCCATCCTGCACACTGCTGTTGATCCTGCCGGTCCTCCCCCTTCCGCTGCCTCTGCCGGCATCAGCAACACCGGCGTCTTCAGCCCCCGCCCCCCAGGTATCGCTCAGCCTCTTGCCGCCGGAACCATCGCCGGCGCCGAACTGGCTGTTGAGCTTCCTGGTCCGCGAGTGCCTCCATCCGGTGCCGGGCTGCGTCTCTGCGCGCTGGTGGCCAGTGGCGGACGAGTTCCAAGGATCGAAGCGGCGCGTGGCGGAGATGCGGGACAGGGGGTTGCCATCAGGGGGTGACATGTCGACTATTCTTTTGGGTATCGTGTCGAGATGGCGTGCATATGGGGTGGGCAAGGGCTAGCAGCCGTACGAGTACCCGGTAATAGAGCTGTGGCTGAAGCTGTAGCTGTAGCTGTAGCTGTAGCAGATCGCCGTATCATGTAAGAGAAGATGCAGGTGTATGTCAAAGAGATGATGACATTGCTCGCTTTGTCGAAGACGGTAATAATATCGCTGCCCTTGATCCGAGTCTTTCTGCCGCCAAGGGAGAGAAAGAAAAGGCGCCATTCACGCCGCGTTTCAACCGCGTTTGAGCCGCTGGACTCTCGGGGGCTGTCACGACTGTGCGGCGCCTTCCTGACGCCAGGTCACATGACCCCCTGCTGCAGCTGCATGCACTTGCTGTATCCTTCTTTCAACGTCTCCTCCTCCCTCTCCTCCAAAAATCGGCTTCGAGAAGATCAAACTCAGCATCGATAACATCCCCTGAAACTCCAGACATCGCACCTTTCCATCATGGAGGCCGCATGTCCCTCGCATCGCCACCGCCAGACTCTCAGTCCGGAACATCGCCACAAAAGTCCGCTATAAGTCGGGCCAGCGCTTCCAAATGTCTCAGCTTCTTCCTGCGAGGGTGAACAGATCACCACCATTACACCAGAAGCTGCTTCCGCATCGCCACCCGTCTCTGCCAGATGGCCAGCATCTCACGCAGGGCCGATCCTGTCCAGAGCCAGTCCCCCACACCCACGGCAAGCCTGCCGGGAGACCCCCCAAAGACCCTCCTAGCCGCCTCTCCGCGTGGCCGCTCCTCGTCGAATGCAATGCACACTCGGCATCCATGATGCGCCGGTTGGCTCCCCTGAGCTGCATGCGAGATGAGCGCTTGCAGTGAGATTCGCCCGCAGCACGCAGAAGCTCTATTCGAGATGGTGCCCTTGGAACACGCCATATAGATAAGCGCTGAAACGGTCCCTATCCAAGGGTCTTGTCTCTCGTCGTCCCTCTCTTCTTCTCCACGATAGTCACACAACTCAACTAGGCAAGCACGCTACTGGCTCACTGGAGCATCCGACGCCCAATGCCGTTTGATGTGCGCCGTCAGCCTTCATCCCCTCGCAGGGACGTCGACTGTGGCACCGCTTTGCGCAAGATAGCATCTCACTCGCCTGGCCAGCCAGGCGAATCCACAATGCAATCCTCCATACCAAGAGATGGACACATGATTCTTCGGATGAAGGCATCGCCTATTCACTAGACACGTCGCTCATCAGCAGGTGTAGTCTGTGCGTCCAATAGACGACCGTACATACCGGTCCAATCCCCTGTTCAGGTTGCGGCTGGTTTCATCATGCTCCCTTCACCCTCTAACGCGATTGGCAAGTCGATGACAGCGCAATAAAGCGGCATATCAGCGTTGAGCAGCGACAAGGGCCCCGTTCCAGAGAGACAAACCCGCCCTCGAGGTGGCTGGTTCGGTGATTGCGCCTCCCTCAGCAGCCATGATCCTTTCGTCGACTGCTCGCCCTTCAGCTTTGCCTCGGACCAGACCAATGGCTTTGTCCACGATAATTCTCCGCACAAGTTGCCAGGCGAACACGACGGCGCCGGTTGTAAAACTGCGCACCGTGGCCGTGCACGAGCTTCCAGGCATGCACACAGCACGACCAACAAGCTAGCCAGCCGCTCGGCCAACTCTGCCAGCATCGCGGCTGTGGCAGGTTCCGCGTCGGACAGGGCTCCCCCTACTTTGGCCCTGTGCTTCCCCCTACCAGATCATGGACCACGGCACCATACATGGCATCTGGCCTCGCCGCACTTATGCGCATCATACCTGCTTTTGCAGCGTTTACCTCGTGCTGTACGAAGTGGCCGGTATGCCTGCCTGCTTGCCTGCCTGTATGCGCTGGTGGTACAGTATACATACTCCAAAGGGAAGCCAAGATCTCTCATGCCAGTTCTTCTGCTCTGTGCGCGCGTGCAAGGCTCTGTGCCCTGTGCCCTTTGTCTGGACCGCAGTCGCTCGACTGAAAATCACGGCGACCCTGTGTAGGCAAGGTAGGATTGACGGGGGCAGCGCACCACCAGCCTCCGGGCCGCTTTGCTGCAGATCACTAGACAAGGTCCCCCACCAGATTTCGGAGCATGCTTGCACGATGCGATGCGATGCCATCGCTTGCATCTAGAAGCACGTTGCTGTTGCTGCCGGCATGGACGAAAGACATGCTGCGACTTCCCATCCAGTTGGCGGTTTCTGTGCCATTCGTTTGCTTTGGCAGCATCCGGAGGGTTGTATCTCGTGGGAGACTTCCGGGCTTGGGCTTTCGGCTACGGAACAGCTCGTTTATGTGATATGGACCCCGAGCATGGGTCCCCGAATGCTGGCCACGGCGAGCAAGCACGCACTTGGTACTTGTGCAAGCATCTCCACGTCCAGCGCAGAGTCACCGGCACCGGTACCGGTACATCTGGAAACTCATGCCCAGACATTTAATCTCTCAACAGCGAGGAGCGCATGTAATACCGACCGGCCATCGAAGCGCCGGGCAACTTGCAGGCTTCTTTCGTGTCCATGTAAGAGTTGCTCGCCGTTGCAGCAAGTCAGCCCCAGCAGCAATACACATGAAGTCGAGATGCGTGATCGTGGTTGAGCTCCACGGAGTCCCGGGCCCTTTCAGCCAATCCCGTCGTGCAGGCGGCGCAGTGCTCATCAATGCATTGGCGAGACAGATCAGCCTCTATGCACATGTACGTCAGTAGGGGACCTACTCATACATGTACATACATACCATTGTGTCAACGCCGGTTACGCACATACAGAATCGTATGTATGCACGAGTACTGTGTCTCTTCCAATGCCCCATTGATGGCACTTGATGCTCATACAGCAGCAAGTCAGATGGACAACTTGCACATACGAAGACGACGATACTGCGAGAGCTCCCCCGGCCATTCGTCTTTCAAGGCGCGCCTGCGGCGGGAGAGCTAATGAAAATATCACTTTGTCCCTGCTCGCTCACGCAAAGATTGCATGCGTGACAAACAGAGTCAGGGTCCGAGCGAAGAGACATGTTGGGCAAGCGACAGCATTATGCACCAACCGTCTGAGATCTTCGACAAGCCCAGACCTTCCCTTTTTGAAGCATCTTCACAACCACCACGAGGGTGGCAGACTGCCATAAGATGTAAGCTCACGCGGCGAGGCTACGGAGACGTACCAGAAGTTGCCGGTACTGTCGTCAACAAAAGTGAGGGGAATCACGTCGTAAGAGCATCAACCGACGGTGACTGGGGCCGATTGAAAGAAAGAGAGAACAAAGACGGGGGTAGCTGGTCCCGGTCACACACACGAACAGCACCAAACACGCACGCACTCACGATATGGCTTGACATACCTCTTGCTTGCCTGTGCGGAGGCATGCAAATGACAACCTCTTACGGCCCCTTCTATACTTGGCCTTCCTCTTCAGGATTCTCATCATCATTCGCCATCTTTACTGCCTACCAGCCAGCCTCGAGGAACCCCTCTTGCTCTTCCTGGTTCTGCCTGTTATCGTCAGTATTTGACTTGTCCTACACACTGGACATGGGCAGCATTTGCTGACATGACTGGCACGGTATCAAACATCCTCATTGCATTGGAGCCCCCATCTCTGTCCCATCCTTCTCTCTCAATTGGCTATTATTTCGTACTACTTTGGTAGATGAACTCTCGCCGTTACCTTCCTCCTCCCCCAAGGGTCTCTTTTGTCACCAATCCACATTGCATTGGCTGGCCGCTCGCTCGCTCAGATAACTCCGCCACTCACTTACTACTTACTTATTCACTCGCGTTCGGTCTCGGTAGCTCACTTTGCCTCCAACACCATCCCTTCGGCCCCGAGAGAGGACTTGGGGGCCTGAGACATGGAACTTGGGACCCTTCATCGTGACTTGGTACGAGTACCGTGACTATGGAAGAGAGAACCTTGCTTTGCCTTTGCCTACCTGTGAGATCTGCCCACGGACCCGTCTTTGTCTCTCCGTAGGCGGGCGGATCCTAACCCCTGTCCTCTGAGCTGGCAAGGGACCCAACACAGGACAAGAAGGAGAGAACAACGGGGTATGAGCGGATTCACCTCAAGCTGCCAGACAAAAAAGACATAATATCAAATATTGATACCCTGAAAGGAGAAGGGGAAGGGGGAAAAAGAAATAATAAAAGGAAATAAGACGAATGGCAGGCCAGCGAAAGCTCTCTCCGGTTCCAAAGAGAGCACAAGCCGAATCGCCCACAACAACGCACACCCCCTTCTCCCACTCCTCCCAAAGCCGCATACACGCCCCCCCTTGGTCGTCTTCCCCCCGGAGTGGGAACTCCATGCAAAATCGGGTATGCAAGGGAGGGGCTGCCTCTCCATCCATCAGAAATGTGTGCGAGAGCAAGCAATAAGCGGTGAGGAGGAAGAGAGAGAGCAAAGCCAGACGCTAGGCAATGGAGCCGCCACCCAAGAGCTGGACCACCACAACCACCACACACATCCACACACAACCACAAGGAGCCCCAACTGTGCCTTTTCCCTTCTCCAGCCTGGAGAGGGCGAGCAAGGGGGATATGTCTCTATGGAAAGAGCTCAGGGCATAGAAATTCCTGGCTAGACCTCGATATCGGATATACAAGTCCCCCAGTTGGCGGCGGCCGACCAGAAAAGGGTTCGGTCTGACGAGTCTGGCTCGCAGTGCTCCGAAAGCGAAGAGAAATATGAAGAGCCCTCAATTCAGAGGAGCGAACCACGGCACGTCACGTTCTCTCTGCTCCGGGCCAATGCTCCACCCGGCGTGGGAAGCAAACGGACGTCAGGATTACAGGACTACATTCAGCATTGACCACGTGGTTCCAAAGAGGCAAACCGCTTATACAGCAGAGTCTTGTCGCCTGTGCATGAGAGAATGCTGAATTTTGGTGATATGAAAGGCAAGAAACGGAAAATGGATCACGCCAATGATCCACCCTCGCCATCTTTGTCCTCAATTGCTCGCGA